AAATCTCCGTATAGGTACTCCTGACCACTGCTCATGATCCCACTTGGACTTACCCAACCTTAGTTAATTCCCAAGTGACCCACTGCCACATAGCAACTAATCCATCAAGCAGTCCGAGCAGAACTTGGCCCGTAAACTCGCACAAGTTAACATTTTATATTGTTTACTATTTATACTTATTTCACCATTACATTTTCGTAGTTGTTTACTCTTAGGTGATGAAACAGTAATGTATTGTGTGTGAAGATTATTCTTTTAATAAATTTTGCTTTACTCACCATAAACTGGCTGCATCTACCTGAACCGCGGGTCACATTAAATAGAATTTCTCATTCCGCGGGCCGCACAAACCATGGAGGTATAAAGGGTGGAGGCGGCATTCCGCACGCTCTCTGGAGCTAATTCTCCCCCACATCGGCCATCTTTGTATAGGCTGGTCGCGTCCAGTAGGCTGAGTGACCCTCGTTGACACTGGTTTGCACTGCTTACATAGCATCCCTGTGTGATCAAGTGAAACTTTTATCTTTTTTTCAACCCGTGATTTTTTTGCCATCCCATTCAACATGTTGACGAATAGCCATTTCATCCATCCCCAAAGAAAAAATATTACCATAAGTTTCGTCTGTGGATTTCTTGGCCTGCTCGAGTGCACTGAATGATGCCTCGGTAAATCCGGGTTTCACCTTTACTCTTTTACTCTATTGTACCATTTTTCCAGCGTTCGTGGATGGGGGACAGACAAGTATCAAAAGTTTTTCTTGTGAATTTCTATGCTTGTGGTGAGTAAAAGTTCAAAGTGAGAGCAAAACTTCTCAAAGCAGGGGCTTTCCGCTAATCTTAGCAATCTGTCTTTTCACAAGGTCAGTCACTCCACCAGCACAGGATTCTACAATAGTCAGACTGTCTTCACTCACTAGGTTTTTTCTTTTAATACACTAATCACAGAACACAAGTCAGCATTTTTCTTTTTCAATCGTCGTGTTTTCTGTTGCAAGTTTTTTTTTTCCCTTAGATTTCACAGGTTTTTCTTCTAATTTCCTATTTATCACTTTTGATGGAGAATTTGTAAAATTAGCTTCGAGGTAATTTTCTGCTACAAAACTATATTCCCAGGCTTGGCAATACACAGGTCAGAAAGTGATCCTCTCAACAATCATCTTGTATTGCTAATCAAAGCAGTAGCTGAGACCTATCGATAGGTGAGCTACATAAATGCAGGCAAACAGCTCACAGCATGAAACGTATCTCTCAAAGCTGTTAAAAGTAGAACTAGCATGAATATGTTAATTTTGTTCAGTGGAATCTAATGATTAGTCTGCAAGGTAAAAATGCACAGAAATCCCCCTGTGCTCAGGGTACCAAGTTTGTGCCATGATAAGGATAATTGATGCTAATGATTAGTGCTGTTCATTGAAATGTAGTTTTATTGTACGATAGTATATAAAAAATGGTTGAAAAAAACATAATAGTTTCACTTGATCACACAGGGATGCTATGTAAGCAGTGTAAACCAGTGTCAACGAGGGTCACTCAGCCTACTGGACGCGACCAGCCTATACAAAGATGGCCGATGTGGGGGAGAATTGGCTCCAAGGAGCGCATGGAATGCCGCCTCCACCCTTTATACCTCCATTACACAAACACATGGCCCGGGCCGTGGGCTGCTCATGCCTGTCTTAGAGTAATAACCTTGTCGTGACCTTGTATAGGACCCAAGCTTTTGTAGGTACAGTTTGTGACCTTGTACAGTACCCAAGCTTTTGTAGGTACAGTTTGTGACCTTGTACAGTACCCAAGCTTTTGTAGGTACAGTTTGTGACCTTGTACAGTACCCAAGCTTTTGTAGGTACAGTTTGTGACCTTGTACAGTACCCAAGCTTTTGTAGGTACAGTTAGTGACCTTGCACAGTACCCAAGCTTTTGTAGGTACAGTTTGTGACCTTGTACAGTACCCAAGCTTTTGTAGGTACAGTTTGTGACCTTGCACAGTGCCCAAGCTTTTGTAGGTACAGTTTGTGACCTTGCACAGTGCCCAAGCTTTTGTAGGTACAGTTTGTGACCTTGCACAGTGCCCAAGCTTTTGTAGGTACAGTTTGTGACCTTGCACAGTGCCCAAGCTTTTGTAGGTACAGTTTGTGACCTTGTACAGTGCCCAAGCTTTTGTAGGTACAGTTTGTGACCTTGTACAGTGCCCAAGCTTTTGTAGGTACAGTTTGTGACCTTGTACAGTGCCCAAGCTTTTGTAGGTACAGTTTGTGACCTGCACAGTGCCCAAGCTTTTGTAGGTACAGTTAGTGACCTTGTGCAGTGTCCAAGCTTTTTTAGGTACAGTATGTGACCTTGCACAGTACCCAAGCTTTTGTAGGTACAGTTTGTGACCTTGCACAGTGTCCAAGCTTTTGTAGGTACAGTTAGTGACCTTGTGCAGTGTCCAAGTTTTTTTAGGTACAGTATGTGACCTTGCACAGTACCCAAGCTTTTGTAGGTACAGTTTGTGACCTTGTGCAGTGTCCAAGCTTTTGTAGGTACAGTTTGTGACCTTGTATAGGACCCGAGTTTTTGAAGGTACAGTTCATGACGTTGTATAGGACCCAAGTTTTTGTTGGTACAGTTTGTTACTTTGCAGTGTCCAAGCTTTTGTAAGTACAGTTTGTGACCTTGTGCAGTATCCAAGCTTTTGTAGGTGCAGTTCATGACCTTGCAGTGTCCAAGCTTTTGTAGGTGCAGTTCATGACCTTGCACAGTGTCCAAGCTTTTGTAGGTGCAGTTCATGACCTTGCACAGTGTCCAAGCTTTTGTGCAGTTCATGACCTTGCACAATGTCCAAGCTTTTGTAGGTACAGTTCATGACCTTGCACAGTGTCCAAGCTTTTGTAGGTACAGTTCATGACCTTGTATAGGACCCGAGTTTTTGAAGGTACAGTTCATGACGTTGTATAGGACCCAAGTTTTTGTAGGTACAGTTCATGACCTTGTACAGGATCCAAGCTTTTGTAGGTACAGTTTATGACCTTGCACAGTGCCCAAGCTTTTGTAGGTACATTTTGTGGCCTTGCACAGTACCCAAGCTTTTGTAGGTACAGTTAGTGACCTTGTGCAGTGTCCAAGCTTTTGTAGGTACAGTTAGTGACCTTGTGCTGTGTCCAAGCTTTTGTAGGTACAGTTAGTGACCTTGCACAGTGCCCAAGCTTTTGTAGGTACAGTTTGTGACCTTGTGCAGTGTCCAAGCTTTTGTAGGTACAGTTTGTGATCTTGTACAGTACCCAAGCTTTTGTAGGTACAGTTTGTAACTTTGCACAGTGTCCAAGCTTTTGTAGGTACAGTTTGTGACCTTGTGCAGTGTCCAAGCTTTCGTAGGTATAGTTCATGACCTTGTACAGTGTCCAAGTTTTTGTAGGTACAGTTCATGACCTTGCACAGTGTCCAAGTTATTGTGCTGTTGGTAGCAAGTGTATCTGCCAATGGTGGAACTAGCTATTGGTGGATTATCTTCCATGCTCTATTATATGGATTTAAAGTGTGAACTGTGCATGTAAAGGAGAAAGTAAGTTTGTGTTATGTTTTGAGTTCAGCATGAATGGTAGACAGGTTATAAGGAAGACAAAATGTGGAGTTGAGGAGGAGAAGAAGTGATAAGGAATACAAGACAGTAAAGTGATGTGTAGACAGATTGAGTGAATAGGGAAAGTAAGTATTGTAAGAAGAATGTATGATTAATTCAGAAGTGGCTGGTAGAGAGAGAGAACAAGTAGGGGATGGAAAAATGGAGTGAGGGAAGTATTGAATAGGAGGAGATGGACAACAAGGAAACATTGGTGTGTGTGTATATGCATGGTAAGAAAGCACAGCACTGACTGGTTTATAGGGAGGGACATTGGTGCTGATGGTTGCTATTAGTTTGTAAGAAATGAGAGAGTTAAACTAGCTAGATCTTTGTTCATCTCATTTAACCTTTGGACAATGAGTCAATAAGACGAGGGAGAGTGCGCGTGTTACTGATGATTTCAACCACCCTGCACTCGGTGGGAAAAGGCATTCAAATTTGAAAAATATAAAAAAGAATATATATTATGTGTGTTTATGTTTATATAATAAGGTTACAGTCATAACACATATTAACAAGGTCACCTGCAGACAAACAAAAGAATCGGACAAGGAGGTAGATATGATCGCCCGGTAAGGAGATTAGCCTGCATCGTCAACTCGATACAGTTTATTTGGGTCAAACCTGTCAAATACAAATAATCAATTTACAAGAGGGAAACTGAAGGTTCAGTGACATGTCATATATGAATACATTCACCTAATATTAGCACAAGTGAGTACATTATCTTAACAGTAAACACAGCATAAGCTGCATATCGTCAGAAGTTACTCAATTAATATTCTTCACGTCCACAATGAAACACAATATTTTTACACTTACTTGTTGCAGGTTTGGCTTGGACCAGACAGCCTCTGGTGTGTTTAGGGCGATCAGTTGCGGGGTACTGCTGTATGTTATCATCCAGGGGCCTGGCCCGCCTCGGTGAACATCAAGCGAATTCAGCATATACACGCCTTGTTCCTCATTAAGACTCAAGCTGATCCACCAGCGTCTCATCGTGTAGTACATATCAACATTAATTCTTATCACTCCTCATAATTACTTTCACTACTCTTATCATCTTATCACTCCTATGATTACCGCTGTCCAGCGGTAAAAGTAGGCATATATAATAATGAGGCGTGAGCCTATAAAAATTTCTGCCTCGTGTGAAGCAGGATTGAACAACAGTGTGACTGTCTGTCTGTCTCTCTGTATACTATTTTGTACAGTATAATAAGTGTCAGCTGTGATATTTAAGAAGTTACTGCAGTATAACAGAAGACTGACAGCGAGAGCAGATGCTGATTGTACACCATAGTTAGTGCATATGTAAGAATCTGTACTGAAATTTGTACCCTTAGTATTTTTCTATAAAGAACTCTTTATACATCATATTTCTAATACTTGACAGGGTGTGAGCCAAATAACAAAAGAGGTGATCTTAGAGCAAATTGAATCTGAGGCAGAATCACTTGGTGTTGAAGTTTGCATGGCAGCCAAGAGTATGATTATGGCTCTGGTGAAATTGCTGGCACATCTTGTCCAGGAAGGAAAACACTATTTGAGGTAAAGTAAATACCCACTCAAGGATTTGTTACTACATGTGTTATATGCTTCATCATTATCAGTTTGTATCTACCTACTGTTAGAGAAGGCATCCTCATTTGTTCCACATGTTTGGTCAGGAGCTTTCCCAACCCTTTGATCACTTTCTGATTATCGAATTTCATCTACCTGTTGAGTAGTTGGTGGGGGACAAGAGGGCAAGGGTGGATCCTGGGAGGGGGTCCTGGGGGTCTGGACCCCCCCTTTTCATCAGAAAATTTCAATACTTTTTCTTTAATGCAGTATTGAATTCAGTCATTTTTGTATAGTAAAAAGTATTTACTATTGACCTCAGAATATCTTCTAATATCAAGTGCACATGGGTTCAAAATGGCCTCAAAATGCCCATGATATTGGTCAGATTTCAAAAAAAATAGTCTGGGGGTTTACAACGCCCTCCCAAAGCCCCCCAGCTGGGCGGACTCACTTTGCTTGCCATGTTCCCCACCCAAAACTTCTTGGATCCTCCCCTCTTTTGATATTCCTGGAGGTATTCTTTTTCCTATCCTGTAGGAGCCAGTTAAGGATCTCCTCTACTGTGTGGTAAGTGGTAAATTTATTCTAATCTAACTGGTGAATATTACACAAAGTTCTAAATTCGACTAGGCTTGAATTTTCTTGTGCTCTTAAGTTTGGTCCTGTACGAGGTATTATGCCTTACTTATGGGTGGTGTGCAGAATTTATATATCATTATAATATAAATTGTACAGGATTTTTAAAAATTAATATAGTAGATGGAGTAAGATAAGACTTAAAATTTAGTATACTGTAGTAGATAGAGTATGATTAAAAATATTTATAGTGTTAGTTCAAGGACACAGGAAGTTGAGTTAGGTAAAGAAATTTGCAGTGGAGGAAATGTTTCTTGTTACACACAGAGGTAAACCAAATGGGTGTTATGAGCCTTGAACTACAAAACTACAAATGGAAAGAACCTGTAAAAAAAAAATATATATATATATATATATATATATATATATATATATATATATATATATATATATATATATATATATATATATATATATATATATATATATATATATATATATATATATATATATATATATATATATATATATATATATATACAGTATGTATAATTTTTTATTATTTATTTTTTTTTTTTAGAGAGAAAGAGAGAGAACTGATTGGATTAGTATGAAAATGTAGAGATGTATAATGTACTGGTATTTAATGTCCAGAGCAGAATAATGTAAGGACAGTATTGTACCGGTAAGTTAAGAAACTACTTGAGAAAATGAAAAATCTAATTAAATACCCTTAAAACTATATATAGCTATTGTATTATATAGATGTAGGACTGTTCATAAAGTACTGTTCTCTAGTATTCATCCACATTTTTATTTTTGTTTTTTCTAACCAGTGACATGGAAGGCCTCATTACAACAACCCATTTCTTGATGTCCAGAAAAATATTATCTACGTCGGACATTGGAGAACAGTTTCTCAAAGAACCTGCATTTCTGAAGCTTCCACTTGTTTGTATTTGGAGATTTAGCTCAATTGGAGTTGTCTCTTTAGAGCAGATTATCAAAAGGTGTGTGAACATTCCTGATTTCTAGATTCAACTATGTATACATATTATATTCCATGTGATATATCTAACTGACCACCAGGCATAGACTATATGACCCTCTTTCTCTATAATTCCCAGGGAGTGACAGCTTTATTAAGTTCACACCTCAACCTAGATATGAATAGGATTGTATCTAAAAGCTACTTAATATGTCAACGTTTCTTTCTTTGCAGCCTCCATGACAGTAAACATACGAGCTTGTCAGTAGTGGAGGACTTAGTACACTTGGTACTGTATGAAAAGGAAAACCCCATGAATACTTCTGCTGTTAGTGAGATTCTTGCTGTTCTTATATGCATTGTTTATGAGCCGGCCAAGGACAAGTGTGTGTCACTGAGCAAATTTGCTAATCGGGTACTCACTTCACTCACTGAGAGGTTACTTAATCATGTCCTGTATAATAAAGTTAAAAAGGGACTGAATCTGTCTTCACAAGAGAGTGGTGACCAACATAGTCATGTAAAAAGTAGTCCAAAAGAAAAAGTGAGCAAATCTTCAGATGACTCCATAGAAAGAAGCACAATTAAAGTAATGAATATATATGAATTGGTGCTGAACAACATTAGTATATCAACACAAGCACTGGAAGCCTACTGTTCTAGTCAGCTGGTGCAGGTTCTCACGCACCGGCCTGAACTGCATCTTGGTCGTGTGTTGAGAAACCAAGAGAATTGGAGATCAACCCAAGCGAACACTACACTGTCAGCTTGGATGTGGAAGGTAAAGTTGATAATAAACAGCTGGTTGTAGGAGTTTTTTCGCCTTAGCAAGTCCATTTAGAATCAGCAGCTCTTTATTCTACAAAGATATATCTTCTGTAGCAGGGATGGAGTCTGACACATGTACCCAAATACAAATACAGATACAAATGTGCTCATCTAAATACTGTATATTCAAGTTTGAAAAAACTAAAATACAGAGCTTCAAATACAAATAAAATACAAACACATAACATAATTTTTAAGTATCATTCCAGTAATTTAAGTTGCAAATATTCCATGGGTAGTCTGGCCCCTCAGATTTACTTAATCCTCCAGTGGAGGATTTTCAATAGAGTACAATCATAGAAAATATAATTTATTATTTTATGGACACTCCCATTAATGCTCTTACCATACGTGTATGTTTTATGGGCTTTTAATATGGATATATGGTAGAATATTTTTCCAGAACATTTTCTAGATGCTAACTCACATTCATTACTATACGCCACTGATCAGCAGCGTGACGGACTTGTTATTCTATTAATGATTTAATCCCAAACTGCAAAGATGATATACAGTCTCTCCTCGACTTACAACGGCGTTCCGGACCAACGGCCAGGTTGTAAGTCGAATTGGTCGTAAGTCGAAAAGGCAAAAAAATACATAGAAAATCTAAAATTAAATACGGTACAGTAAAAGTAATAAATAATGAAAAATTAATAAAGTGTTACTGTGCACTTACCTTTAATGTAGTCAGCTGAATGCACTTGGGACCTCAATAATTTTTTAATTAAACATGGAGACTACATTAATTGGATGTAGCAGGGCTGAGTGGGTTATCAATTTCACTTTTTTCAGACAGGTTAACATGCTTGTTGAAGGTATTGGATCATCTTTAGGGAGTGAAGAGGCCACAGAGGTGGGGCATGAGGAGACAGCAATGGGGGACTTCTTAAAATATATGTCCAATTTAGACTGCACAGTTTGCCTTTTCTTTTCATTGTAAATCTCCCTGTAGCAAGCAAGTGCATCTTGGATCATTCTGTCAACTTTTGCAAAACGCTCAACATTTTGATCCATTTCTTCAAACATTTGCATCCCCTTATTAATAGTAGTAAATGCCTCTGCCATTTGTTTCACTGAAAACTTTTTGGGAGGTGCAGGTTCTTCTTCTACATTTTGTCTCTCTTCTTCCTCTGCAATTTTCTGTGCATCCAGTTCAATAAGATCCTCGTTACTTAGATCTTCTGCTGCACTTTCAACCAACTGCTCAACATCTTCATTATCAATTTCTAACTCCAGCTGTTTACCCAACTCCACTATCTTGTTACTAATCTCAGAAATTGCTTCATCTTCATTAGATCCTTTGGAACTGTTCACATATCTTTTCAGGATCTTTTTCCATATTCCATTCATGCACTGACCTGTACATTTCAAAATGTTGTAGTCCTTCCAAAACTCTCAGCATTTTCTCACCTTCAGTAGCAGCAACAGCCTGAGAGAAGGTCGTACACAAATAATTCGCTTTAAAAGCAGCAATAGCACCTTGATCCATGGGTTGTATGATAGAGGTAGTGTTAGGTGGTATGTAGACTACCTTAACATCAGAGTGTAGGTCGACCAGGTGTGGTGGGTGTCCCGGAGCATTATCCAAAATTCATAAAATCTTGAACGCAACCCCTTGTTGCAGACAATACTCCTTGGCTCGTGGAATGAAACAACTCAGGAACCAATCCTCAAACAGTGCTGGGGTCATCCAGGCTTTCTTATTACTACAATAAAACACTGGCAGTGTGTGCTTGCTGACATTTTTAAAAGCCCTTGGGTTCTTTGAATGATATATCATGAAGGGTTTTACCTTTAAACCAGCTACATTCCCCCCCTCCCCCCCCCCAACAGAAGTGTGATTCGGTCCTTGAATCCTCCATGGTTTTCTCCTCTTTGTGGATGTATGTCCGTTTTGGCATGCGCTTCCAGAATAAGCCAGTTTCATTCACATTATTTATTTGCTCAGGCAAATAATTTCCCTCTACGATGACACGATCTAGCTCCTCCTTAAAAGCTTCGGCAGCACCTGCTGCCTCTCCACTCCCCTTTACACTGTGCAAACTGTAACGGTTCTTAAACCTTTGGAACCAACCATGACTTGCTGTGAAGTTTTGGTCGCACTCATCTCCTGCCTGCTCTTTCAGGCTTTCGAAAAGGCTTCTTGCCTTAGCCTGTAGGGTTAGAAGGCTTAAGGGTACATGCTTTTGCAGCTAATCTTCCATCCACACCACAAGTAATTTTTCCATCTCATGAAGAGGACCTTGTCTTTTTTTCATTATTATTGTTCCCTTTATAGGTGCTGATCCTTTCACTACCTCACGAATTCGTTCCTTGTCCTTCAAAAATGTTTATATTGTCGAGTGAGAGAAGCCTAGGTCGCGTAAAATGGTTGCTACTGTTTTTCCATTTTCATATTGCATTATTATTTTCATATGAACATGATCTTTGAGAAACTATAGAGTCTGGTGGGTACAGTAGAACGTCTATTTAAAGCAATTCAATTTAAGAGTATTGACTTAAAGCAACACCCACAATTAAGGACTGTCAGTTGTCATGGGACTTTCAGACCGAGAGGAAGGGCTTATGGAAACTCACCGTGTAAAAATGACATATGTTACACTATTTACATTCACAGAGCAAGTTTTCATGTCCAAATATCTCCAATTACTTCGCACACAACTCGGCGGTTATCTTGTACCCCTTGTCAGCGTGTGTATACCAGGCCTGGAGTTCCTGGTTCTCAGTGCTGTCCGCTTCAGCCGGTGGCTCACGCTGACCATCACCACCACCACACAAATATGGCTCGGTTGCCAACTAATCCTAATACAATACATTAACAGTTTTACACCTTACCCTATAAAACAGAATATGGCTCTTAAATAATGTTTGAACAACCAAAACTAAATAACACTTATAAAAAAACATAGTAAATCAAAACATTAGAAAACTTGTATAAGCTTACGGGCCATGAACCACCCTCATTGACATTGGTCGTTCTCGGGGTATCACCTAATTAGCCAATCATAGACAGTGGTGTGGGCCGACATGTGACAAGGACAATGTTTTAATTTAAAGCGAATCTTTCCTATTTTGTGCGAGTCAATCTGGTGCATCATATTAAAAATTTTGCGCCTAATGTTACTCTGGGCACACTACACTGTCTTAAGAGCAAAGCTGTACTGTACATGTACTCAAAATAATGTACTAAATGATTACTAAAATTTTTGTCTAGTGCAAACTGTAGCATGTTTATATTCAAATTAATCATTATCTTATAAGAATTCCAGCAATGTAAATTATATTCTCCCCGGTCACTTCTGTGACATTTTATAAGCAAAAACATAATCTCAAGCTAAAGAACATAAATAAACAAATAAATACTTCACTAGACCTTGGCGCCAACTGTCAAACATGTCACTGTCACTTCCCTCCCTCCCTGCCGCCACCCCCCCCCTCTTCCCAGCCAGGGTTTGGTGTTTTTGGCTTAAAGATTTTATCTTATATTATGTCACAGACTAAAGTTAGGAGAATATAATTTGTATTGAGGGAATCCTTGCAAGACAGCGAATAATTTGAATATAAGCATCATATATTTTGCACAAAAGATAAAAGTTTGTGCTCATTGTATGTCTAATGCAAGCTATTGCATGTTTATATTCAAATTAATCACCATCTCTTACGAATTCCAGCAATGCTAATTGTATTCTCCCATGTCAGTTCAGTGACATTTTATAAGAGAAAAACTTAGTCACTCTTAAGGACAGATAAATAAATAAGCACTAGACCTTGGCATCAACTGTCAAACATATCACCTCCCCCATCTTCCCAGCCAGTAAACAGACCATTTTGCATCCTTTAATTTTAGCTGTGTTGATTTATAAGTGTTTGTTTTAACATAATATTACAAAAACAATGTTTTGTTTATTCTAGGAGATGGGCTGAGGTGCATCTGGGTAGACTCTTAGTCTTTTTAGTATTTTGTGTTTCTCTCAAGTACCAAACTAAATTATTCCGTTGAAACAGCACTTCGATTTAGCGCGAATTCTGTTTAAAGTGACCTCTCTTGGAACGTATCTCTTATATGACCTTATATGACGTTCTACTGTAATATATTAGAAAAGAAGTTAACCTTATTATGAAGTAGGTTATATCCATATGTTTGGTCATGGCATAAAATTACATTTTAAAATATAATCGTGACAAACCTTTTAGTGTCAGTGGTAATGGAAATCTACTATGAATAATTAAAACCAACTGGAAAAAACAACAAAAATAATATTAAAATCAATAAAAAGGCAGAGATTAAAAACAAATAGTTTGGTTAAACCAGGGAAATCTGCCGACCTGCCTGAAATATGTGTTAAGAAATTCATTTTTATCTCACAAACTTACAACTGTCTATGTCTATCATGTCCTTTAATGTTAGTGTAAATATTAACTCGCCTTTGTTTATTTCAGTTGGTTGTAGCTCTTGGATATGAGGCAGCCTTGAACACGCTGGACTTGGTGGTTACCAATGAGGAGGTGAACTGGGCGTGTATTCTGACACTTGTTGCCACCGCCCTCAATTGTCATCGTCAAACTGTTACCGTTCTGAAACGTTAGTTCTTGAACTACAGTACAGTATTTCATCTCCATAAGTTTTATTTTTATTTTATGAAAATGCTTTATCCACTGGGCATAGCAGGGTTGAGAAGAGGTAATTAATGCAGGTATTGTACCCCTTGATTGATTTACATGTGATTTGCCTCCTCTTATAATTATGATGTTTAACTTGTTCTGTACAGTACTCTCCAAAGTTGATGTTGTGTACGGGTCGCCTCTCTGCTGAATAACATCATCTGGCATTAGCCAAATAAAATATTAACAGTAGTGTCCAGTAGTGAAGGGGTTAAAAACTCTGAAGACTATATACAGCAGTACGAGTGGCACTGTCTTGTGTACCTCCCTGAGTCTGACTCTTCTGGCACTTCCCTGCAAAAAAGACATATTTATTTGATACATAGTATCAGATTTATTTGAATTTTGGTCCATGTTCAAGATACACTAAAACAAATAAAAATTATCCCTTTTATTACTTTAAGTTCCTGTAGCATTAATAACATGAAGTAACTGAAGCAAACTGTTGTGCGTGTTAGCTATTTAAACAACTAAGTCATCTTCAAGGTTGGATTACAAATGTGAAATTCTGTAAAACTGCAAATCTGGCCGTGAAAACCTACGAGTTAGTTTTGATGTTTATAGTCTTACCATATTTTCAACTGTGAGTTCAGTTGTGTTAATCATTTTTTGAGTGGAAATTACTTCCTTTGGTAGATAATTAAGCAACTAGACGCACACTACTTTGTCTTTCTTGGCGGTGATGCAGCAGTACACAGCCAATCATTTCCGATTGACACCAGTCACCAGTGTATGTTTATGAGCCACATGGACCGGGGCAGCTGCTCTCACGTCCACAAAAAATATAAAATTGCATTATATCATAGTAAGTTCTTTCTGTTTAATATGCCGGGGGTTCCGGATGGTGGAGCTTCAAGACTAGGAAGTTAGGTAAGTTTCTTTGGTTGGGTTGGTGAAGTCTTCTGTCAATGCTTCTGCCACTTTTTTTTTTTTTTTTTTTTTAAATAACAACTTTTTAATACATTTTCCATAACTGCAAATGTCCATAATAAAACACAGTGAAATTACAAAGTTTTAAATTCGTTTCCTATGAAAAATCGGCGGCAGGTCAGTCGTCAATAATTGCCAAATTTTTCTTGTGTGCTTCGTCTTTTATTGATTGTTTCTCTTTATTCCTGTAAGAGAACATATTATTAGGTGTACAGTATTTATTTATACATATCTATAAATACAGTATACAGATATTTTGATGAATATACTGTAAACTGCACTTTCTTCCTAGAAAAATTAGCAGAAGTGGGGGGTGAGGCTAACTATCAGATACAAATTTTAGTAATGCCTCAAAATCCCAAAACTAATACCGTTATTCCTTGTGCGCTCTAGTACCACCTCTAACCAGTCCCCACCACCTTAGTGCCTCACCTTAAGTCAAAATTGCCATCAGTACCGTCATTACTATCATCACACCTTATGATATCTACCTGTGAGTTTATTGACAAGAATGAAGTTGAGTGAACTGTACTGACTGTGTCCGAAACTACTCAAATTGTAATAAATCATTGAATCATTTATTGATATTAACTTGGCCATAATTGTTTACTCCATTTTCATAATAAAAAGATAATATTTTTTGTATAGTAGATTTAAGAGGGAATATGTGTAAATCTTTGTACATTAAAAGATTAATATACGTTCCTGTTATTAAAGTACTGTACTGTTTATTTATAATTTATCCTGTCAAGATGACCGTAAATGCTTTGTAGTAGAAGTGGAATATTAGTTAATGTGTAATCGGTCGAATAAAATTTGAAACTACCATAATTATTGTTGCTTTATAGGAATAATACATACAGTATTATGTACAGGTGCTCCTCTACTTACCTACGAGTTACATTCCTGAGGCTTGTTTGTAAGTCCAAATACCAAACGTATTGTAAAAAATTAAAAGGTTATGGATATTTAGTACAGCTATACCCTTTAATACAGCCTTAAAACCTGGCTCACTCTTCTCCTCTTAGGTAATGTTTATTCTATCTGGAATTTTCTTCAAAATAATCCAGTCTCATCCACATTAAACACCTGCTCTGACAGGTAACCCCCTCAGTGATGATGTTTGTATCTCTGAAAGCTTGTAAGTTGAACTTTCTTAAGTAGAGGAGCACCTGGACTGTGTTACATTTTTCTTTTTTTTTTTTTTTACTTTATGTTCCAGCAATTTGCTACAGGATGTCTTTTGTACTGTACAGGGTATCACTGTTAGTCAAACAGAACTCTACCACCTGCTTCAGGCACAGTGTCTGTATCAGGAGCTCATGCTTGTTGCACCCTTTGAGAAGACTAGGTACACAGCAATACAGCTGATGTGATTGCTCTTTTAGCTTGATGCTAATCAGAAAAAAATAATTAAAATTTTTTAATAAATAAGCAGACAGTATATGGTGAACTTATCAAACTTCTAATCAATAGTTATAAGTAAATTCTATAATATTTTTTATTGAAAATCTAATAGCCAAGTTTATTATCATTCTTTACATCACCTATATGTACTGTAGTGAATAATTAATATTTTTTTTTTTTTCACTCATATACTGATTTAAATCTAGTTGATATAAATCAACCAACTCTGAATGACAGTACTGTACAGAAGGGTGGGTCAATTTTACCTTTTTTTCAATTCCCATATCCTAATAGAGACCAAAAGTGGCACATGCATGAAAAAATAGCCTCTGCAAAATCTTAGCTTAATAGGTAATCATCTTCTGCCCACGGCAGAGCAATGAACATCATATTTCAGTAGTCAAAAACGTATTTTTCTTATAATTTCTAAAATATTTCAATATGCATCAAAATTATTCCTAATAACTATAAAGTCAATGAATAAGACCTCATATGATCGTATTTCCGAGCGCGTTGTCCTACGTTAATATCTTTTGCCCCCGGCAACAACGTCAAATGTTGTGAAATTAGGTAATTTATATACATATTTTCAGATCGGCTCTTTGTCTTAAATAATGCATTTATATATTTCCCATACCATTTATATCGTTGCTTAGGCATGAAATAACACACACATGCAAAATTTTATGACTAGGGTAATATCTTTTAGCTGTCCCCGTGAAAAGTCTAAAATGTGGATTATAATTACGTTAATGCGTTGTTATAAGTCCGACAAGTATTCAGTACAGCTCCTCGCTTGCTAATTTTATAAAATTAGCAACCCAGAACTCACCACAAGGAGGTTGCTATACGTTGAGTTCCACCCTATCCAGCCCCAACCACCCTTCCTTTGGCTGCATGTCGATTTACAAACGGTAATCTTTCATAGAATCAAATCTTGGAATTTTTGTTCGGGAGTGAAGACGGGAGCAGATGAATCCGTCCCTCTCTACTATTCCACTTACACTGACAGAGGCTTCTGTTACTAATTTGGTGAGTCTCTCGACCGCTTTAGTCTGACAAGGAATAGTGGGATCAGGCCTTCAGGCTGGTCTCCTGTCTCAACAAACCCTTTTATTCGGGCATCAGGTATTGTTTTTGTAAAAGGGGGTTCAATCACTTCAGTCGTTTGCCAGTTGATCATTTCGTAATAGTTGTGACTATTGTAGATCAGCTCAGACACGGTGAAGGCTCGAATTTCCCTCGCCTTTAATACTTTACTCCATCCCAATTCTCTTATGCAGCACTCATCTTCATGTAGCATTGAGATCAAAATATTTTCTGGGTGAGCAAAGAAAGAATTTCTATGGAGGACTTTGTTGGCAATTGTCTTAGATCTTTTAGGCAGGTCTGAGAGAGACGCATCATTTCAAAAAAAAAATTTGCGCCCTCAATGAAACAGGAGTTTTTCTTTATCTTGAACCAAATTGGTGCGTAAACTGTCATAATGAATCGCTCAATTTCGTTGAAGGTGCTGGAGGGTTCACTGGTTGAAACATAGAGGCGCAGAAATCTATTTGCTGTTGTCAACCACCGGGAATGCGCCATCTTATCTGGATTTCGAGCCGCGAGAGTTGAAGAGCAGCTACCGCTCGACACTGCTCTGTAGATGCCTAACTTATATTTTTGGTCAGTGCTCAACTCTGCATCATACATGTCAATGTCGGGAGATGGAATGGCATCGAATTCTATAATTTGAAGTTTTATGCAGTCGTTCAGTTGTTTTCCAACTGGTTCAGTAAAGTCCATTGGCCCAGTTGTTTTGCCGTCCAAGTCCTGAATGAGGACAACGCGCTTGGAAATACGATCATATGAGGTCTTTTTCATCGACTTTATAGTTATTAGGAATAATTTTGATGCATATTGAAATATTTTTTAAATTATAAGAAAAATATGTTTTTGACTACTGAAATATGATTTTCATCGCTCTGCCGTGGGCAGAAGATGATTACCTTTGAAGCTAAGATGCTGCAGAGGCTCTTTTCTCATGCATGCGCCACTTTTGGTCTCTATTAGGATACGAAAATCGAAAAAAAAGGTAAAATCGACCCACCTTATTGTACAGTAATTACTATCACATGGGTGAGTTACATGTAGCAAGAAGTAAAACTGTGTGCTAATTGGTTGACAGGTTGATGCATTGGTTGACTGGTTGACTTGACAAATCCTAAATTCATTATCTTGGCAACCAGGTTTCTGGAGAAAATACAGTACTATACTAAAGTTATAGTGAATCCCCCCAAAACTCTTATTTAAATAAAATAATATATTGTTACCGTATATTATTTGGTAATAAGAGATACATTTTAATTAAATTTTTAGTTTGTACTTTTAAATTATTACATGATTCAAACAAAATTTAGCTTCCTCTTTCCAGTTTTTGTCATGAAGATTAATGTTTCATATACACAGTATACAATATTCTGTACAGTATAAAAAAGGGTGAATCCAGGGCGGGTCCTGGGGATCTGGATCCCCCCCTTTTCATAAGAAAATTTCAATACTTTTTCTTTAATGCAGTATTGTATTCAGGCATTTTTGTATAGTAAAAAGTAATAACTGTACTATAGACCTTAGAATATCTCCTAATATTAAGTGCACATGGCTTCAAAATGCCTCAAAATACTCATGATATTGGTCAGATTTCAAACAATTTTCTTGGGGAGCTTACAGTACCCCTCCAAAACCCCCCAACTGGGTGGGTTCGCTGTGCTCGTCATGTTCCTCTACCCACAACTTCTTGGACCCCCCTACCCTCCCTTTTGTATCTCCCCGTATATAGTTACATAGAATTGTTTCTCATAATTTAAAACATTGTTTTCCTCCTAGACATCAAGAGTGAATACAAATTTTCTTTTATAGGGATGATTCAGCGTAATATCCAGCGTGGCTGTGAGGACCAGGATATGGAATCACTCGTTATTGGTTTTCTCTTCGCACGACATGCAAGCCAGGAAGGACGCCATATATTCCCAACTTATTCTCTGTGGTTCAGCGCCCTTTTTGCTACAGAATCTGGGAGTCCTGTAGCCAACAAACAGGCTTTTGTTTTCCTGGTTAGTATTTTAATGATTATACTGTATGTATAAAAAAAAAGATGGACCTGCTTAAAATCACTGCTTGGAAAATGTCGAGAAGCAAGTGTAATAAAAAACATCCACATAGTACAGTAGAGAGTATTAAGCTCTTGGTAGCACTTGAAGACATTGAGCAGCCAGTCACATCTTAATATGCAAATATTATTTATTATCATTATTGTTCAGTTAATTATGGTTTTGAGGTTACAGTAAGCCCTTGGGATAAAAGACTAAGTGGGGGGACACCATTGTCACTAAAGCTGAAAGTCTGTTAAAACTGATCTCTGATAATGGCTGATAATCCTGATAAACTTTCTTTTAACCAAAGGGAAAGTCCGAGAGACTGCGCTGGCGTCTCTGTTTGAACACTTGTCCCGTGCCATAAATACCACCTCTTTTGTGCTCCACAGTGTGTTCACAAACTGCTACAATATACAAGACAGTTTAAGTTTACTGTATACATAATTGTAGTATACAAATGTAACAGTGAGTGTACAATGCAGTGGTTTAATAAGTGTATACACAACTGTACAAAATGTGTACTGTACTGTATGTACAAGGGTACATACAGCACTCCTACAGCAGCAATACTCGGGCACTGTCCATTTGAAGCAGCTCGGGGAGAAGTTTTTCTGGACTGCAGCATATACAATGTAGTTTAAAATGTCAATTTTATATTTAAATTTTATTGTATATTTATTTTGTTTCTACAGTTACTGTACTTATTCTGTATGCAGTGACGAACTACACTATCAGTCAAATCCTAGGGATAACGTATATCTGTCTGTTATCTAGAGGGTTGTCCGATAGGTTTAGGGTGTCCATTATATAGCGTCCGTTATATCGAGTGTTTACTGTAATTGGTAGCCAGAATCTGGAATATGGGTATAACAAGGACCATGAGAAGATATTACATAGATGAACTTAGAGAGTTTACAGTGTAGTGTGCTGCTGTGTCTGATTATTTATTTATTTGAATGGTGATTGTTTACTTTAGGTAGTTGGCTGTCCTCTTCATCTTACTACAGTATCTGGTTACTCTCTACATTTGTGGATGTTTAGGTATACTGTAGTACTCAAACACAGTACACTCAAGACCCCGTGCATGCCCATTTCCTGCCGACGGTGATGTGAGGTTGGAATCAGATGCTTTGAGAAATTCCAGAACTGCTGTAAAAGTCAGAGATAGTGTATCTGTAGGTGCAGTCTTTAATGATTTACCCTCCTCCATAGATACAGTTTCTGACGGACTTGGTGCCCCATGAGCCAGCATATTGTCTTCGTGCTCATCTCACAAATCAAATATTCACACCAAAAGGCTGTAAAGAGGTATTGTATATATTTTTTTAATGAGCTTCACTACTTTTTATTTTATAATAATTATTGTTTATTGGATAGTAATTTGGGAAAAACAGATAAAATAAAAAGAACTGCTTTCCTCTTGTTTTTTGTTTTTGTTTCAGAAAATAACAAGTAATTTTCACTAATCCTTTTGGTTTCCACGTGTGTTAGCATGTAGCTTTTTCTCTCCAGTCCTTGTGCAAGAACACTACAACTCTCACAAATACTCATAAGAACACAACTCCTTTTACCAACACACAACTCCTCTCACCAACACACAACTCCTCTCACCAACACACAACTCCTCTCACCAACACACAACTCCTCTCACCAACACACAACTCCTCTCACCAACACACAACTCCTCTCACCAACACACAACTCCTCTCACCAACACACAACTCCTCTCACCAACATACACTTAATGGTCGTTTGATTCTGAACGTACACAGTTAGTGGCACACGAGGATTAATCCCTACAATCGCCACTGCGTTAATCTTCGCTAAGAGAGCCACCTGAGTCATTTGAAGTACCCCAAAACTTCATATTATTGTATTCAGTCGGTGCGATGGAATGTTTTCATGAACTCCATTATCATGTGAACTCACAAATCCAAATACTGTACTGTAGGTTCCCTGAGTAGATATTCTTTCTCTTTAAATATAAATCTGTAATATGCAGTCATTTTATTTATGCCTGTGGTATTTCTTTAGATCCTGAGTGACTACTGCTACCTGGCAAAAGCAAGACTTCAAGAATTAAGGGAGAAGTTAGAGGATTGTTCTATTGAGCATCAGTCGTTGAAAACCAAGAATAAAGTTTGTATTTGTGCTATTTTTTTACAGGAATGCTGAAAATATTGTACCATATTGTAGATATTTTTGTGAAGAAATCAAAGAATAAAGAAATTATATATATATATATATATATATATATATATATATATATATATATATATATATATATATATATATATATATATATATATATATATATATATATATATACATACATACATACATACATACATACATACATACATACATACATACATACATACATACATACATACATACATACATACATACATACATATATATATATATACACACACACACACACACAGTGACCCCTCCATTAACGAACTCAATCCGTACCATAAGGTCGTTCGTTAACCGAAACCATTGTTTCAATGGGCTTTTGGGTAATTGGTTCCAGCTCACCGAAAATTTCCTAAATTCAACAAAAATGGTAGAAAAGTTCACTTACTTTGAGGTGTGTATGTAGAAGGCTCCTGGATGATGATGATGATGATGGGATTTAGAATGGTGGGTGGAGGAGAAGGAAGAAGAGAAAGCATTGGGGTGGAAGAGAAGTCACCCCATGGCGCCATTTCACCCATAAAATTTTAGCTCTCTTGGTGTAATTCAAGATTATTTTCTTTAAATCAACACTGCACTGCATTATATTTTGTCAATATGTAAAATATATTTCAAAATGACCAATAATTTGCTTGGAAACACAGAAAAAAAGCGTTTAGTTGAAGAGAGTCTCAAGCAAGATGTTACCTCCAGTGAAAACAGAGGGAGACTAACTCCTGTTTGCTGTGTTAAGAGGCTGGATGCCGCGCATTAAACTAGTCACTTTACCTTCAATTATGTTCAATAATTGTTAAAATGACTAAAAAATTGAATATTAAACTTTTAAAGTTATTGAATAGTATAAACTTCTTGATATTTACTAAAATAGTAAGGAATTTAAGCTCTAGAACCGATTAATGCATTGGCTGACTGATACTAAAGCTGGTTGCCCTGTCAATGCAAGTGAAAACATGTTGAAGTCGGTTAGTAAGAACTTCGTTAACCGAATTTTTTTCGTTAACCGAATTGAAGATCCTTATGGAAGGCAGTTCGTTAATCGAAATTTCGTTAATATAACCCACAGGGTACCGCGGAAAGTGAGAAACACGTAAAGTGAACAACATAACATATGGGATTAATTGAAATAGAGACCGGGCCGACCCCCAAACTCCACTTTTTGACGACACACAACTATGTTGTAGTAAAAATATTATCTTAACTTTATGATGGTATGCACACACAATTAATAATTAAGAGAAATATCAATAATATTAGGTTTTTCAACACTTACATTAGTAGAATAGATGGCTGGGCACACTGGGATGGGCGGTTGGTTCCGAGGCAGAGGGCAGATTATTGGCCCTCACCTGTATCACTTGTATCACTTTCCACCACAGAGGCTTGCAGGGCCTCTTTGTCAAACCCCTCAAAGTCCATATCCTCACTATAATTATCACTATCACTGACTTGGGCCGGCTGTGGTGGGTGGCGGGTGAAGAACTCGGTAATGTTTTGATGACTGGGCGACCTTGTGCGCACGCTGCTCGCGCCGCTCTCCACGTAAAAGGGTACACACACCGCGGAAAGTGAGCATTCCGGTTTCGGCAGGGTACCGCGTAAACATGGAAACGCGTAAAGTGGGACCGTGTAAAGCGAGGGTTGACTGTATAATTATTGGTCATTCTAAAATTTACCCGTATGTCTACATAAAGTTTTCAACTATTATTTTTTGCTCGATTATGTAACTTTACTCATTTATTGAAATTCATTTACATGCACACACTGTCCTAAGGGCAAATCTGTACTGTACATGTAATCAAAATAATGTACAAAATGATTACTAAAATTTTTGTCTAGTGCAAACTATGGTATGTTTACATTAAAATTAATCACTATCTTATAAGAATTCCAGCAATGTAAATTATATTCTCCCCAGTCACTTCTATGATATTTTATAAGCAAAAAACATAAACTCAATCTAAAGGACATAAATAAACAAATCAATACTTCACTAACTGTCAAACATGTCACTGTCACCCCTCCCTCCCTCCCTCCCTCCCTCCCAGCAAGGGTTTGGTGGTTACAGTAGGCTTTAAGTTTTTATCTTGTATAATATCACAGACTAAAGTTAGGTGAATATAATTTACATTGCTGGAATCCTTGCAAGACAGTGAATAATTTTAATATAAACGTCATATATTTTGCACAAGAGATAAAAATTAATCACCTGTATCACATTACAGTAGTGATTTAAGAGTAAGAGTGTACTGTATATGTACGTATATATATATATAGTGATTTAAGGGCGATTTATGGGAATTTTAGGAGTGTTTGACTTTATGCATTATCGGCTTTACTTAGTATGTACTTTTCTGTGAGCTGGAACCAATTACCGAATATCCCATTGAAATAATGGATTCGGTTCACAAAATTTTTGGTTAACGAACGACTGTGGAACGAATTGTGTTCATTAACCGAGGGACCACTGTACAGCTCCTCCCCGACTCACGACCTACTTGACTTACAACCACCAGCACATACGGCCGCCTCAGTCGTACCAAATTTTTTGTCAAATTACGTATTTTCGAGTCCCTGTGTCAGTGATTGCGCTGTTTGCTGACAAATTTTTTTTTGTAATTCACTTTAAAATGGCTGGCAAGCTTAAAAGTGAGAGTTTTGTGGTGCTGAGAAGAAAAAGAGACACCCATTTTAAATTTTCTATGATTTTTTAAGCATTTCTAACTTACGACCATTTCAACTTACGACCCGGATTTTGGTTCCTAACCCTGTCGTAAGTCGGGGAGGGGCTGTATATATATATATATATATATATATATATATATATATATATATATATATATATATATATATATATATATATATATATATATATATATATATATATATATATATATATATATATATATATACACAGGGATCAGCCCACCCGAGCACAGCAGGTCACTGACTCACATTGGGGCCTGGGGGCTAAAATATAATAATAATAATAATTATAATAATAATTATTCATAGGTCTAGGTCATGTTTCTCACCTTTGATCTATTTTTTCATTCTTGTATTTCTTTATTATTATTATTATTTCATTATTGCAGTGTTATTATTATTATCATTTTTATTTTATTTTTGTATTTTTTATTAAAATTTTTATTTTCTATGAATAATTATTATTATTACTGTATTATCATTATTACCTGTATTATTATAATTATTATTACTATTACATTTTCACCCCCCAGGCCCCGATGTGGGTCAGTGACACTGTATTATCATTATTACCTGTATTATTATAATTATTATTACTATTACATTTTCACCCCCCAGGCCCCGATGTGGGTCAGTGACATGTGCCCGGGTGGGCTAATGCCCATAAAAAAAAAAAAAATCCTCCACAAAAAAATTTCGGTTCGGTTTTCAGAGCTTTTCGGTTTTCGGAATTTCGGATAAAGGGTTGTCAACCTGTGTGTATATATATATATATATATATATATATATATATATATATATATATATATATATATATATATATATATATATATATATATATATATGTATGTATGTATGTATGTATGTATGTATGTATGTATATATATATATATATATATATATATATATACATATATATAATTTTTTTTTTTTTGGGGGTAATGGTGATAAAAAAATGGTACTGTAGAAGTGAAGTTATGGCGTCTTCAGTTATAGTTTTAAGTAATTGGTTGGTGCATATGTTTATTTTTGTAGGTAGCGGAGGAGGTAGAATCTGCTGTGAAGCACTTCAGTGAAACTGGAAAAATAGCTAACTTCATCTTAGAGGCATCAATTTTTCGCAAGCCACACTTTCGTTCAGCCTTCCTGCCTGCTCTGTTAATACCCAGGTAAGGTTTTCTCTTCATACATGTTAGTAGGTTGCTGGAGCTTAGATAGTACAGTATGTATGTATTAATGTTCTTAGGAGGAGAGTCTGCTGGAGGCTAGGTATAGGTGTAGTAATAGTTCTAGGAAGGTAGTACAGTATGCTGGTGACAAGTTACTGTAGGTGTAATGATAGTAACACTGTAGTTTACTGGATAGTTGTAGTAATGACAATTATATTAAGAGGAAACTAGAATCTATTTTTTTTATGCAGAACATAAGCTTTCATAAGGTATTATGTTGACAGAAATTAAGTGAATAAGAAAAGCATTGAAGAATAATTGATAGGAGGGCACCTTAGATTTTACAGGTACATACTTCATGTTAAGAAATTGTATTAATTTATCATTTCCAACACTTATCAGTTTACTAGCTATTTAGATGGTCAATCCATTCTTTGTTACTTAGTTATGACCTTCATTGTCCAGTGTTAGTGTAGCATGAACAGAGCAGCGGACTCCCATAGCAGGGATAGGACACACATTTGTAATTTTCTCTCCTTTATTTACTCTAGAAATCACCCGAGGAAGAAAAGGCTGGGACCTAGATCAGATATAACCAGTCATTATACATTATACATACAAAACAAGCATAAACTGTTGTCATAATCGCATATTGGCACAACACATTAGTAGGAACTAAACAGGGCATAACAAGCCCAACCCACCAGCATAACAAGGGGGTGGACTCTCGGCACTGACTCATTCTGGGGTGGCAGGGGATGAATGGCTGTATAGCAATGCCTTTAGTAGCCTTATTTTGGCTTACAAACTCCCTCCGTGCATTCATCACATTCTTCATATAACACTCATTATGCACAACCTTTCAAACACACCCTAATAGAGCTAAAAATACCTCTTGCTGGACCCTGCTAATGCACCTTCTCGTAACGTAAACAAACCGTGACGTCCTTTCCCCAGGCTGGGCTGCATTCGCTGGTAGCAAACCCCATTTCGAATCCACAAAATATACTTTTTTTTTCCTCCTCGGGACTTACAAAAATACACATCCATACTAAAAAATACTCTAAATCACCAAATAGTTGTCTCTGGAATTCCTCATACCACATTAGTACAGGAGGAAACTGGAGAACCTGGAGATAACCTGCCATGTTTGGTAGTTTCACACTGGATTACACCCAGCACTCACTGATGAGGGGCACATGCATTTACCCTATTGTGAAACCTAAGCACAATGATAGATTCAGATACGATACAAAGTGCAGGTACAGTAATTCCTATGTACAGTAGTGATATTAGTGTACTGGATTGTGAAAGATGAAGATTCATGGATCCAATTGTCTTAACCACCTGTGTGCGGGGTTCCCTGTGAGGTGAATAAAATTGTTTCATATTTGCCAAATAAAATATTAACACTCTTGGGGTTTTCATACTCAAATTTGTGTTATGAAATAAAAAATTATAATAAAATAATTTTTTATGTTTCCGTATGAACACTAGATAAGCAAGATGCACATTTGGTAATAATACTGTTGGTGTGATCTGGCACCTATGTAGACTGCCTCCAAGGTTACGTGAGTGATCACACCTGTCGCCCTTGTGGTTCAGCGGCACAGGACGCAACCTTGACCAGCATTTTCCATTATTTTCTCATGGCTTGTGCTGATTTCTCGTTCATCACAGTGATTTCATTTATTGATAACAATGTTGTGATAGTTTTGAACCATGCCTTGTGTTGCTGGTGAAGGCGAAGGGATGGGAAAACGTAAAAAGTACAAGGAGATTGCACCATGTGTTGATAGTGTCCCTGGCCCTTTTAGTGGAAGTGATAGTTTGTCTGGCCCTTCAACAAGCAGTCCTAGTGTGAAAGGAACTGCCCAGCATGTTGTGGCTAAAAGGAAATATAAAAAAGTGTGGCACATGTGGTATCTCGGCCATCACAGCACGGCTTACCTCGTGACCGCTCATCTCCCTCACATGTGTACGCTACCCGTACTCCCACTGAAACTATATTTAGTCACCTTGTTCAGGCTAAGTACGGCACCGTGGGGCACAGAGGATGGGGGGTGGGAGGGAGAGGAACATCACCAAATGCTCCAACATCTAACATGTAAATACAGAAATTCATTTATTTTCGTAAAAAAAATAATAATACAGTGGTCCCTCGGTTAACGAGCACAATCCGTTCTAGAGGGTTGCTCATTAACCAAAACCATTGTTTCAATGGGTTTTTGGGTAATTGGTTCCAGCTCACCGAAAATTGCCTAAATTCAACAAAAAAGGTAGAAAAGTACACTTACTTTGAGGTGTGTATGTAGAAGGCTCCTGGATGATGATGATGATGATGATGGGAATTGGAATGGGGGTGGAGGAGAAGGGAGAAGAGAAGGCATCGGGGTGGAAGAGAAGTCACCCCATGCCGCCATTTCACCCATTAAATTTTAGTTCTCTTGGTGTAATTCAAGATTATTTTCTTTAAATCAACATTGCACTGCATTATATATTATCAATATGTAAAATAAATATCAAAATGACCAATAATTTGCTTGCAAACACAGAAAAAAGCGTTTAGTTGAAGAGAGTCTCGAGCAAGATGTTACCTACACTGAAAAGACACAAAGACTGACGCCTGTATGGTGTGTTGAGAGGCTGGATGGCGCGCATAAAACTAGTTTCATTACCTTCAATTATATTCAATAATTGTTAAAATGGCTAAAAAATTTAATATTGAACTTTTAAAATTATTGAATAGTATAAACTTCTTGGTATTTGCTAAAATGGTAAGGAATTTAAGTCCTAGAACTGATTACTGTATTGGCGGACTAATACTACAGCTGATGGACTGCCAAATGCAAGCGAAAACATGTTGAGGTCGGCTCGTAAGAAACTCGTTAATCGAGGGATTGCTCATTAACCGAAGTTAAGAATCTTATGGAAGGTAACTCGTAAACCGAAATCTCGTTAACTGAGGCGCTCGTTAACCGAGGGACCACTGTACAGTAATAATAATATTTTTATGCATTATCTTTAACCAATAATTTACAATTATTATTATATATGAATTTTGAAAGTAATATACTTTAATAAGCACATTATGTATAATTTATGTAAAAATCTAGAAATTTTGAGGGAGGATTATATGCATTTGGGAGCTTGAGTGGCAGCCATGCACTACAATTTGTGTTATTATCACACTTATGTATAGATTTAATGATTTTATTGTGATTATCTGTATCAAACTATTTGTAGATAATGTATTTACAATGCTAATGGAACAAAACCAACCTTTTTACCTCAGATAGAAAATTTGCTATGACTCATTACGTACAATTATCTCTCATGTGGTGCTGTCAGTTGTTGTGAGGTGAGTGACCGGCCAGAGCCCAAGCTTCTCACCGGAGAGCACCTCCCTAAACCCAAGAGTATTACAAATGGTGTCCCCGTAGTGAAAAGGTTAAAGTGATGGGCTGTTGATAATGGAAAAGAGGAAAGGATCAGTATGTGGTATATGTTAATTAAAAAAAATATCTAAGTACAGTAGAAGGATAATTTACAAGTTACTATAGGTAGGGGGGGGGGGGTAAACACTCCAAACTCATGTTATAAAGAGAGAACAGCAAATGAGAAGAATAGAAAAGGTGAAATATATTCTGAGTTTTAGAAAGATACAAAGAAGGGAAGAGTGACCCATTGATGTGTACATAGTAAATCATTGAAGTTGAGTAAGATACCAGAAATATTATATGCATTTTGGGATTGAGATATGTAGCAAATAACTAAGGTGATCTTGAGAGAGTATATCAAGGTACAGTATCAGAATTTTAAGATGTGTATAGAAATTAAGATAACCAAATGTTTACATGCATAAGTAGATTATAGGATGGTGCTACAATGTTGACAATATGGCAGCTTTGTAAAGAAATAGATTGATAGAAACAATACAGTAATTAATTAACAGTACTTACTCATTCACAGGCAGTTACCAGATGTTCCAGATGCACGGGCAAAATTAATTGGGGCGCTCCATTCAGCTGGGAAAATTTCATTCAATATGTATAGCAGTTACATCGAAGCTTGTCAGAAAGAGTCCTCAGATTTATTAACAGGTACAGTAGCTAATATGACTATTTCCTTCTTTTTTTAAGCACACTGTACAGTAGACCTCACGTTATTCTTATTATTAGTTAATTGCCTCCCATAGTACAGGTTGTACCTCTCTAGTCCGGCATTCTGTGGTCCGGAACAATTTTAGTTTGTCCAATAGGTAGATGGGCAGCTTTTTTTTTTTATCTGAATTATTATTGTTATTACAGGAGTATTAAATTTTTGCCCCTCAGGCCCCAATGTGGGTCAGTGACCTATGCCCGGGTGGGCTAATCCCTATAAAAAATAACAACAACAAAGCCGCGGGAAATTAAGGTTTGTTTACATCCGGCAATTCGGCTGCTCTCTCTCTCTGCTTGTCTATACAGAGTACAACATTTAACCCTTCAATATATATGAGCAGTAAATAAGTGTTGCTTTCATATTCTTATGTAGAGTAATAACGATATGTTTTCACATGTGCGCACTTACATACGCGCAGTCTCACTTTTTTTTTTACCATTAATGGTTAGCTACTTATATTGTTCCATTTATTAACATTAAATAACATTACAGGTACTTCAAACAACCATATTAATTTTTTACATTAATTTTACTACAGCTACAATCAGGGTCTTATTTTCTTCAGTTTTATATGTAGAACCAATCAGTCACTGGTTTTGTAAGCTTTAACATAAACAATGCCGGCAGCCGTCTCGTCTCATCGTGTGTTTTAATATTCCATGTATTATTAAAAAATTGTATTGTTAATTTTGCACACACAAACATTAATGCCATAAAAACAAATTCAGAAACATTATTTAAAATATATATGAACAGTAAATAAGTGTTGCTTTCATATTCTTGTGTAAAGTAATGACGATATGTTTTCACGTGTGCGCACTTACATACGCGATCTCTCTTTCTTCTTTACCTTTATCGTTAGCTACTTCTATTGTTCCATTTATTAACATTAAATAACATTACTTAAAACAACCATATTAATTTTACTACAGCTACAACCAAGGTCTTATTTTCTTCAGTTTTATATGTAGAACCAGTCGTCACTGGTTTTGTAATCGACGAAAACAATGCTGTGTCATTTCCTCGTGTGTTTTAATATTCTACGTATTATTAATGAATTGTATTGCTCATTTTGCACACATAAACATTAATTCAATAAAAAAGACATTCAGTAATAAACAATAATGAATCTTTTGTACATAAGAGAAATGACGCTGTTTACACGATTTTGCACGTCGTCTGCACGTTGGCGGGCTGTTCAAACCCGTCGAATTCAAGTTTCCGCCGTCAAAATTTTTATTTATTTTTTGTGTGTGTGTGTTCCAATAAAATACATTGAATTAAAAACTCGCGAAATTTGAGAAGCTACTATACAACATTTAACCCTTCAATATGTCTTCAAAGAGACCATGATGCAGAGAAAGTGATGCTAGTGCTTCCAAGCATAAGGACAAGTCACTATCTATCCAGGAAAAGCGTGAATTTCCATGGTCCGGCACCGGTCAGGTCCCGAGGTTGCCGGACTAGAGAGGTACAACCTGTATTCACAATATGAGGTAATACTGTACTGTACTACTGTATTTGCATTTTTAATATCCATCTCAAGCTTCTATCTGTACTGTAGTTATCAGCTCATGAAAAGTTGGTGTTTAAATCATAATCCAGACATACCAGATGATGTGGGCTCAGTGAGGGAAGCAAACCAGTCATTCACAAGCAAGAGTGTGCTCCCCTGTATGTCTTGAACCTGTCAGTGGCATGAGTAGGACTTGGACCATCTGGGGCAGCTGTCATACAGTTGACGGCCACAGTTATGGGATGTTGGATGTTGTCTTTCTACAAAACTACTATATATCATGATGATCAATTACATCCAGCCTGCATCTTCTTTCTTGATGCTCAGTACAGGCAGAAGATTGTTGTAAGCATTCATGATAAGTGCCAGGCCTTGGATGGGAGATGATAGCTATGGCTTGGTGTTGAGCAGAGGACAGCTTATGGCTAGAAAAATTTGCAAGATAAACTCAAATAAATTATTAGAGAAGCACAGGATAGTGACCCTACAAGGGATTGGCTTGATTGTACATTCCATGACCATCGTTGACCAACTCCGAGTTCACTGCACACACATCCTCACCTCTTACAAGTCCAAAGCATCCAAGATAACAAACTCCTAAGAAATATAGTTAAGCTTACAGTATTTGGAAGTGAATCAACAAAACTACAGTTTCATATTACTCGACTGTAGTATGTGAAGTGTTGTGGGTTTCATTACATGAAGGAAATATACAATACTGTATATGTCTTCAAGCTTTATTTTTGTGTTACTGCTTCACACAATGACCAATTAATTATATTTTTCACTTTTAAATCACTTGGTTTTGCTTGGATCAGGTAGTACTGTATAACTTCAACTGTCACAGTTTACCCTCCCTGACACCTTTCCTAACTTAACCCAACCCAACCTAACTGATGCATACTTTAGATTCTCTGAAAACTTTTCCCAGCACCCGGAAACATTCCGGGGATGTGGGATTTTTTCCGGGTTTGAGAGAAACATCTCATACCCGGAAGAGTTCTACACCAATTATTCTGTCTAATGGGGATATCACTGTATTCCTTTGCCCAGCTGCCTCCTCTTACCTTCATATTAACTCATTGTTAGTGTGAGTCTTATTTCTTGTGCCATTTCTACTTCAGGTGTATTCATAGATGTTACACAAGACATAACTGTTGAAGAACCAATCATAGAACTTTCTACTATGCTACAAGAACTTGTTGATGAAGCCACAAGTAACCAGGATGAAAGTACAGCCACATCACCCCTTGTGTTACCATGTCTCTCCCGAATTTCAGGGAAGATTGAAGAAATGATGAAGTTATCAGACTCTATGTTAAAGGATGTTAAATATCTGACCGTGGATGCAAGAAAATTCAATCCAAAAATGGTACCATATCAGGTATGTGTTTTGATGAACTATTTGTGTTTTAATGTACTCGTAAGGGACTGTTTTCTTGAATGATCTAGTTCAAACCTTAAGTACTATACTGTACTTCAGGCATGGGCAACCCGTAGCCCGGACCATGTGTTTGTGCGGCCCGCAGAGTGATTGAGAAATTCTATTTAATGTGACCCGTGGTTCAGGTAGATGCAGCCAGTTTATGGTGAGTAAAGCAATATTTATTAAAAGAATAATCTTCACACACAATTCATTGTTGTTTCATCACCTAAGAGTAAGTAACTAATTAAATGTAACGGTGAAATAAGTATAAATAGTAAACAATATAAAATTTAAACTTGTGTGAGTTTACGGGCCAAGTTCTGCTCGGACTGCTTGATGGATTAGTTGCTATGTGGCAGTGGGTCACTTGGGAATTAACTAAGGTTTGGTAAGTCCAAGTGGGATCATAAGCAGTGGTCATACAGGGTTAAATTAATTTAGTAGATTCAGAATCAGCATGCTCAGGAGTACCTATAAGGAGATTTTCAACTAAATCTAAATTTTGCCCCAAACCGCCAAAATATTAAGCCTTATGTCTTAGTAATTTTTTGACCGAAATATACTTTTCTTTTGGAATTGGAATTTAAAGGGTTTTACTAATTAAATATTTCCAGAATAACAAAAACACCAAAATCGCACCTCGTAAACCCATAGTTGGCGAGTAATTAACATTGAAATAATGTAATTAAAATTTTCCAAGCTTCATTACGACCACTAATTACCCTGCAATTGAATCATGGACCACAGATTCGGAATTAGCATGCTCAGGAGTACCTATACAGTAAAGCCTCCAATAACGACGGTTCAACAAACGAAGATTCAAATCTAAGACCCTGGTTAATTTAGGACCTAATTCAATTTACGCCATTATTTTCTTCGTATTTACGATGAAATTATAAAAAATATATTACATTTTCGTATAAATAATAACTAAATCCCGATAAAAAAAAAAAACACGCCTTGTGCATGGAGGCTGCCGGGCTTGATAGTGGTGACTCCAGCATCACTACTATAAACAATTGCAGCATCTGAACAGGAAAAGGAGAAAAATCTTCTCAGGTTCTTACAGCATTTTTGCATCCCTATTCAACATGAGCAAGAGAGCAAGTGATGGTAGTGTTGTTTCAAAAGCTAATAGAAATTGTATAAGCTTAGTCGAGAAACTAGATGTGTTAAAACGATATGAGAAAGGTGAGTGGTCTGTGGATATTATATGGAGCAAGCAATGAACATATTTTCTGAAGTGGATCCATTAACAGAACAAAGCATTAAAATTTATATCAATGCAAATGACCTAAACCATCAACTTCAGCTACACCATCAAATTCAACATCATAAGCAGCTTCAACAGTGACTTCAGGTTCAGTAACAGTTTCAGCAACAGCTTTATGGAAAGCTACAGCTTCAACCAGAGTTGAACCTGATGACTTTGTCATCTGAGTAAAAACTCGCACAATATTCATTGGCTGTCCTTATGTTTTAAACTTTACCACCATTGGTGAGTAGAATTATTTTGTTTTACATTCGTGAATATTATTTAAAACATATATGAACAGTAAATAAGTGTTGCTTTCATATTCATATGTAGAGAAATGATGATATATTTTCACATATATGCACTTACTGTACATACGTTGGTGTTCCCAATCGTCTTGCTTTATTTCTTTACCGTTAGTGGTTAGCTTCTTCTAGCGTTCCATTTATTAACATTAAATAACATTACAGTGGTCCCTCGGTTAACGAGCACAATCCTTTCCAGCAGGTTGCCCGTTAACCGAAAAACTCGTTAACCGAAATGATTGTTTCAGTGGGTTTTTGGGTAATTGGTTCCAGCTCACCGAAAATTGCCTAAATTCAACAAGAAAGGTAGAAAAGTACACTTACTTTGAGGTGTGTATGTAGAAGGCTCCTGGATGATGATGATGATGATGGGAATTAGAATGGGGGTAGAGGAGAAGGGAGAAGAGAAGGCATTGGGGTGGAAGAGAAGTCACCCCATGGTGCCATTTCACCCATAAAATTTTAGTTCTCTTGGTGTAATTCAAGATTATTTTCTTTAAATCAGCACTGCACTGCACTGCATTATATATTGTCAATATGTAAGATAAATTTCAAAATGACCAATAATTTGCTTGCAAACACAGAAAAAAAGTGTTTTATTGAAGAGAGTCTCAAGCAAGATGTTACCTCCACTGAGAGGAGAGAGAGATTGGCACCTTCAATTATGTTCAATAATTGTTAAAATTACTAAAAAATTTAATGTTAAACTTTTAAAATTATTGAATAGTATAAACTTCTTGATATTTCCTAAAATAGTAAGGAATTTAAGCCCTAAACCGATTACTGTATTGGCGGACTAACACTACAGCTGGTGGACCGCCAAATGCAAGCGAAAACATGCTGAGGTCGGCTCGTAAAAAACTCGTAAATCGAGGGATTGCTCGTTAACCGAAGTTAAGAATCTTATGGAAGGTAAATCGTTAACCAAAATCTCGTTAATCGGGGCGCTCGTTAACCGAGGGATCACTGTACAGTATTCGGTAAGTGTGGCTCTTTTCATAAGATTTCTTTATTAATCTTCCCCATTTCTTGACACTTAAGCCCCAGGTTAGTGGTCATTACGACCATTAATTACCCTGCAATCGAATCGTGGACCACAAATTCAGAATCAGCATGCTCAGGAGTACTTATACAGTGGTCCCTCGGTTAACGAACGGTTCGATTAACAAAATTTCGGTTAACGAATTACCTCCCTTAAGGATCTTCAATTCGGTTAATGAACAAAACTTTGATTAACAAGATCCTTATGAACAACACGTTTTGTTGTGAGCATCAGCTGATCAGCTGATGGGCTAGTCTGCCAATTCAATAATCTGTTCTATGTTTATATTCGTTTCCAGTGGAGTAAATATCAAGAAAGTTGTGCTCTTTAATATTTTTTTCATTTTTTATATTAAAATTATAAATCATTTTAACATTTATTTAACATATTGATAATATATGCAGTACAGGGAACTAGTTTTTTGTGCGCCCATCAGACGCTTGACTCAGCCACAAGGCGTCAGTTGAGCTTTGTTGACAGTGAAGTGAACATCTATTTTGTTGGTATCTTGAATATTTTTGCATTTTTACGTTGAAATTATTGGTCATTCTGAAATTTAGTTAACATATTGATAATATATAGCGCAGTGCAGTGTTGATTTAAATAAAGTTATCTTGAATTACACCTAGTGAACTTAAAATTTTATTGGTGAAATGACTGTATCAAGCATGGGTCCCCTGAAAGGTGATTTCTTCTCCATACCACTTCCTTCTCTTCTCCCTTCTCCTCCACCCCCACTTCTAATTCCCATCATCATCATCAACCAGGAACCTTCTACATACACCCCTCAAAGTAAGTGTACTTTAATGCATTTCTTTTTTTTTTTTTTTTACTTTATACAGTATTTACTTTTCTGTGAGCTGGAACCAATTACCCAATATCCCATTGAAACAATGGATTTGGTTAACAAAATATTTGGTTAGCGAATGTCTCTGTGGAACGAATTGTGTTCGTTAACCAAGGGACCACTGTACTGATATGTGCCTATAGGTTGCTTCATTGTTGCTCCTCATATGCCAAGATTAACATTGGCAATATTCTGGTGGGTGTGTCTCATAATTAAGAAAAATGCTGTAACTGTAGGAAAAATCAATGTATTCACAGACTACTTCACTCATCTTCTGTTAAATGCCAAAAAACATTAACATAATACTGTACTTTAAAAATTATTATGATGCAATTGTTTCATAAATGGGAAAAAGACTGATTGTAAACTGAAATTATTGTAAGGTGGACATGACAACATACTGTTACACTGTGTGTGCTATTACAATATCAACATTACTTTGGGTTACAGGTAGGTAGGATATAAATTTTGGTGGGTTGGCCCGCAGAAAAGTGCCAAATCGTAATGCGGCCCATGACTGAGGAAAGGTTGCCCATGCCTGCTGTACTTCATTGAATGCTTTGAAAATTTGATAACATGAAGATTAACATGGAAATCAAACATACAATGATATAATTAAGTTTGTCCTTTGATTGTTGACTTATGAACCATTATACTCAAGGTGTTAAGTCATTGTATTCCAGGGGTAAAATCTCTGTACTCAAGGGGTAAAGCCACTGTACTCAAGAGGTAAAACCACTGTACTCAAGAGGTAAAGCCACTGTACTCAAAGGGTTAGGTCACTGTACTCAAGGGGTAAATTCACTGTACTCAAGAGGTAAAAACCACTGTACTCAAGAGGTAAAGCCACTGTACTCAAAGTGCTAAGTCATTGTATTCAAGGCATTAAATTATTGTATACTCATACTCAAGGGCTTAAGTCATAGCACGTGAGAAGTTAATGTAAGTTTACTTTTCAAAATGAGAGAATGTTTGTGAGACTGTGACAGCTAGTGATGACAGTTCCCTATCATATGGAATTTAAACTGTTCACTATTATCATACGAATCAAAACATCTTGGTAATTGACCCTGAAAACTAATAGCAAACACATTTAAGTGATACAGTATACATATCCTGAAAACTTCCATCAAATGCATTTAAGTGATATACATATGATGAAAAACTTCTATCAAACATATTTTTGTGTGATACATGAGTACAGTACATTCTTGTACCTGCCTTATTTTGTTCAGGTGATACAGAAAATCATGGAAACTGTTGGGAAGCTCTGCCTCATTTCCAGCCCAGACAAAAGTGCAAAGAGAAGACCTGACTTTCTCTCACAGTTCGTCTCACTGATCTCTTCAAGTGTGACCCTACAGTGTGCCCTCTTCACGTACCTTATACACAATGTGAAGATTGGTCAGCAAGGAGAACTGTGCAAAGATCAAGTAAGTAGCATTTCAAGTCAGAATTTCATGGCAACAAATTTTTTAGGTAAGGAAAGGGCTCAGGTTGGAGATCATATTTGTAATGCCAAGATACTGTACTCACCCGGATAAAGGAGGTCCACTTTTTAGCACTTTATTGATATGTTTTATTGGCAGGACACACACACACACACACGCGGGTCAAAAACATAAGTTGTATTGCCAGTATAATTCTTGTACATTGGGGTAAATTATGATTATTCCTTTATTTCAGTTTGTCTGTCCCTTCTAATTTTGCCTCCAGTCTCTTTAAGTGTAAGATTTAAGATTGAACTTTGAATTAGTCATCACAGTCAGATACTAAAATGTCTCTCTTACCTTTAACACCATTAGTCTCATATACAGTATGTTTAATGTTATGAAGTTGGTAGCCATTAAGGTTTGTCATTGTTAATCAGATTTTAAAATACAGAAATGGCACCTGAGTTTTTTTAAGTTGTTGTTTAGTTTCTGCAGACAGTGAGTCTTGGGTCCTCAAACTATTGTACAGTACTGTATATGTCACTATGAAAATTAAGTGTAGATTTTTCACTTTTCATTGGGTTCCTGCTGCATTGTATTTATACCAGACATAATTAAATTTCAGATTGAAAATTATGGTGTAATTCTGTCTGAACTGTGGAAAATTGAGGGTCTCTTTCTCCCTATTATTGAAGCCTCTGCCCCAGACCAACAGCCTCAGTATTTCTTCAGACTCTTCTTGGACAAATTAAAGCTTCATTCTCGGCAGGCTTCTATCTTTGCTTGCAGGTTGGTAATTAAAAAAAATATATGTATATGTGTGCATATATATATATTTTTTTAATAGATTGGATTCTGCTTGTACCTCTATTTCTTTTATTCTTATTTATCATTTCTCCTCCACCTTACTTGCCATTTGGTCAGTCAGTCTGTTCTTTGTTATGACCTGCAATGTTTAGTAGTGGTGACACATCTGTCCCGGACTGGGGATTGAATCCAGGACACAATGGTAAGAGGAATGTGTGTTACTGCTGTACCACCAGCAATAAAATGTCTACAACTAGTCTCCAATCATTTCCATGAGAGATGTCAAAAGTTCGTTACATTAATGATACTTCTGTAATATATTACTTCTTGTGATGTTTAGCCCGGTCAGTCACCATTACAAGGTAGTTTGTCAACAATCAAAACTTTGCTCTGTGTACTTATATATAAACTGCAGGGGGCTTTAACTCAGAACCTGTAATGTGCGCAGGTAAATCAGTGTAAATAATATTCACCTGTGAGTGTTGGGATTCGAACCTGGACCACCAAGGTTATTCAAGTTCAAATCCCAACACTCACAGGCAAAATTTTTTTACACTGCAGGTGGCCTTGTTGTGGAGGGTAAAAATCAATGTAGAATGTATCTGGTACAGCAGTTAGAACGAATGAAAAGTGACCTTTCATAGTTTTGGTTCTGGCCACCCAACACCATACCAAGAAGGGGCCTGGGAAAGTGAAAAAAGTAATCTTATGAATAGTCCAACATCACTAAACTTTTCTTGCAATAGTAGATGCAAATTCCATTAATGCTTTATTAACAGGTAACTTCAAATATCTTCAAAATTCAAGTTTCCTCTGGGGAATACTGTAATAACGAGTCCAAATGATAACCCTCACATGTGTAGACAAATGCTTTAATTTCTGTCTTTCTCAAGTTAGGTAAACTCCATCATGTTCAGATTTTATTTTATGTGGTGTCTTTATGGTTTTGTCTTTTGAAGTGGTAGTCTATTTGTAACTTATATTTCTATGATATTGCTTCAGTAAATGATTTAAATGTTACTACAATAATATAGGGGAAATGATTGCTACACTTGTTCTTGCAGTATCATGGACAGTTGGCTTCAGTGGTCACTAATGGAAGAGGAAAATGTGCCACCCCAGCTCCTGCATCTCTACTGTTGTCTTGCACCACGACTTCCTCTCATCTACAATGATCAAGGTAACAATTTCACCACTTTTCAATCTTATATCCATGCTGTTTACAATTTTTGTGATTGTAATAACTAACATTCATGAGCAGTCTGTTTGTCTGTCCAAGAACAAATAAATTCCCATCTGGGTAGAATATTTCATTGAAAACTTGTTAAGCTGTTATATCATCATCTGAGAATGTGTTGTGTACAGAAATCATGACAGACCACATAGCCAAGGCTAAGGTCATTATTTTATGATATTTGTACATCATATGAGACCCTTTTATGAAGGTGTTTTAAATGCAGTACAGTACAGTAAAGCCTCGAATAACGAAGGTAATGTGTCCTCCAATATTGCAGTGTAAGGTGAATCATCGTATCATGAATCATTAATTACCATTAAAATAAAGCAATAAGTAATAATGAGGTGCGTTCCCCAATGTGACCTTTTCATATCTTTTGTGTGGCATTTTATCCTCTTTTCCCCCAAAACAATAAAATTAATGAAAAATAAAAACTACACTAAATTCTTTAAATATTGCTTATGAATGCACCTTATACAATAGGCCTATAAATGAATAATAATATGGTTACACAAGAGGAGAGGGGACGCCATTGTTTTTGTTAGTGTTTACAGCCGGGAGTCCAGGACGATGGTTCTACATAAGAAAATAAGACCCTGGTTGTAGCTGTAGTAAAGTTAATGTAAAAAAATTAATAAATATGTTTTAAGTACAGTGATCCCTCGGTTAACGAATGCCTCGGTTAATGAAATTTCGGTTAACGAACTGCCTTCCATAAGAATCTTCAATTCGGTTAACGAACAAAAATTCGGTTAACGAATTTCTTACGAACCGACCTCAACATGTTTTCGCTTGCACTGGCCGGGCAACCAGCTTTAGTATCAGTCCACCAATACATTAATCGGTTCTAGGGCTTAAATTCCTTACTATTTTAGTAAATATCAAGAAGTGTATACTATTCAATAATTTTAAAAGTTTAATTCAATTTTTTAGTCATTTTAACAATTATTGAACATAATTGAAGGTAAAGTGACTAGTTTAATGCGCGGCATCCAGCCTCTTAACACAGCAAACAGGCGTTAGTCTCTCTCTGTTTTCACTGGAGGTAACATCTTGCTTGAGACTCTTCAACTAAATCCTTTTTTTCTGTGTTTCCAAGCAAATTATTGGTCATTTTGAAATATATTTTACATATTGACAATATATAATGCAGTGCAGTGTTGATTTAAAGAAAATAATCTTGAAATACACCAGGAGAACTAAAATTTTATGGGTGAAATGTTGTCATGGGGTGACTTCTCTTCCACCCCAATGCCTTCTCTTCTTCCTTCTCCTCCACCCCCATTCTAATTCCTATCATCATCATCATCATCATCCAGGAGCCTTCTACATACACACCTCAAAGTAAGTGAACTTTTCTACCATTTTTGTTGAATTTAGGAAATTTTCGGTGAGCTGGAACCAATTACCCAAAAACCCATTGAAACAATGGTTTCGATTAACGAACTTTTCGGTTAATGAACAACCTGCTGGAACGGATTGAGTTCGTTAACCGAGGGACCACTGTAATGTTATTTAATGTTAATAAATGGAACAATAGAAGTAGCTAACCACTAATGGCAAAGAAAAAACCGAGATGGATTGGAAACAGCAACATATATGTGCGCATTCAAGGAAACAGCATCATTTATCTTATTAAGAATATGTACAAAAGATTCATTATTGTTTATTACTGAATATGTATTTGATTAGATTAATCTTTATATATGCGAAATGAACAATACAATTCATTAATAATACGTAGATTATTAAAACACACAAGAGGATAAGAGACGGCTTTGTTGTTGTCAGTGTTTACATCCATAATATCAGTTATCCACCTGAAACTTAAGAAAATAAGACCCTGGTTGTAGCTGTAGTAAAATTAATGTAAAAAATTAATATACATGTTTTAGGTAATGTTATTTAATGTTAAATGGAACAATAGAAGCAGCTAACCACGAATGGTAAAGAAATAAAGCGAGGCGGATTGGGAACGCAGAGGTATGTAATTGCATACATGTGAAAACATATCGTCATTTCTCTACATAAGAATATGAAAGCAACACTTATTTACAGTTCATATATGTTTTAAATAATATTTACTAATGTAAAAAAAAAATTCTACTCATCAATGGTGGTAAAGTCTAAAACATAAGGACAGCCAATGAATATTGTGCTAGTTTTTACTCAGATGACGAAGTCATCAGGTTCAACTCTGGTTGAAGCTGTAACTTTCCATAAAGCTGTTGCTGAAACTTAATGAACCTGAAGTAGTTGATGAAGCTGCTTATGATGCTGAATTTGATTGTGTAGCTGAAGTTGATGGTTTAGGCCTTCGAATAATAAAACTGTCGAAAGAACCTTGCACAGCTGCTTTCTTTTCTCATTATACATCTTTATGTAGAGGTTATTTGCATTTATTTAAATTTTAATGCTTTGTTCTGTTAATGGATCCACTTCAGAAAATATGTTCATTGCTTGCTCCATATACAGTGGTCCCTCGGTTAATGAGCACAATCCATTCTAGAAGGTTGCTCGTTAACCGAAACCATTGCTTCAATGGGTTTTTGGGTAATTGGTTCCAGCTCACCGAAAATTGCCTAAATTCAACAAAAATGGTAGAAAAGTTCACTTACTTTGAGGTGTGTATGTAGAAGGCTCCTGGATGATGATGATGATGATGATGATCAATGATGATGGGAATTAGAATGGGGGTGGAGGAGAAGGGAGAAGAGAAGGCATTGGGGTGGAAGAGAAGTCACCCCATGGCGCCATTTCACCCATAAAATTTTAGTTCTCTTGGTGTAATTCAAGATTATTTTCTTTAAATCAACACTGCACTGCATTATATATTGTCAATATGTAAAATAAATTTCAAAATGACCAATAATTTGCTTGCAAACACACAAAAAAGCATTTAGTTGAAGAGTCTCAAGCAAGATGTTACTTCCACTGAAAAGACAGAGAGACTGGCGCCTGTTTGGTGTGTTGCCAGGCTGGATGGCACGCATGAAACTTGTTTCCTTACCTTCAATTATGTTCAATAATTGTTAAAATGACTAAAAAAATTTAATATTAAACTTTTAAAATTATTGAATAGTATAAACTTGATATTTACTGAAATAGTAAGGAATTTAAGCCCTAGAACCGATAGCTGTATTGGCGGACTAATACTACAGCTGGTTGACCGCCAAATGCAAGCGAAAACATGTTGAGGTCGGCTAGTAAGAAACTCGTTAATCGAGGGATTGCTCGTTAACCGAAGTTAAGAATCTTATGGAAGGGAACTCGTTAACCAAGGGATCACTGTAATATCCACAGACCTCTCTCACCTTTTTCATATCGTTTTAACACATCTAGCTCTGCTAAACTTATACACTTTCTCTTAGCTTTTGAACCAGCACTACCATCACTTGCTCTCTTGCTCATGTTGAATAGGGACGCAAAAATGCCGTAAGAAACCTGAGAAAGTTTTTCTCCTTTTCCTGTTCAGATGCATGAAAACAAAAGGCTCGCCAGCTGCGACTGTACAGTATATACTAGTGATGCTGGCGTCACCACTCAGAAGCCCGGCAGCCTCCGTGCGCAAGGCTTTTTTTTTTTTGTATATAACACATATCGGGATTTAATTATTATTTATATGATTTTTTCTTATTATTCTACTTTCGTCGTAAATACGAAGAAAATAATGGCGTAAATTGAAATGGGTCCTAAATTAACCTGGGTCTTAAATATGAATCGTCGTTAGTAGAACCGTCATTATCGGAGGCTTTCCTGTTTGGTACTGAGATGTAGTTGTTAGTAATTGTTTTTTATTTGGTGTTTTAGATGAGAAAGAGATCACAGTAGCTGATGTGTACTCACACCTGAAGGGCTACAATGTTCCAGCTTGTTCAAGACTTTACTTCAACAAATACAACATTTTAAGTCAAAAGCATAAGGTAGGACTTCGAGGTTTGATTTAGGATGTAACCATCAATTTATATTGACTTTTAAATGTTCTTAAGATCCTTCATATACTGTATATGAATCTGTAATACTAATATTATTTTATAATACATGTACTGTCTTGCCCTTCTGAGTCGGCATACCTGGTGTTATCTGCCGTCAGAGGGCAAATTTACTGTCTTGCCCTTCTGAGTCGGCATACCTGATGTTATCTGCCGTCAGAGGGCAAATTTACTGTCTTGCCCTTCTGAGTCAGCATACCTGGTGTTATCTGCCGTCAGAGGGCAAATTTACTGTCTTGCCCTTCTGAGTCAGCATACCTGGTGTTATCTGCTGTCAGAGAGCAAATTTGTGTTAAAAAAGGACTATCTGTACAGTATTTGGAATAAATTTAGTAAAGAGACAGTATATGTGAGGTTTGAAAAGTTTCAGAACTTACAATATTATTTATAATGATCAGACAAGACTGACAAACTGAAGGGACTCCATCGTAATACTATCATGCAACCTTTTGCTTACTGTATATGAAAGCTGATATAATATAGTTATATCACCTTTCATATACATGAGCTTGTGCTGCTATTGTCATCACTACCATGACCACTGACAAAAATTACCACATTTCTATGACCTTTCAAAATCACCTGATTTATACTTTACTATATATAGGGTTTAGAGAAAGGTCAATAATAATATATATTTTAATGTTTTAACAGATCTCCCTTGAAAAGTGGATCATCTTTGAGCTGCAGAGCACATGGGAGGACACACCAATAGATGTACGACAGACTTACCTAAAGTGCAGGCTGCTCCAAGACTTTGTGTCCTCATCTGACACCTTGAAAGATAACCAAAACCCAGATTCCATGTCTATTGATAACTTAATTATAGAGATGGTCTTTGCCTTCTTGAAGATTGGTCTAAAGCAGGTTAGTAAAGCTATTTTACAGTATGTTCTTTATAGTGAGGAGAACGCATATACTATATTGTGGGTACGTTGTTGGGATGGTTATTTTACTGGTTTATCATCTGTTGAAACCCCTCATTATGGAGACAGTATGTGATTAATATAAAGTCTGAGCCAAATCCAGTAATACAGCTGTATGACCATTGGTTTGTAAAACTCCAACTGCCTCACAAATATCCAGACTATAGAGGAGTTATTTACCAATCTTCTCTCAACTTGTCTATGATATGTGACTCCAGGCTAGTGATGTCATGGTTGTCATTTTTCAAAGTTTTGCGGTTACGATTATCAGGAAGTTAACTGCACGGTTGCAGTTGTTTGGTTTAACTTTAAACTTGGATTAATGCTGTAACCTGTGTGAACTTGTCAACTTATCTTCTAACAATTTTTCTGTGAAAAAGCCATAATTTTGAGCAAATATTACTCTGCTTTAGTGTACTCAAATGTACTGTGCTAAGCTTAAGGACTAAAATTTCTATCTCTACTGCAAATTATGAGATGTTTATACTCAAATTAATTTTTATTTTGTAAGGATTCAAGCAATGCAAGTTATATTCTGTTCAGTCAAATCTGTGATATTTTATAAGAGAAATACTAAGCCTAAACCAAATTCATCCTGTAAAATCCTAATCACCGACATCTTGCTGCCCCTGCTGGCTAGGAGGTGGGGTGTTCACAGCCAGCAACAGATGATAAGTTGTCAGTGGAGGGGGAGGGGTGGTGCAGGTCAGGGACTCAGGATTATACAAGACAGGGCATTTAAGTTTTTCTCTAATAAAATGTCACTGACTTGGCTTAGCAGAATATAACTTGCATTGCTGGAATCTTTACAAGTTAACAATTAATTTGAGTAGAAACATCCCTTAGTTTGCACTAGACATACATTGAAAAAATATGGCTTTTTAATGGGGAAAACAAGAGGTTTATGCTCATCAGATTGTCCAATACTACGACAGGCAGTCCCCGACTTACAACGGGGTTAAGGACCCCAATCCAGGTCGTAAGTCGAAAATGCGAAAATAATACATAGAAAATCTAAAATGGGTGTCTCTTTTTCTTCTCATCACCACAAAACTCTCACTTTTAAGCTTGCCAGCCATTTTAAAGGGAATTACAAACTAAAATTTTTTCAGTACACAGCGCAATCACTAACGTCGGGACTCGAAAATATGTAATTTGAAAAAAATTTGGTAGACTGGGGCGGTCGTATGTTTCAAATGGTCACCTGCAATTAAGCAAGTTACTCAAGGTTTATCTCTGTAAAGATCTGAAAACACTGTTCACTGTATCTATTATTGTAGCATATTGTACATAATGGCAACACAGTGGTTGGAGGACCCCACTGCCCAATGAATTTTTCAGTTTTCAACCCTCATTTGTGATAGTTTCACAACCGCGACAACCATGTGGGTTCGTGCGGTTGTTTCGGTTGTGATAATTTATACGGTTGCTCCGCAGTTGCGAAGCTTAGTGATATCACGACTCCAGGCCCATATGACAGATGCCTTGGGTTGACTTGTAAATTCTTTAGTATACAGTGGTCTCTCGGTTAACGAACGGTTCGATTTACGAAATTTTGATTAACGAATTAGCTCCTATAAGGCTCTTCAATTCGGTTAACAAACAAAACTTCGATTAACGACAACCTTACGACAAACACGCTTTGTTGTGAGCATCAGCTGATCAGCTAGTCCGCCAATACAGTAATCGGTTCTATGTTTACATTCGTTTCCAGTGGAGTAAATATCAAGAAGGTTGTGCTCTTGAATATTTTTCCATTTTTTATATTAAAATTATTATTCATTTTAAAATTTAGTTAACATATTGATAATATATGCAGTACAGGGAACTAGTTTTTTGTGCACCCATCAGTCGCTTGACTCACCCGCCAAAGCGTCAGTTTAACTTTGTTTACAGTGGAGGAAACATCGTGTTTGTCGCTCACTTAAATACAGAGTATCTTTACGTTTTACATTAAAATTATTGGTCATTCTGAAATTTAGTTAACATATTGATTAATTATATATAGCGCAGTGCAGTGCAGTGTTGATTTAAATAAAAAAATCTGTAATTACAGCTAGTGAACTTAAAATTTTATTGGTGAAATTACTGCTTCCAAAGAAAGGCGATTTCTCCTCTATCCCCACTTCCTTCTCTTCTCCCTCTCCATACCCCACTTCCAATTCCCATCATCATCATCAACCAGCAACATTCTACATACACACCTCAAAGTAAGTGTACTGTACTGCATTTTGTTTATACTTTGTATGTACTTTTCATTGAGCTGGAACCAATTACCCAATATCCCATTGAAATAATGGATTTGGTTAACAAACGACTCTGTGGAGCGAATTGTGTTCGTTAACCAAGGGACCACTGTATTAGGTGAGCCTAGTGTGAGTATAGGCCAGGACACAGCCTTGTGTGAACTCCCTTATGTCCCACAAAATAAAAAGAAGTGGATCCCATAGGCTTTATGGTCTATTGCAGGAAGTGGAGCAGGTATAGCCTACCAAATACTAAACCTTTGTTACCCAAAGATGAAGTGTGGCTGACACTACACTTTACCACCTTTACTTACCCACCCAACTTTAAAGTAATGTGCCCATTCACAGCTGGTTTGACTGGTGGTGCCGTGAGCACAAACCAGCAACCGTCAGAACAGGAAGTGAGCACTGAAACCTCTTGGTCACCACACCCCTAATACAGTATTTAAAGGGATACATATTGTTGTTGTCGATGACTGTGTAATACCTGAACAGAGAGCAGGAGAGAAGATGGATATCTAGGCAGCATCAGATTACAGTACTGTACTGGGGTTGTTGCAGCATTACAAGTAAATGCTTAAAACAATACCGTATGTGTTTAGATGTTTCACATTGGTCAGCACCTTATTTATAATGATTTCCAATTGGTTAGTGCCTGAAGCAGTACAATATTCTTAAAGATTTTTAATTGGTGAGTGTTTTATGCACAAGAAATAATGTATCAGATATTGGTTGTTTGTTGGTACAAGAAGAGACAAGTTTATATGAAGAAAAAATGTGCATTAATGTTATTAAAAATTCCGTTTCCTTTTCCATTATAGCCAAACTCCAATGAAATATTGATGCTCATACAGTCACTTGCTCAAGATAACCTGAACCCCACCAGTATCTGTCTTCTTGAGGAGTGGCACAGACATCACACAGAAGGAACTGCTGGTGACATATCAGTTCTGTCCTTTATGAGGTATGTATCTCTTATATTATCGGTGGGTGTGACTTATTCGATGGGGCCTCGACTTATTTTACGGTGTATAAATTATTTTATGAAGGTAAAGAATTAGAATTTGAGTAACAACTGTCGTAATGACTCTTGGAAAAAATTTTATTAGTTTGCCATGGTAATTATTAGATACCTGTGATTTTTTGGTGTTTTTATCTAATGAAGTACAGTAGTTATGTGTGCTGGTTTCTAGTTATAAGTTTTGTTTTGTTTTTCTTTTTCCATAAAATTTCACTAAATCAAAACTTTTCATTTTGTTAAGAATAAAATCATTTGGTGATATATATTAAAGTATCATAAAATCTAGTCTTTGTATTGCAAATGATTTAGTAATTTATGAAATACTCTATACAGTAGAATGTCGAGTTAAAGCGATTCAATTTAAGATTGTTGACTTAAAGCAACACCCACAATTAAGGACAATGTTTTCATTTAAAGCGAATCTTTCCTATTTTGCACTAGTCAATCTGGTGCATCATATTTTAAAATTTGCGCCTAATGTTTCTCTGGGCATGCTACACTGTCCTAAGGGCAAAGCTGTACTGTACATGTACTTAAAATAATGTACTAAATGATTACTAAAATTTTTGTCAAGTGCAAACTATGGCATGATTATATTCAAATTAATCACTATCTTATAAGAATTCCAGCAATTTAAATAATATTCTACCCGGTAACTTCTGTGACATTTTATAAACAAAAAACAAAAAATCAATCTAAAGGACATAAATAAACAAATAAATACTTCACTAGACCTTCGGCTCGAACTGTCAAACGTGTCACCGTCACCTTCCCCAATCTTCCCAGCCAGGGTTGGGTGGTTTTAGGCATAAAGTTTTTATCTTATATAATATCACAGACTAAAGTTAGGAAAATAGAATTTGCATTGCTAGAATCCTTGCAAGACAGTGAATAATTTGAATATAAACTTCATATTTTGCACAAGAGATAAAAATTTTAGCCCGTTGTAATAAAATGAATTGAAACTAAAATTTGTATGTCTAATGCAAACTATTGCATGTATATATTCAAACTAATCACTATCTTATAAGAATTCCAGCAATGTTAATTATATTCTCCCAGGTCAGTTCAGTGACATTTTATAAGAGAAAAACTTAGTCACACATAAGGACATAAATAAATAAGCACTAGACCTTGGCATCTACTGTCAAACATATCCCTCCCTACCCCCATCTTCCCAGCCAGTAGACAGACCATTTTGCATCCCTTAATTTTAGCTGTGTTGATTTATGAGTGTTTGTTTTAACATACTGTAATACAGTACTACAAAAAACAATGTTTTGTTTATTCTAGGAGATGGGCTGAGGTGCATCTGGGTAAACTCTCAGTCTTTTTAGTATTTTGTGTTTCTCTCAAGTACCAAACTAAATTATTCCATTGAAACAACACTTTGATTTAATGCGAATTCGGTTTAAAGTGACCTCTCTTGGAACGAATCTTGGGTTATATCGACGTTCTACTGTACTAAGAATTAATTTTTAAATAAAATCTGCATGGATGAGGAAATATCAGGATGCTTTAACTTACGTACATACTGTTCTGTATATATTGCTGTAAAAAAACCAGTCCATCATATAGATTTATATTGTGGGTTTGTGTTGAAAATAATAATGTACGGTATACAATATATTAACAGTGTAGAGGAAATATAGCGTGTTTAACAGTTGTACACATTGTCCTGTAAACATTGTCAGCCAACACACTGAGTCCAGTCAGTGGTTGGACAATGTTCCCAATTATCCAGACAAAAAAGGCCGTTATTGGGAATGTCCGGTAATTGAGAGGGTTTACTCTATGTCCAATTTCATAACAAACTGATCTGTATAATCTAGAGGACCAGCTGTATCCAGTGATGTTTTATTTGTTGATTTCAGCATTTGTGGATGTCTCCCTTCCTCACTCTTCCTGAGAGCTGACCGACTTATTCAACTTTCTGAAGCACTTAAAATATTAGTGAACCAGATTTTGGTAAGTTCTTTAATGTTATAATTACACACATTAATTTTCATTCTGTGTGTGAATGTATGTGTGTTTCTGGATGTATGTATGTGCATTTCTGTGTGATTGAATATATGAACAATGTTTATTTATGAATAAGCATTTTCATATATAGAACAAGGAAGATGGTTAAAGATAACTCATCTTCAACTCCTTTTTAATTACCCATTACATTCATTTACTCTAGACCTGTGAACAATACATGTCATGCCCTTCCTTTTTTATACCCAAAATATCCACATCACCACTTTTCAGCTTATTAGCCAGTCGGTCTATTCTCAGTACAGTACTGGGTACATATGGGCTTGTGAATGTATCCAACTTAAACATGTTACTGTGTTAGTCATGTGTGGTATTAAATGAGCCTATTCTGTTTGCAGTCATAACATTCTTTGGCAGTTTCTTCCGAGAGTTTACATTTCTTACTCCAAAGAAGTTAACTCTGACAATTTTCTGTACTGATAGCTTCTTTTACCTAAGGCTGTGACCTCTAGTGGGGTGGTCATCCAATAACTTCAGATATATACATTTTACTGAGTTATGCCCTTTGAGGTGCTTGTGAATTTCTATTGTCTTCCCTTGTCTTTAGTGTAAACTGGGCAACTGAGGACATTCTAATCTCTCTTAGGTGGCTGAGTGCTGGCATCAGTTTAGTGGCCCTTCTCAATCAATCAGAATTATAGTACTCTAAGTGAGCCATTGTGGACTGACCTCAAATACTGATGCATTTAAGCCATGCACTGGATCCAAGCCATACTGTACTAAATTTTTCTCAGCATTGACCCTGCACTAATGAGAAGTGTGTTTAGTCAAGTGTTTGATGTGAGTGTTAACTATGTTCCGGTGAATTATCTTAAAAAACCATGTCTTATTGAGGATTACTGTATAACTGACGAGTTAGGAATACTGTATTATTCACATGTGTTTCCTATTTTGTGTTTTCCTCCACACATGCTGCTTGGTATTACATGACAGCCATTTTGTTATTGTACATTCATAAACTTTTTTAATATTTGTTAGTACTGTAATGGTGAACAAAATTCATGACATATTGGATTGATAAACACTATCTTATAATATTTATACTGTATACTGAAGAAAATCCATGACACACACATTACATGCAAATCTGCTTTTACAACTTTTAGAAGATGTTTGTTTTCTATTTTAGGTTGCCAGCCAGGACATACAGATGAATTTACACGATACCATCTTCCTGTTCTCGTCAGTACTTAGTGCTGCTGCAGCTCCTGGCATCAAGAACCTTCAAGTACAACACTGCTTCATGCCCCTTAGGACTGCCATTATGGTAATTTATATGTAAAAAATACTCTTACCATAAGTAGAATGACAAATGTAAAATAATATTAGACTGAGCAGATTTAGTTGTTTCTACTGACTTGCCTGAAGAGAGGTAATGTATGAATGATTTATAATGTGATGCGCCACAAACTGAGACTAATGTTAAAATGATATACTGTACAGATAATACTGACATGTGTACGGTAATTATAATATCTCTTTGAAAGCAGTGATATAAAGTGAATAAATAAGTGGTAACTAAGTATTTAAAAAAAAATGTGACTAGACGTTGACTACAGCACTGACCAGTTTCATAAATAGAAGTAAAAATGTTGATCAGCAAATTAAAAATATAATTTAGACATTAAGAGATTGACTGTAGAAATTTTCATTCATCTTGAAACGGCAGCCATCATCAGTGGAAGTTAGCTGTAGGGATGGCGTACATTATGATTGAACAGTTCAATTTCCTTGCATTCCATTTTTGCTCCTAAAGGAGCAGAATAGGGAATCTTTAGCTGCCAGTTCAGGGTTAAATGAGTGTATGTATGAGTCAGATACAGTATATGGAAATAGGGGCAGAGGAAAGTAACAAATACTGCAAGTTAAAATTGGATTCAAGGAAACACATACAGGTATTCCTGTATTTACTTCATGGAAAGCTGAGTTTAAATCGAAAACATATCAATAGAAAAAGTTTATCCCATAGGCATAATTTAAAAAACTAAGGATGTGCTCCTAGGTGGTAATTTTTGGTCATCCTCTCCAAGTAATAACTGATGACATATTACCTAAATAAATTCATATAGAATATAAATAAGTAAAGAGAGAACATTGCTAAATATTTATATAAGTAAATTACTGAACAGTGTATTGTTCTCACTCAAAATAGCTGTATGTGGTGTATGTTGATGCCTGAGAGGTGGAGGTGATAATTAGAGAGGTTACTGAGCTGTAAGACAGAGCTTTGTCTGATATCTAGCTGGTTTCATGTGTGGCTTGCAAAGTTCCTTTGCTTGATGAAAGAACAGCCAAGGGTGATAATCCAAGAAAACAAACACTGTTTAATAAACACTCCCCACTTTATATTGCTTCACCACATCCATCTTTTTATCCAAACTGATGGTTTTCCCGAGATTGATTTGGCGTGTGTTATACTGCGGTTGAGTGGATACAGCACTCACCTCCTGTTCCAGGGGTCAGTGGTTCGATTTCCAGGCACTCCCAGTTCACCCAGATGTAAATGGGTACCCAAGTTTACAACTTGAGGAATTGAAGGCAGTCAAATGAAGCGTCCCGCATCGTATGGGTTATTTGCGCCAAAATTTGAAAGCCAAGAAAACCACGTTAGGAGTTTTCCAACTTCATAACATACATAACTGTTGTTTTTTTAGATACATCATTCATTTTTGAAGCTAAAGGACTGTACTTGCAGAAGGTAGGTAGCATGTCATGAAGTAATGTGCTGGGTTGTTGCAATGTTGACTTGAAGCAACAAAACTCCCACCCACTTATGGCTTTTTTTTACTTTAATCGATATCAGAGTGTAGATCCCGCCACAACAAAAGAGAACTGAGTGAGAGGGATTTCGCCTCATTGACTAGAGGGGCCATGACATAGATAGCAGATGCTCACTGTGATTGGTCGAGACGGGGAGGAGGCTGCAGGCCGGCTGTTGTGATTGGCCACCCTCTCCTCTCACTCACTCACTTACGGGACGAGAGCACCTGACAATGCAAAAGCCAAGCCCATTAATTCCTGTCTGCCACAAATCTATGTTCTAACCTATTTTCAAAGGGCTTTCAACCTTATTTACAGTGTAATAAGGAGATCTTATCAACTAACATCGTATAGAGATAGGTAAAAAATAGTGCTTTCCAACAAAAAAACAGGTTTTGCCTGGGGTGGTCTGAATGATCCTTATGATGCGGGACGCCTCAAATGCAGTACTGGTCATGCTGCCTCCTTGTGTACCAAAGGCTTTTGGGACTCATTTTCACACTCATAGCACAATAAAGTTTATGGTGAAGCTTATCATGCGAGGAGTTTAAATTTTGGGGCCTGTGAAAAGGCATTAACATTAAAACTATGAAGCATAAATAGGAAGTGTGTCCCATAAAGTGTCATGACATTTTCATAAAAAAACATAATTTGAATGAACGTAAATTGAGGATTACCTGTACATGAACAAGGTGTCAGTGTGGAAGAATGTGTAAATTTGTCAAGGCTATAATGACTGAAAGAGGGTCTGCAGTATATGTAGATGGCCATAAATGACAACAGTTTTAGCTGCACTACTTTAGATGAAAAACTTTATACCTGATTTTTTTTTTTTTTTTCAGTTCCACTGGGAATCGTTAGGCAGTTTCTCCGAGTCTCACAACAACATTATTAGGAGACACAGCTGTTTAGAGTCACTGTGGAACATTATGAAGATTGAGAACAAGAAAACTCTCACCTTTCTCACTGAAGAAGAATCTGGGATCAGACTCTTGGCCTTGTGTCTCCAGCAGTCAGTTAGTGAAAAAGAAATGAATGATTTGATTTCTGTCGTTGATACAACTTATTATATCAAGTGGCTGTTGGCTTACCTTGGTCTCCAGCAGATGAGAGGCTCTATTCCTCTCTTTCCTGATGGTAAAGGGTTGGCCTCTGACTTTAAAGAACAAGATAAAAGAGTTATTACAGCTTGCCAAAAAGCACTTAATACATTCTTAGCTATATCACAGCCCACAAAAATTGTAAAAAACATTTTTCCATCTATGACAGAAACCCATTTAGCCTCAAAATCAGTTCCCACTGCTCTTGTGTTCATTCTTCTTTATAATAATGTAATGCCCTGTAATAGTGTAGGGGAGGTGAAAATATTGAATCAATTTGAACTTCTCTTGCAGTGCCATATTTTTCATAGTTATAGGTATGATTCCCAGAAAAGTTCAGGTGAAAATTCATTGTCGCTGAAAGCACACAGTGCAGGTAACTCAGACTCACCAAATCTCGAGTATTTGACAGAGCTAAACCAGAAAATTTTCTTGTATTTACAACAGAAAATGTCTTCAAAGATGTTGACTAAATTGTCCAAAGAAACAGTTTTAAAATGTGAGAGTGAAATGATTTCAGCAATAAAGTTTAAAATACAGAGTAAAGAAAATTAAAGTAGATCCAGTTATCATGAAATTATCAGAAATTTGTCCTAAAAATTACAATAGATTAAGATTTGTAACTGACATTAAGGCTCCATGATGGGAGGGCAGCAGCAGCAGCTATATAAATAAAAATGCATTTCTCAGGTATTTAATTTTATTTGATGGTCCAATTTTTGGCAAAGATAAAAATTTACTGTTAAAAGTGATTACTGCAAAAGACCCCAGACTGTAAAAAAATTATACATGACTCCAGTACTAAACTAATGTTTTCATTGTTTGATAGTCTTACAGTACCCAAGAAAAAAAAAATATATATATATATATATATATATATATATATATATATATATATAATATATATATATATATATATATATATATATATATATATATATATATATATATATATATATATATATATATATATATATATATATATATATATATATATATTAGTTCTTGAATTGATAAATAGCAGGGCTGAAGTAAACACTTTGTTGGTTTTGCTTTATTGTCGAAAAATATAGTTTCACAGGTACCGAGTTCAGTTGAGAGTATATTGTACCTTCTCTGCTCAGGGAAGTGTCTTAGTGCACTTGTATAGGAGAATACTTAAGTGAGGTCTTCACTGGTTAACAGGTGATATGACAGTCTCTCTCTCACACCATGGAGAGAGAGGGTGGTCAAGCAGGCCTCGAAAGAAACGCGTCAGATTTGTTGTTGCTGAGAGGCGCTGACCCAGCTTGAACCTTGCTCGCTCCCCAGAGGAAATGTCAACTCACCAATTCATGCATACACATCGGTGAATGACCTGGTGAATATTTTGGTAACATACATTTGGGTAATATTTATATAATACAAATGGTGATATTACACATTTGTAATTAGAACTAAAATTTGTTATATCTAATGCAAACTATAGCATGTTTGTATTCAAATTAATCACCATCTTATAAGAATTCCAGCAATGTAAATTATATTCTCCCCGGTCACTTCTGTGCCATTTTATTAAAAAAAAAAAAAAAAAAACTAAAGGACATAAACAAACAAATAAATACTTCACTAGACCTTCAGCCCCAACTGTCAAACATATCACTGTCACATAACCTCCCCATCTTCCCAGCCAGGGTTGGGTGGTTATAGGCTTAGTTTTTATCTTATATAATATCACAGTCTAAAGTTAGAATATAATTTGCATTGCTAGAATCCCTGCAAGACTGCGAATAATTTAAATATAAATGTCATATATTTTACACGATAAAAAATTTTGCAATTTGTAATTAGAACTAAAATTCGTATGTAATGCAAACCATAGCATGTTTATATTCAAACTAATCACTATCTTATAAAGATTCCAGCAGTTTAGTGACATTTTATAATTGAATAACTAGTCACTCTTAAGGACAGATAAATAAGCACTAGACCTTGGCATGAACTATCAAACATATAACCTCACTACTCTCCCCCATCTTCCCATCAGCTGATCCCTAGTAAACAGACCATTTTATGTACCATAATTTTAGCTGTGTTGACTTAAGAGTGTTTGTTTTAACATAATACAGTACTACAAAAACAATGTTTTGTTTATTCTCGGAGGTGGGCTAAGGTGCATCTGGGTAGACTCCGTTTTTTTTTTAGTATTTTGTGTTTCTCTCAAGTACCAAACTGAATTATTCCATTGAATCAACACTTCGATTTAGTGCGAATTCAGTTTAAAGCGACCTCTCTTGGAACGTACCTCACATTATATCGACGTTCTATTGTATCCCTATTTACAGCTGGGACTAAGTCTGTGAATCCCGTAAAACAGTTGACGCACTCGGGCCACAATTTACGCCACACACAATTCAGGCAACTTTCTGAAACCTCTTCCCATGCCTTGCCAATGTTGTCAATTGCATGAAGAATGTTGAAGCCACGCCAATATTCTCGGATCGTTGGTGTATTTTCTCCGTCTGTAGCCTTGAGCAGCTGGGCCATGGTACAGCGTAAATAATACGCCTTGAATGCGACGATCCAGCCTTGGTCCATAGGCTGCATCAGTGCTGTCGTGTTGGGAGGTAGGAATACAACTTTTACACTCATGCAAGTCGTCGAGATTGGGAGGATGAGCTGGAGCATTGCCAACGATCAGAAGAATTTTGAAGTCCAGGTTCTCCTTGGCACATTATTCCTTCATTGTAGGGACGGCGTGCACGTTTAACCGCTGGCTTAATATGGCGCCGGTTATGCATACCACCTTATTTGCCTTGTGAATGACAGGAAGGTGATCCTTAGAGTAACCTTTCAGGGTCTGTGGGTTAGCAGCGCAAGAAATCATCATAGGCTTCAGCTTGAATTCACCAGCAGCATTCGCGTCAAGCGGTCTTTTCCCGCTTTAAAACCTGGCGCTCTTTTCTCCTCCTCAGAGATATAGGTCCTCTCAGGCATCCTCTTCCAAGAGAGACCAGTCTCATCCACCTGGAAGACTTGCTTCGATGAGTAGCCTCCTTCCTGGATAATCCGTTTGAATTCTGGCGGGAATGTCTCGACAGTAACCGTAACTGAACTGGCAGCTTCACCTGTCATCTTAATATTGTGGAAGTTATAACGATGCTTAAATTGTTGAAACTATCCTCGGCTGGTCGTAAAGGTCTCTTCCTTCGATCCTTACCCTCTTCTGCCTTTAAGTCGTCAAACAAGGATCTGGCCGTATGCTGGATAACCATAAGGCTCACAGGTGCATTGTGTTGATTCTGGTCCTCCATCCACATTACCAACATCTTTTCCACCTTCTCTATCACAGTGCTTCTTGTACGAGTTGTTTTAGTTGCAGAGAGTAGTACCACTTCCAGCACTAACCTTAATCTTGTCAGCATTGGTCCGGATAGTACGCACCGTTGTAGGGGTTAGACCAAGCACAGCAGCTATGTCCACAGCACGTTCCCCTTTTACAAATCGGGTTAATACATCCATTATTGTAGCAAGGGTAATGGTCTTACTTTGCCTGTTCACTACACTCGCATCAGTAGCACTTGATGGGCGCTTGGAAGCCATTTTGAATGGTTAGAGTACAGTTTTAAAGCAAACGCACTTAAGCACACACAAATGATGTGAAGTCATAACAGAGACTGGCTTGGGGGGCGCTATGACGTTCCGCGAGTGAGGGCAGAGCGTCGAGCCGAGAGAGCGTAGCGCAGCCAGACAAGAGCGGGTGATGCGCCGTAGAAAGTAGTCCGTTACCACATCGGGACGTTCACCGAATTTTTGGTCTCTTAAGGTTTAGCGATGTAGTACCAAAACAACGTTGAGCAGGATAACGTTATACGAGGATGCACTGTACTTACAGCTGCGGTTACATCCATACTTGTTCTTGCTTATTTAAAAATTCTCGAACTTTGTTTTTGTTCAATCACTTCTCTGGCAACCTAGTAATATGTTCAGGGAGGCATGGGAGGCTGTAGTGGGAGACCGTGTGTTGTCAGGTTTAAGTTGATGACTCACGAGTGAAAAAAATACAAGCAACGTCATATCAAGCAACTTTCAATGCTCTTCTTTTGTGCACATGGGGGTGGATTAACGGATCCTTAGCCACTGTTTATGGGTTAATGAATAAAAAAAAATTCACATAATAGTGGATTAAATGCTTATAATTTTCATATTTCTTTATTAATAAAGTTACAGTAAATGCATAAAAGCATACAGTAAGATCTCATATTTCGCGCGATTTCATTTCACGTTTTTTAATTTCGCGAGCACCACCTAATATAACCAAGTCTTATATGTGGCGTAAAATATCGTAAATTTCGCGACATCCAGCCAGCTGAATGCTGGCCACCATCTTGAATGACGTCACAGCCCTCATACCATTTACAGTCATTTCAGCTACAATACGTGTTTTGTCAACGCGCATTAGGAACGCTGTTTGTAAAATGCAAAATTTTGCATACGAATGTTGGCTATTGCGTGATTCCATCCTCAATATTTTGATTCTATCCTCAACGTTTTAAGCGTGGCGCGGAGTTATGCAATGTTTACAGTTCAATTGATTCGTGTCTTTTGTTTGTGAAGTGTTTTTTGAAAGGTACTCTGTAAATTTTTTGCTTTTTGTTTTTTGCAAATTTAGCTGTTACCCATAAATACTGTTTGAAAAGAATAAGTAAAAAGAATGTTTCACAGTGAGGACTAATAACGGTTTACACCAGCGCTCTCTGTTTACATCACGTGATCAGTTGAATCATGCGGTTTCTGTCAATTACTCCGTGATTTTCACTATTTTCTCCAATTTTGTTGTGTTAACGATGAATACGGAAAGACAAGGTAAAAAGAATGTTTCCAAGAAGCGTTCTGGTGATCGAATTGCCGGTGGTGAACGTAAAAGAGGTTTACAAGAAAGCAACTATCGTGTTGTCTGGCTGTTATTGTGTACTTTTATGGGTGGTGCTACCACCTGTCGATTCAAGATAATGGCCTCTACCTCTACTGGGGGTCCTGCTGGTGGGGGTGGGACAGACCCACCTAAGTGGCCAAATAAGAAAAAGGAGAAGCAGGACTATCATAAAGGAGTTAAGTTTGCCAAGTACTCGATGCAGGATAAGCAGCGTGTGATTAAATTATTTGAGGAAGGCCTAAAAACTAGTTTCTGGAAAGCACAATCAAGTCAATAAAGGCAGAATTTGTATCATTTGTAGGTTATAAATGGGAAAATCAGAGGTTGATGTAGAGTGGCCAGTCTATATTGCTATTTTTCCCATTAGTTTATGTATTTGCATTTGGCATAATTTTTCCAGTCTATATTACTCCTGAAATACAAGACCTTACTGTACAGTATTTCAAGGCACATACCTAGTTTAGTTATACATATCATGCAGCAATGTAAATGGGTAATAAGAAATGAGACCACACTTGAGGGAAGGGTCCAGAATATAAGACCAACCAACCAACTGAAATATTTGGGTGTTACCACAGAGACCATTATAAATCAACTGCCAATAATTTTAAGTAGCACTAAACATAGGCATGTAAATAAAATATGGTTCAGGAACTAGTACAGGGTATGTACACCCATATTCATTCTCAATGTCAAGCATATTAATGTTAATCTCCTTTGTTTATGAATTGAAAGTTTAAAATGCCTTTTTTACCAATAATAATAGCAATCTGTAGTACATACAAACTCTCCTGGTCTCACCTAAGAACACACACACACTTGATTTAAGCATTTTTGGAATAACGCGTTTGTTCAATTAATACCAGTTCCTAATTTACACGCAACTATTTTTTAAATAACGTGGTTTAAATTTGCTGCGTACTCGCTTTTAAATTTGCCGCATATTCGCCTGGCAGCGGAGTCGCGTGTGATGGCTGGTGAGGTGCTTGTTAGTATTACTGTAAAGTCAGTCATATCAATATCAAAAATTTTAATATTATTATTTATAATAATAATCATTATAATAATGTAATAATAGATTATTACTACTAATGATGATGAAGATAATGATGATAATGAAGTACACAGTACTGTACAACAACTGTGATGGATTCCAGCTGTTTAGTATTTACAGCAAACTTACCTCTTTCTCAATTTATTTCAGCACTAATTGTTTGTGTGTTTATCACGTATCTTTTAATGTTAAACACTGTTTTCCCCATCGAGCTTGTCTGAAAAACATCCATCTGCCTCCTCTGGTGAGCCTACTGCTAAAAAGGCAAGAAAAACAATTGCAATGGAAGACAAGTTAGATGTGATCACTTGCCCGTACCCTCGCCTCAGTAGCCTCCTTCCTCAACCTTCCCCCTACCCCACCTTTGTCAAGCAGAAGTCGTCCATCATCAATGTATAAGTGTTATTTAAGATATATTTACTAATGTTTTTCTTTATTAACTGTTTTTTCTTTATGAATGAGTAAGGTAAAAGAATATTTATTGTAAGTTACCCTGTACGGTAGTATATGATGGTTCCCCTAACCTGTACCATTTACTTGAATTCTTATGGGAAAAATAGGTTTAATTTATAATTTTTTTTTAATTAAGTGGTGATTTTCAAGAACCTAACCCCCACGTAAAATGAGAGGTGGGTGCATGGTACAGTACTTCCATAATAGCAAGAATTTGGGAAGAGCTGGATCTAAAAATGAGTGTGTTTGTTCTCCCTTGGTGTTTCTGGGTAAGAGCATGCAGCTCACAAATTGGTTCAAAAGCCTAGTGATGAAAATTGAAGTTGTTCATTGTCTTATAAACACCCTCTCAGTTTAAGTTCTGAAACATTTGCAGAAGTTTGTGCCACTTGAGTTTTTGTATTTTTCTTGTGTTGTTCAATAAATCTCTGTCCATTGTACTTATTCTAAGACAATTAATAAAATCCAAAAACTATCAATAACAGTACATTCATGGGAAAAGTGGAGCTAAGATTTGCAAAGCTCCAGATCACAACTACTGCATAGTATTATACATCATCACCACCACATAATCTGTAGAAAGTTTAATTCATGTTACTAAAGCCTGACCTTTCATTTAATTAACTTTCCACATTACTATAACCAAATGGGGTTACACAGTACTTTATTTGCACCTTCATGCTACATAGTACTGTACATAGAACATATAAACATTGTGGGTAAAACTGTAGTTAGTTAACTATTGATACCTAACCAACCCATTCTATCTCCTGGTTAGTCACATACCCTGAATTAATAGACTGAGGTCAGCCTTGGCAAATTTAATATAATAAAGGATTAAAGACACTAACAGCGGTGCACTGAGGGATGTTGATGGACTAATAAACAGTATTAAAAGAAAAAACCTCATCAATCACATTCTCTCTAAATAATACAGTAAATAAGTCAGTTTCTTTTAACTTGAGAAAACTTTACTTGTATCCATTATCACATCCAGCAAAACCATATGCTGTTCTTTGTACTACTTTGTAATTGAACTACATCTAAGTTTATGGGTATAAAGTGCAACTGGGAGATTTTATCATAACTGTGATACGGAAAGAGCTGGTGACACACTATGCTGGTCTTGTTCCAGCTGATCTTGCTGTTGCTCTTCATGATCCTCCTCCTCTTCACATATTCTTGGCCTAACAACAAATCGGTGACAGATGTATGCAGGCACAGCAATAATAATAAAAATTGATATTAACATCTTGATAAAGAAGCTCCACAAGCCTAAAATGTAAAACACAACAGCAAATGCCAGCTCATATCCAATGGCCTGTAAGAAAAAAGAAAATGGTTATGTTATTAAGTTTATTCTTTAGTCTTGTCAATTTATTTATGATTAACCACTGTCAAATTCCATTTTATCCTTTGAGTTGTTTCCCATCTTACAAACTTTTATTATTCACTCTCATAACATTGTATATCTACTTACTCTTGATGTTTGGTGGGTATATAAACCAAGAAATGTGTGTATGTACCCTGGGTCAGTATGTACCCCAAGTGGGGCTGTAAACTGCCAGGACTACACATTGGTGTACTGTATAATTATGAGCGGACCACCAGAATTACAACCTGTCTCGTCTCCACCTCATTTGTTACTATAAAATTTCCTCTTGCTTTGACACAAATCCACACAACATTTGTTAAAGATGCCACCTGTTCAAAATACATATTCCCCCTTCTCCCCTTTATTTATTTATTTACTGTATATATTTACTTTTGCAATTTATACCCTTGTTAATTCTTAACTACTAAAACATATTTAATTTTAAGCCTTAGCATACACAAGAGTATGGTACAGTATTAGCTTTATAAAAACATTACACAAGCAAGACTCTGGTCAAATGACCATCTTGCTTATCTTAATTGACCCAGCTGTTCTCCTACCTTGGCTCCCAATACCTACACATATGTATTATTTTGTTACTTTAGCACTTGTTTCCTAGGAAAAACTCTTTAATCTTACATAAACTCGTCTCAAAATGCATCACATATTACCAGTTTGTAGTGAGAAAGTAAAAATTTCATGGAAACCCATCCTTGTACCCTCCCCCATGCTAACAAGTAAAAGGTACAGTACAGCTAATGCCCTGAGCAAGTCACTTAAGAGAAGTCCAATTACAGTAAAACCCCGCTTTACGCGGTTTCACTTTACGCGTTTCCACATTTACGCGGTACCCTGCCGAACACAGAATACTCACTTTACGCGGTGCATGTGTTCTTTTACGCGGAGAGCGGCGCGGGCAGGGTGCGCACAAGGTTGCCCAGTCATCAAAACAATACCGAGTTCTACACCCCCCAAAGCTGGCCCAAGTCAGTGATAATGATAGTGAGGATATGTACTTATATGGACTTAGAGGGGTTTGACAAAGAGGCCCTGCAAGCCTCTGTGGTGGATAGTGATACGATTGATACAAGTGATAAAAGTGAGGGCCAATAATCTGCCCTCTGCCTCGGAACCAACCCCCCATTCTCTTAATTATTAATTGTGTGTGCATACCATCATATTTTTACTACAATGTAGGTATTGTGTCTGAAAAAGTGGAGTTTGGGGGTCGGCTCGGTCTCTATTTCAATTAATCCCATATGTTATGTTGTTCACTTTACGCGTTTCTCGCTTTACGCGGGCCGCCACGGTTTCAATTGACCGCGTAAAGTGAGGGTTCACTGTACTTTATTCAAAGTTTCCCTTATTTCAATTCTTAACAAAACCTTATCAAGGGAATATACATGTAACTGCATACTACAATACAAAATGCAAGCACCTAAAATATATGAAGTTATTCTGCACTGGTTACCTTAATTTACAAGAAAAAAGAAGGAAAAGTTATAGCTTCTAATATATCTTACATGCTTGCTAGCTTGAAATCTCAAACTTATTCTTGGAGGCAGATGCTTGGCAACACGGGTGTGAGGTGAACCAGAGCTGTTCTTATGGTACTCATATACTGTTTCAGGAGCTTTGAGGATCAGCTTGGCAAAATATCCAACTATGTCTTCTCTGGAGTAAAGTCCAATCATATCTGTACCATACTGTAATGAACAGTTGAAGTTTTAATACAAACTATAAATGCTTCAACAAAAATATTCTCTTCAAGATTACTGAATAGATCCTTTCTCAAACTGTAATATATGCCTACCTTAAAGCAATCATTTCATATTCAAGACTTAACTACTTACAACACCACTTAAAGTTTAAAAAATAATTTTTGCATTTCCTCTAACAGCCTCAATAAAAATTAAATTATGTAGGTCAGGTTTTCTTATCTTGCCTGAAGGGGAAGTACTACCAGTACATGCAACATCACTATTATGAATGAAAAAACATGCATACAAACTTACTTTGGAGTTGATAAGCATAGTTAGTGAATATAGCCAACGCACAAGAAAGGGGATTTCAAAGGTACAAATGGGTTTTAGGTCTGGGTCCCCATCATATTTCAAATCTCGTCTGCACAGTCCTGATTTCAACTGGTAACGACCTAAAATGAGATCAAGAAATATTTCAAGATGTGTGGGTTAGCAGCTTCATATACTGTAAATATAGCTGACTAAAGGAGGAGCAGAAGTAATGGTAGTATTTTATTTTACTTAACTGTGAGGTCTTAATTTCCACTTTTTCATTTTATTTTACTGAAGAAAAGCTGTACCAATCTCAAGGACTCCTTCATACCTAATTACCATTTTGATATTTCAAGATGCCCTTCTTTGAAGAAAGAGAGAAAAAATGTAATGTAAAGTATTATACAGAGTAACTAAAAAAATAATATAGAGTAACTAAATATTTTATACATTTCTTAAAAAAAAAAATATATATATATATATATATATATATATATATATATATATATATATATATATATATATATATATATATATATATATATATATATATATATATATATATATATATATATATATATATAAACACAATAGCTGGTTAAGAAATTAAGAAAAGGATTCATGAAAAAATACTGTAATGTAAGCTGCCAACAGCTGTGTGGGTACCAACTTCACCTAACCTAAAAACTTTAAGAGTAGGTAATAGGCAGCTACCAAACAGGGAGGTACTACCGCCTGGGACGATATTGGAAGCATACTGTGTTGTCTATGGTAGACCCTACTGCCACATGGCATCGCGAAAATTGTGACCAATTGCAGGGTCTCAATTGTTTCTCTTAATATTGACAACACAACATACATAGTGTATATTGTTTCTCACTTTTGATTTTTTTTCATTTTGTATTTCTTTATGGTTCTTTATTATTATTATTATTATTATTATTATTATTATTATTATTATTATTATTATTATTATTATTATTATTAAATTTTTGCCCCCTAGGCCCCGATGTGGGTCAGTGACCTGTGCCTGGGTGGGCTAATCCCCGTAAAAAAAAAAAAAAAAGTTAGGTATGTTAGGTTAGGACTTGTTAGTTCTTGGGTGCCATTAACCCATTCAGTTCTCTTCAAAACAACCTGTTCTCTTTAAAACCGTATGGCAACCTTTCTAATTTGCATCTACTCCTCCTATACAAAGTATGTACAGTAATTGTTCAGTTTTATCCTGTACACTTCCTACACCCCCTCCCTTCTTTCATCATCAAACTTACATTTGGCACTCATATGTCCATCTATCCTCCTAAAATAGTACCCCAAGCCTCAAATCTTACCATTTCCACTTCACCTACTTCACTCTCATTTACATCAATCAACAATAAATTAAGGTGGGAGGAAGATATTTCTGAAAGTTTATTTACCACAGCAGTATACAGTACACTCTTTCTAGTGAAAAAAATCAGGGTAATTATTCTTTGGAAATTTGTCAAAATTTATCAGAATTATATACCAGAACAAAACATAAAAGAAAGCACATGTTTGTTTTGTTTTTTCCAATACCACTCAGTTCTGTTCCTAACTTTAAAAACCACTGTCAGGCAGTTTCTCTCACAACCACCTCAATCTATACTATCTAAAGTTAACCACCTACCATAATTAGTAAGCATTGGGCCACTTGGGGTGTTGGCACACTGAGGAGATGTGGGATCATCTGATGATTTAACCTGGTGATGCTGGTATGACGTATCTGACTGACTAGTGCCATGATGACCTGGACCAATACCACATAAGGTCTGTCCATACTCAAGTGGCTGAAGAATCTGAAAAGAAACACAATTCTTGAATATACATTTCAAACATCATATGTGTGGCTGTTTATTTTTATACCATTTATGTCACCATATACATTTAATAGACAAGTGATAAAAATTAGGCCAAAAAATAAGATACAGTACGAAAGAGAATGACTGAAATTTAAGAATCCTTTAATATAAGATAATGTACATTAACCCTTAAATGACTGCCATTATCAGTAGACGTTAGCTATAGGGATGGCAGCCATTACCAATGGACGTTTCATGTTCCTTGCACTGTATTTTTGCATATATGGGGATGGAGTTACAAATTACAGTATACTGTATCTATTACAAGTTTATGGTTTTAATAATGATATACAGTAATGAACATTCAGGGTGCTGTTAATTACTTTAGTTACAATTGGGCAACTGCAATCTACCCAATATCTTGCTAAGTAAGTACAAAATAATGTAGAACAGATTGTTTAAGAACTTAAATTTTTTTATTATTCTTCATATATTTTTAAAACATCTGGCTACAAGCCTTATTGATATGCCTTGGACACAGTAGCACTTCCTGTCACCCTATTCCCTTAGATATAACACCACCCACATTCCTGCCCAAACAACTGAATATGCATAGTCTTTACCTCCAACAGAAGGCCAAGGTGAGTTCTCTTGAATATGTATTTAATCTTCACATTGAATACATCACACAGACCATCTAGTGATGGCACTCACCATTGCCTACTCTACAAACTTAACTATTTGTCCAACTCACTGACCTCAAAGTCACTACCACAGTTTCATCATCACTGACTCCCTATCCTTGCTATTTTCTCTCAACACCTACAACTCAAAGTGCCACAATTCTCTCTCTACCCACACAAAATGTGTGCCTTGCTGACAAGGGTGTCAGACTGTTAGAATCAAGTTTCTGTATATACCCCATCACATAGGCCTCCATGAACATGACACAATTAATGCCCCAGTTAAACTTGACATCTTACAGATACACTAATGAATATAACTTATGGCTTCCAAACAAAACCCTTAAAGATGTAATTAGAAAAGGACTTTCAGATGAAATTATATCAAGCAGACAAATGCAAAGAGGCATTAGTCAATCCATTGTCTACCATTTTGTGATGTATCAAGAGAATCATTTGCATGAAGCAAGTTACAAAGTAAGGAGATCACAAGATACTGTCGCTACTAGACTAAGGCCAGGATATAAACAACTCTGGTAGCATACCACTTATGCAGATATGAATAATTCAAAATGTAAAAAATATGGCCAGATAAATGACCACACACTTGAAAACTATACTCGAGACCGCAAAAAAAAAAATAAGACCCACTTAGGGACAGGTCCAACCACGCTGAGTGTGCATGCCACAGCCCTTTACTGCTGATGGTAAGGTAAGCGATACATTAAGACAGTAGCCACATATAGATCCTGGTGGACAAAGTCAACTGTGCAAAGGTCTCAATAGACTATGTACTGAAACTTTCAGTTATATTCAATAACACAATAACCTGACCACTGTGGTCTGACATAGATCTTTTGTGACTTCTGTTCTGCAAACCTTTTGTTCTACTACTCGCATGATGAGTATAGGATGCAATGAACTAACAGCTCACTAAGGTAAAATTCAAAATTAAATTTAGTACTGTAGCACTGCACATTTGTTTTTTCTCCAAAATTATAAATGTCTGATATCCCTAGTCTGACATCAATAAAAAAAATTTAATAATGAAGTCCAAAATTGCAAGAGTTTATTGTACAGTATAGATCATATCTCAAATACTTGATAATTACCAACACTCCCTTCCAACTTTAACACATATCACTCAAACAAATACCAATGCATATGATATACAGGAAAAAAAGTGTTTGCTATGACCACAGCAACCCAAAAAAAAAAAAAATTATAAAACCGGGTATTCATTCTGGTGAAAGAGAGTAAATTATCATGTTAACAATGGATCTTTAACTAACTAACAAACAAATAAACAAACTCTCTCTCTCTCATATAACAATAAAAAACTGTACTGTATAAGAAAAAACTTACATTGAAGATCCCTGACAACTGTCTCTGGGCTGTTTCCAAATGAATAACAGTCTTCCTGATGTCATCTGTAGAAGTCTCATCTTCTGTGGGGGATGCTGCATCAAAGATGCCTTTGATGAGACTCGTGAACCAGCCTTCTTTTGTTACCTTGCCATTTGTGCCATTACTAATGCTTACTGTGCCTGCTGCTAAATGTTGCTGATGCTGCTCTCTGACTACTGCCTCATATGCTCTTCGTATATGCTTTAGCAATGATTCCACCTGAGAATAAAGAAAATATTGTAATGTAATCAGCATCATAGCTAATTGTATTCGCTTGTTAATACCCATTTACTGTATAGTACTCTAATAATATATTCAGCATCAGAAAATATGGTCACCACACACTTCAGCATACGGGTACTCCTCATTAATGATACATGTTTTACTCACATCCGTTCACTGTCCCTCTGCCTACACTTACAGTAGTTTTACTTGGTTCATGAAATTACCCATTTAATTCTCAAATATTGTTTCAGAAAAGCTTCATTTTACCTGATTACTCCATTATTCATTCACCTGTAACTGAATCACATTTCACAAACACACATCAGTGAGCTGTTCCACATCTTTAGGCAATTTGCTTTTGAGGAGCAGCTTATTATTTTTTTAATTACCTAAAATTTTATGGAATTTACCTATCATCTTAATCCTCCTGCATATCATGATGCAAATAATGTAATTAAACTTTAAAAAATTCCCCAAAAAAAAAATAGTTTTCAAGATAGTTGGATCATATTTTCATATGTCATAGACGACTGCATGACCTTGCAAGGTAAGGTTCCAGATAGTACCAAAGCGTGGGTGTAGTTCCACTGTCCTTCAGTTTCCACCTGTCAGCCGTGCTGGTAAGTCACGTTTGTTCCTTTATTTCCTCTCCCACTCTCCCCACAATTAGTCATATAAAAATTCCAAAGATACCGTGTGTGATAGAATATAATCTTATTCTCAGTCTTATTTTTTGTTTTCGACTTATGTTAAAACCAAAACAACAATTAAACATAAGTAAAAATCGGTAAGTATGTTAAAGAACATCATGCATCGGGCACAGTTGTGTGCAGTTTGCATATGAGGTTGCTTGTTTATCATTAATTTATACTAATATTATCTTCAAACGTTTAATCCCTTTCGGGTAATTAATCCAGTCGTATGTAACCGATGCTAAACATATTTCTTTCTAAAGACGCTGATTTCATGCAACACAAACTGCTGTTTTAGTTCGCTGTGGGATTAAACAGAATCATCGGTTTACTGCTACCTGTATATAGTGTGTATGTGTGTGTGTGTGTGTGTGTGTGTGTAAAAAAAACCAGTTGTATAAATGAAACAGTATTATTTATTTTACTTAATTAAATTATATATTTTACATTCCCTGTGAGGCATTGGAAATAGAAATCTATATATAATGTCTTATTTATTCATCTATTTATTTGTTTAAATTATATTTCATGAAATGGATACTACACAATTTTTATGAAATGAAAGACTTTCCAATGCGATCCTGTGATGAAACAGTTTAAAACAAAGTTTTTTGCGGGCAAACATTCAATAACCGAAAGAAATTTCATTTGAAATACTGTATATAATAAGCTAAGTCTACTCAGATGACAATCTTAATGGCAGTTGAAAGGTCTACAGAGATGCAATACATATGCTACCCCATTAGCTACACCTTCAGTACGAGATTTCACTAATTACAGGGTGTAATGTAATAATTTTTTATAATTACAGTAGAACGTCGATTTAAAGCGAATCTTTCCTATTTTGCGTGAGTCAATCTGGTGCATCAAATTTAAAATTTTGGGCCTAATGTTTCTCTGGGCACGCTACACTGTCCTAAGAGCAAAACTGTGCTGTACATGTACTCAAATTAATGTACTAAATGATTACTAAAATATGTGTCTAGTGCCAACTACATTATATTTAAATTAATCACTATCTTATAAGAATTCCAGCAATGTAAATTATATTCTCCTCGGTCACTTCTGTGGCATTTTAGAAGCAAAAAACTTAAACTCAAGCTAAAGGACAGAAATAAACAAATAAATACTTCACTAGACCTTTGGTGCCAACTGTCAAATATGTCACTGTCACTTCCCTCCCTGCCGCCACCCCCCCCCTCCAATCTTCCCAGCCAGGGTTTGGTGTTTTAGGCTTAAAGTTTTTATCTTATATAATGTCACAGACTAAAGTTAGAATATAATTTGTATTGCTGGAATCCTTGCAAGACAGCGAATAATTTTAATAAAAACGTCATATATTTTGCACAAGAGATAAAAATTCTTGCTCTTTGTATGTCTAATGCGAGCTATAGCATGTTTATATTCAAATTAATTCCTATCATATACGAATTCCAGCAATGTTAATTATATTCTCCCAGGTCAGTTCAGTGACATTTTATAAGAGAAAAACTTAGTCACACATAAGGACATAAATAAATAAGCACTAGACCTTGGCATCTACTGTCAAACATATCCCTCCCTACCCCCATCTTCCCAGCCAGTAGACAGACCATTTTGCATCCCTTAATTTTAGCTGTGTTGATTTATGAGTGTTTGTTTTAACATACTGTAATACAGTACTACAAAAAACAATGTTTTGTTTATTCTAGGAGATGGGCTGAGGTGCATCTGGGTAGACTCAGTCTTTTTAGTATTTTGTGTTTCTCTCAAGTACCAAACTAAATTATTCCATTGAAACAACACTTCGATTTAGTGCGAATTCGGTTTCAAGCGACCTCTCTTGGAACGAATCTCGCGTTATATCGACATTCTACTGTAATAAAAAAGGCAAGGGACCCCGTTGAAATCGACTTTCTTCACGAGCAAGTGTGTTTGAGTGTTAGAGCATTATTGTAAATTATGAAATAATTGTGAGGTAACATTGTAACATAGTTTGGTATTTTGGCTAGGATTTCTTCCCATTTCTTATTAATAAATGAAAAGAGAAAATATATACAAATACCTGTACAATTATTACAATAAACGTTTTCTAAGAATACATAAATATATTGTGAAAGGCATGACATGGACTTATTAAATATGAGATTATGAATTTATGAGATTGAAATATGAAAGATCAATTTCCTTGTCACAAGTGCCTTGAAGAGCCGATCGGACAGCTGTGATCGGACCATTACAAACAGTATTGTAGGAATTGTCTCCATCTCCCTCGATGATTTTTTCAGTGGTAGATATGGTAATTATTTCACATGCAATATATTTATAATTTATGATACTGTACTCTTTCAGAATAATTAAAAGTATAATGTTATGATTTGTTTGATTTAAATCATCCTGAGTACATACAGCATAAGTGAGAATATTAGAAGAGGATTCTTTTCTTTACATTTATTATACAATTTGACATACAGGTACTCTTCGACTTACGACCACCCGGACATACGATTGCTCCAGTCGTACCAAAATTTTTTCAAATTACGTATTTTCGAGTCCCGACGTAAGTGATTGCGCTGTGTACTGACAAAATTTTCATTTGTAATTCCCTTTAAAATAGCTGGCAAGCTTAAAAGTGAAAGTTCTGTGGTGCTGAGAAGAAAAAGAGACCCATTTTAGATTTTCTACGTATTATTTTCGCATTTTCGACTTACGACCTGGATTTGGGTCCCTAATCCCATCGTGAGTCGGGGACTGCCTGTATATTCATGAAAATTATATTTATTTCAGTTAACATAGAAAAAATTATTACTATCGATGTGCATTCAGTCGGTAACGTTGATTACATAGGAAAATAATTTATGACACATTAATATTTAGTCCAGCCATCCTTCATTCTCGATTACTTGCTGCAGCCTGTTGGGAACGGAGGCGACGTGATTGTGTATCAGTTGTGGTTTCCACCTCAACACCTCCCACTCACGGTGTGTATGCTCCTGTAGCTGCACCCTGGTTCTCTCTTCAGCTGGCTTCCACACGTTCACAATATTGGCCCAAATGTTCTCTATAGGGTTCATGTCACAACCCTTACTTGGCCAGTCTAAAACTTGCAAATTTCTTTGTTCTGCAAACCACCGCATTACAACCCGTGCAGCATGGATAGGACACCTATAATGCATGAAAATTATGCTTTCGGGAAACGGCAAAGCATATGCACGCACCAAGGGAAGCATAACTTTTTCGAGTACAGGTAGTCCCCGACTTGCGACTACCTCAACTTACGTCCATCGGTACTTATGACCTGCTTTGACCTTACGACCGCAGCAGTCGTGACCAAAAATATTGTCAAATGACGGGCCCATTTTCTATATCAAAACGTTTCCGTCCCGGGCGAGAGAGTAGCGTGGCTTGGGTCACCGCGTGGTTACACTCACTCAGTACAGCGCTTAGTTGGTGTTTGGCTATCGTATTCTATACTGATCGCGCTGTGAACTTTCATTAGTATCGTATTTAATTGACTTTATAATGACTGGAAAGCGTACAAGTGAGAGTGCTGGTGGTGCTCCAAAGAAAAGGAGACAGGCAATTACTTTTGAGATGAAAATGAAGATAATAATGCAGCACGAGAATGGTAAAACAGTAGCAACAATCTCACGCGACGTAGATTTCTCGTACTCAACCATATCCACTATTCTGAAGGACAAGGAACGTATTCGTGATGTAGTGAAAAGAACAACATCTATAAAGGGAACTATAATTTCGAAGAAAAGACAAGGTCCTATTCACGATTCACGATATGGAAAAATTATTGGTGATATGGATAGAAGACCAGATACAGAAGTGTGTACCCTTAAGCCTTCTAACCATACAGGCTAAAGCAAGAAGCCTGTTCCAAAGCCTGAAGGAGCAGGCAGGAGATGAATGTGATCAAACCTTTACAGGAAGTCATAGGTGGTTTGATAGATTTAAAAAACGCTACAGTCTACACAATGTTAAGGTGAGTGGAGAGGCAGCTAGTGCCGATGTTGGTGCTGCCGAAGCTTTTAAGGAGGAGTTAGATGAAGTGATTGTGAAAGGGAATTATTTGCCTGAGCAAATATTCAATGTGGATGAGACTGGATTACTGTGGAAGCGCATGCCTGAGCGGACATACATCCACAAAGAGGCGGCAACAATGCCAGGATTCAAGGCATTCAAGGACAGAATTACACTTCTGTTGGGGGGGAATGTTGCTGGTTTCAAGCTAAAGCCCTTCATGATCTATCATTCAGAGAACCCCAGGGCTTTTAAACATGTCAGCAAGCACACACTGCCAGTGTTTTATCGCAGTAACAAGAAAGCCTGGATGATCTTAGCACTGTTTGAGGATTGGTTCATGACTTGTTTCATTCCACGAGCCAAGGAGTATGGTCTGCAACAACGGATTCCATTCAAGATTTTTGCTGATTTTGGATAATGCTCCGGGACACCCACCACACCTGGATGTCATGCACCCTGATTTTAAGGTAGTGTACATTCCACCTAACACTACCTCTGTCATCCAACCCATGGATCAAGGTGCTATTGCTGCCTTTAAAGCGTATTATTTACGTACGACCTTCGCTCATGCTGTTACTGCTACTGAAGGTGAGAAAATGCTCAGAGAGTTTTGGAAGGCATACAATGTTTTGTCATGTATAAAGAACATTAGTGTAGCACGGGATCAGGTTACAAAACAGTGAATGAATGGAATATGGAAGAAAGTCCTGAAAAGATATGTGAACAGTTTTAGAGGATTTAATGACACTGAAGTTATTTCGGATATTAGTAACAAGATGGTGGAGTCAGGTAAACAGCTTCAGTTAGAAATTGATAATGAAGATGTTGAACAGTTGGTTGAAAGTGTAGCAGAAGAGCTCAGTAACGAGGATCTTATTGAACTAGATGCATAGAAAATTGCAGAGGAAGAAGAGACAAAATGTAGAAGAAGAACCTGCACCCCCCACAAAGTTTTCAGTGAAACAAATGGCAGAGGCATTTGTTACAAATAATAAAGGAATGCAAATGTTTGATGGCATGGATCAAAATTATGAGCGTTATGCCAAAGTTGACAGAATGATCCAAGATGCACTTGCTTGCTACAGAGAAATTTATAATGAAAAGAAAAAACAAACTGTGCAGTCTAAATTGGACATCTATTTTAAGAAGTCCCCCAGTGCTGTCTCCTCACGCCCCACCAGTGCTGCCTCCTCACTCCCTCAAGATGTTCCAATACCTTCAACCAGCAAGTTTCCACAGTCCATAAACCTGTCTGAAGAAAGTGACATTGATGACCCACCCAGCCCTGTCTCCTCCTCTGCTTCTTCCAGTTAATGTGGTCTCCGTGTATTATTAGAAAATTATGGGGCCCCGTGTGCATTCAGCTGACTACATTAAAAGTAAGTGCTCAGTCACACTGTATCCATTCCTCATTATTTATTACTTTTACTGTACTGTATTTCATTGTAGAATTTTCATTTTTTTTTTTTATCTATGTCGGACTTACGACCTGGATTTGGGTCCCTAACCCCGTCGTAAGTCGGGGAGCACCTGTATTTCTAAATACTGTTCATCTGTGAATCTTCCTTCTATGTCAGTCAGCTCTCCAACTCCGTGCAAATATATCATCCCCAAACATTGCAAGTCACATGGTCACTCCTTGCTTCCTCAGCTTCCTCATAAATATGTTGTCTAGCATATCGGGTGTTGTTCCTCCTCCAGCAATGCAACCTTCCGTGAGAGGTAGATGAGTAAGTTTTTTCGTCAGTGAATATTACTCTTCCCCAAAAATCTCGGCCTTCTTCAGCATACCATCGAGCAAACTGTAACCTGCCCTCGCGATGTCGCTCATTTAACTTCTCCTTAGTGGCGGGAGTTCTATGGTGAATGCCTCCTTCGTGAAGTCTTCGCCTGATTGTTAGAGGGGAAATATTTAATTGGAGATCCTCTCTTATTGAAACTGAAATCATGAAGGGGTTGTTGGCCTCAGCAAAATTTTGGATGGCTTTAACTTGTGCAGGTGTTGTTCTGCGCATCATTCCACTCCTGTGGTGGTCCTTTAAACTTCCCTCCTCTTCCCATCGCTTAATCCAATACAGTTGACCGAGAAATGCCCAATTCTTGGACAATTTCAGGGGTGAAAACCCAGCCTCCTTCATGCCAATTATTCTTCCACGTTCAGTGATTTTATGTGTGTAGTATTTCATGTTGGCAGGGGTCTTCTACAAATGAGGGAGTGGAAAGGTAGTCAGCACTGATAACACCTCTGTCTCCCTCACCTTCCCGCTAATAACGTCAGCATTATATTTATATTTTATTAGGCATTTATAAAAATAATTCAATGAATAAATAAATATGATAAAAATTTATAATACATCATATACATTTAAATATAGAATATTTTATTTTTTAAGACACCAGACTAAAAGTGACGTAATCGACAAGTGTGTGTGTGGTGGGGGAATAGTCACTCAACAAAAGATATACCATTTGCTGTTTACAATATTCAGAGTCTTGGAATGACAATGATATTGCTAGATAAAGGCCTGTAAAAGTATTAGGCATATGCTACCGCACTAATTCACACCATCAGACGGATGGTTCGTAAGATAAATTACCATCACCTTCATTTAAACAATGTCATTATTAAACACACACACACATCCTTGACCACCGTAGGGTCAAGACCTATTCAGGCACTGCTCCTGCTGAGCAGCGGACCCCCTTGGCCATGTTCAGCCGCATTCTTGAAGTCCCTCTCCCCGACCTATCCTCACCACCGGGATATCAACATAATCAAAAGTGACAATTTTGTTCCGGAAAGAAGTGGGATCAGGGATAAACAGTGTTTAAGCCAGTGAATTCAGCACTAGACAGTACCAACCAAAGAGAGCCGTGACCCACCACTGAGATAAGCACCCCTGGAAACCATCCTCTGACCAGACGGCGTTAATCTGTCCACCCTGGGAACAGCAGAGGGCCGGCTATGCACCCGACTACGAGATAACACAACAACACCGAGCAGAGAGAGAGTGAGGTACTGTGACACCATCCCACACCACACAGTGTCCCCATGACCAAGAGGTCCTTCATTTCAACACCCGAGGATGAGTCACTGCACCACGTGAACACCACACCACCCGGTGTCCCCATGACCATGTGAGGTCCTTCATATCAACACTTAAGTACAAGTTACAGCACCACGTGAACACCACACCACCCAATGTCTGCATGACCACGTGAGGTCCTTCCTATCAACACCCGAGGACAAGTTACTACACCACGAGAACACCACACCACCTGGTGTCTCCATGACCAGCCCAGGCCCAGACCATCAACTGTAAACTATAATAATTTGTATGTTCAATTTATGTTCCTTCTTCTTTCAGTAATGAAAGCTTTTGTTAAACAACCCATGTACCCCATGTCTTTGTATGAAATAAGCCATTTTTGTCCATTGTATCTTTTTCAATAAACCGTAAAAAAAAATATTTGCGCTCGCGCACGCATTCACGCACACACACACACACATACAATGGGTAGCAGTGAAGCGAAGATTCTGTTTAATCCCACAGCGAACTAAAACAGCAGTTTGTGTGGCATGAAATCAGTGTCATTAGAAAGAAATATGTTTACCATCAGTTACATACGACTGGATTAATTACCCGAAAGGGATTAAACGTTTGAAGATAATAATAGTATAGATTAATGATAAACAAGCAGCCTCATATGCAACCTGCACACAGCTGTGCCCGATGCATAATGTTCTTTAACATACTTACCGATTTTTACTTATGTTTAATTATCTAAACATAAATTCATATAGGTTGGCCCATTGCGGTATCCATTTTAAAGTCAAATTAGCAGTATACAGGTATACCAGCAGAAAAGTATAATATAATATGAGACAACAAAGCCCAACCATTAATTAAGCAACGGGTAACTAAGCAACCAATCACCGATCACTTTTACATTAATTTATAATTTTTACTACGTACTATAATAAACAAACGGCCTTGTGTTGCCAGCTGTCTCCAGCAGTGTTTGAAGAATCTTGAACGAGACTGTGCATGTGAGATGAAGGATTAATATTACATTGAGTTTGGAAACATTATCTTTTAAGAATAATGCTCAGGTTTAGTCATATTTTGAGAAATTTTAAAGAACATGTACATTTTTCTTACCATAGTAATGTTGCCAGAGCTAAACATAGGATGATAAGTGTGACTAGGGCCTTCCATTTCAACAATGTGCCCTCGGGCAACAGATGCAAGAGAGCGTGCTGGGAACTGGTCATTGTGGATTCCAGCAAATCCTCCATGGTGCCGCAAGGAATGAGAGGTTCCACCAAGTAAAGATCGATGCATAAAGTGTGGATCCTCAAGGGCTTCTTCTATTTCACGGACGAAGTTACTTAGGTTGGTCTGAGAGAAAACCTGTTGAGATAAAGTATCATGGTGTAATTATATAACTACAGGTACAATGAGTCCTATCACTAAAACGGACACCCTAAATGTATTGGACAAACCAAGGAGTTGTCCAATAGTTCATCACTGCACGAATACTAACTAGAAAAACCGTAATACTGTACTGTACTGTACTGTACTGTATGTAATAAAGAAAAAAGATGTTAAAAATTATACAAAATGTGAGCAATATACAGGTAGTTCTGCTATAACGCGATAATTGTGTTCTTGTAAAATATCGTGTTATAGAAAATCGCGTAATAGAAATAACAGGGCTTATGGAGAAAATAGGGTTAGGTGCAGATTACTCGAAATCGAAAAAAATTTAGTAGTTAGCCTAACACAAAGGATAGCACAGTCTAAATAAATGTTACATTCATATCTAATAATGAAATCATACAGTAAATGTAACACTTTACCTTGAAAAAATATGAATATAACTTGATGAGGGAGAAGGGTGATTTTGAGGTTGATAACACCGAGCTTCTCTTCAAGTGTTATATCCTTTCTTTTACGATCATCACCGGGAATTCTATCACCAGAACGCTTCTTGTTGATATTCTTCTTTACTATATTCACAGTTAATACTGTACCACAAAATTGGAGAAATAGTAAGCAAAAATCGCGTTATAGCAAACAAGCGTTCGCGTTATACAAATATCGTTCCTAATTCATAAATCGCGTTAGAGCAAATTCGCGTTATCAAAACACGCGTTATAGCAGAACTCACTGTACAGTAAAACCATTATCACACTTGTTACATACACTTTTATCCTATGAGCAATATTTTATGTTGCTCGGTTACATGCACACACAATCCTACATACAGAATCACATCTTCTAAATGCAAATGCAAAATGTGAGAGGATGAATACTGGATTATGATTGGGATACAGCATCCAAAGGCATTCTTAGAATGTTCCTCTGGCTCTACCAATGATGCAATCAGTATTGTAGGGTCTCTGTGTTTATGCTCCAGGTAATAAACTAAGAACCAAAGCCTATAGTATTATGACTCATGAACTAAATCATTATCTAAACTTTTGGAGACTTACTGAATGAAATTACTTAGTTTGTGTGTGCAAACAATAGGGCTAAGTGACAGGTTTTACAAGTTAATTATACTGTACATAGGAAACACAGTCTAATAAAGAATAGTGTGCAAGAAGAGTTATACACAGTAGTATACTGTATTCTTCTGTTGTAATGGCACAAAAATCTAACCTAACTCAACCCAACCTAACTTAATCTTAACTTAAAAATTTAACATTTAAATTTTCATCTTATCATAAGATAACTGATCCTTACATAACATAACTCGGACAGTGTAAGCACATAAAATCTACATACAGCATTACTAACCTTCGTAACTCTGAAAAGAATCTGGGCATTCTTTGGAGCTGATAAATCCAAGCGAAACAAGCGGCACATGAGGTGGTAGAAAAGTAGAGTGTAGAATAAGAGATTCTCAGCAATAAACCCTTGCCACTTTCCTTCCACAGAACGTTGTGACTCATATTCTGTGGCACCTTGTGCTGGACTTCTATAAACAAAGTATCATTTAATAGGAACAAAAAGTATTACTGGTTTTCATCTGACACACGAAAATGTGTGTGGGATAGTGCAAGTTCAAAACAGCCAGAAGTAGAATTGTACATGGTAGATATAAATATTTTATCATAGGAGAAAATTTTTCAACTAAATCTGAAAGTGCTATGAAGTTTGTTAATATTTTTTTTGTTTCTCCCCCAAATTCACTAATACAAAAAGTGCTTCGCCCAAACCCTTTTTGATAAAATGGAATTTTATTTTACTTACATTGTAACCCACAACCCACATAGCTGTTAATTCTCTTCCTATATGTTCTGTGCATAGATATCATATATGAATAGAATATATATATATATATATATATATATATATATATATATATATATATATATATATATATATATATATATATATATATATATATATATATATATATATATATATATATATATATATATATATATATATATATATATATATATATATATAGGTCACATATATATATATATATATATATAATATGATATATATATATATAGGTCCAGGGTTCGATACTATATATGTATACATATATATATATATGTTATATATATATATATATATATATATATATATATATATATATATATATATATATATATATATATATATATATATATATATATATATATATATATATATATATATATATATATATATATATAAAATAAATGACGAATTGGTTGTAAGTCGAAAAGGCAAAAATAATACATAGAAATTCTAAATTAGGTGTCTCTTTTTCTTTTCAGCACCACGAGAACTCTCACTTTTACGCTTGCCAGCCATTTTAAAGGGAATTATAAACAAAAATATTATCAGTACACAGTGCGATCATTAACGTCAGGACTAAAAAATACATATATGAAAAATATTTTATACAACCATGGCCGTCGTATGTCCGGGTTGTCGTAAGTCGAGGAGAGACTGTATATATAAAATGTTCTCTTGCGTGCCATATCTTAAACAATGACACTTTAACTAACCTGTTGGTTGGAGAGTAATCTATGTACCTCCATGGCTGCACATATGACAGCCACGTCTCTAAAACCAGTCTGAAGGAGGAGTCTAAGGGCCAATGACTGAAGGTGTGACGAAGGAACTGGTACAGACTCTTCCGGTACATATTCCACAAATTCCTAAAATGAAGAACAATCCAAGATTAGGTGTATTGATGTTGATGTTATAATATGTAACTGTACTTTCACAACTAAGAGAGGTGTGTGTGTGTGTGTAATAATAATAATAATAATAATAATAATAATAATAATAATAATAATAATAATAATAATAATTAACGGTTTATTGAAAGAGCATAGCAGCCGGAAGGCTGAAAACATAGTTACATAATTGGGGAATGGGTTTCGATTTACAAATACAGTGACCCCTCGTTTAACGAACGCCTCGGTTAACGAAATTTCGGTTAACGAACTGCCTTCCATAAGAATCTTCAATTCGGTTAACGAACAAAAATTCGGTTTACGAATTTCTTACGAACCGACCTCAACATGTTTTCGCTTGCACTGGCCGGGCAACCAGCTTTAGTATCAGTCCGCCAATACATTAATCGGTTCTAGGGCTTAAATTCCTAACTATTTTAGTAAATATCAAGAAGTTTATACTATTCAATAATTTTAAAAGTTTAATATTCAATTTTTTAGTCATTTTAACAATTATTGAACATAATTGAAGGTAAAGTGACTAGTTTAAAGCGCAGCATCCAGCCTCTTAACACAGCAAACAGGCGTTAGTCTCTCTGTTTTCACTGGAGGTAACATCTTGCTTGAGACTCTCTTCAACTAAACGCTTTTTTCTGTGTTTCCAAGCAAATTATTGGTCATTTTGAAATATATTTTACATATTGACAATATATAATGCAGTGCAGTGTTGATTTAAAGAAAATAATCTTGAAATACACCAAGAGAACTAAAATTTTATGGGTGAAATGGTGCCATGGGGTGACATCTCTTCCACCCCAATGCCTTCTCTTCTTCCTTCTCCTCCACCCCCATTGTAATTCCCATCATCATCATCATCATCATCCAGGAGCCTTCTACATACACACCTCAAAGTAAGTGAACTTTTCTACCATTTTTGTTGAATTTTGGAAATTTTCGGTGAGCTGGAACCAATTTCCCAAAAACCCATTGAAACAAAGGTTTCGGTTAACGAACGACCTTCTGGAACGGATTGAGTTCGTTAACCGAGGGGTCACTGTAATATACAAGTAACATAAGTAATACAAATAAGATATATAATAACTAGGTGGGGAAAAGCTCAAACTACAGGGCATTTCAACATAGTGACAGTGAATACAGTAGGATTTATTGTGTGTGTGTGTGTGTGTGTGTGTGTGTGTGTGTGTGTGTGTGTGTGTGTGTGTGTGTGTGTGTGTGTGCATGCGTGAATGTGTATGCATGCTTGCGTGTGCACGCTTTCAGCTACCACCGTTGTCTAGCCCTTGTGATGAACAGGGAAGCAACTTGCATAAGTCTTCCCCTGCCAGTACACAGCCTCCTCACCACCAAGATTCCTGCTGTGCCTCCTCGTGGCAACACACGGTAACTGGATGCCCTATGGGCCCAGGCTAGACCAGCAGGGGATCTCGGAGTAGCAGTGGGCCCCAGAAGGACGGCGCATAGGCCCACTGGCATATGAATACATCCTGGCGCCTACCAATCACTGCCCCGCTGCCTTGCAGATTAACCTTGGTAAGTATAAGGTTACAGGAGTAAACCCCAAACGAAAAATCTGCGGTGGAGCCCCGCATCAGGCACACTTGCTTACAGGACCCCAACGGCGGTATAGGCAGCAGAGGTGACCAACAAGGGGACCCAACGACTACACCGGCAGAAGAAGGCAATGCATGACAGACAGGCTACTAAGGCAAAACCCAACAAACTGGGCTATCAACAGTCCATTGCAACTCTCCCTCTCCCCAGTCGTTACAACACTTGCACCAATGGATCAGGAAAAGGGAGAGCCAAGATGTAGGGTTGCTGTCTGTGCTCCTGCCTCACCACATAAATCAACTCACGCACAGCCATCATCCAGCTCATCATCATCATCATCAAACCCTAATACCCCAAAAGTCCTATGGTGATGGACGAGTGGTGACAGGGACAGCCATAGATGACTGCCGGGAGTCTCTAGTCACAACTCTGCACATGGGCGGCACAGATATGATAGTCGTTTATGCATTGGGATCTAGGCAGCAGTGCAATCCAGTCCTGCCTGTACGACTAGGCAGCCCTTTCTAGGAGCCACTCTGTTCACCCCAAATGGGGAGGGGGCTCGAAAAGGTGCCCTAAACATAGCCTACCAGGAAACAAGGGAAACGTGACGTTCAGTCCTAAAACCCTTGTTGTGAGGGATCGGGCAAGTGGACACCGGCCCACTCACCCACCCGCTGTACCCCCCCCCAAGCCCCTCGAGAACCCCCTCCCCACTGAGGGGGAACCAGCCACTGTCACTATCACCTGAGGAGTTTTCCCCCCTGCCGGCCAACTCGAGTACTACATGTCTACCCTCTGTGGTGGAAACCAGCAACCCTCAAAACCAAGTGACAGGCACACCTCCCACTCAATCTGGGAATCACCCTCAACAGTACCGGTCATCTTAATTCTGTTGGTTGTAACACTTGTGAGTACGTTACCCCTCCACTATTATAACTTTCTAAGATCTTCCTTTTTCACACCTCAGTGATCCTGAGTTTTTACTGTTCCTTAATCAGTATCAATGTTCCTACAATGATGATGCTAGTGCCATTCCCTTAGATGTGCTAGATCGTATGTGTTACACCCCCTTTACCCATAGTGTCGACACAATACTCCCTCATATCGATCCTGATGCCTTTCAACAAAACTCACTGGGTTACACCAACCCCAATTGTAACTATTACTTACCTGACTCTCCCGAGTTTAGTTCTAGTCTCCTACTACCTCATTCCATCTCCTTGATTAGCCATAACATCAGCAGTATTCCCCTTCATCTAGATACTTTTTTAGATCAGTGTATATCTTCTATTGCCCACAAGTTTGATGTACTTGGGTTCTGTGAGACCAAACTCACTAACGATATTGAACATTTGTATAACATTCCTAATTATAATATACACTGCGTCAACACGTCACGACACAGTGGTGGTGTCGCCCTATGTGTTGATATCAAGTATAACACTTCTGTGAGAGATGATTTAAAGGTTCAGGAGAAGTTCATGGAGAGTGTTTTCACTGAATTACGTAACGACACATGAAATATCCTAGTAGGAGTAATCTACAGAAGACCCCACACTAGTGTAAAAAATTTTCTTGAAAAATTTTTGGAGCTTATCTCAATCAAAAGATCAAAGAGGAAACCTTGCTACATTACAGGAGATTTCAACCTTGATCTATTAAAATCAGAAACCGACACCTCAGTGTTAGACCTTCTTGCTACCTGTCATTCTAAGCTCTTCCTCAACACTATAACCAAACCACTAGTTACTGCCACCTCTGCCTCTGTGATAGATTATATCTGGACTAACGACACTCCTAACAATCTTGCAAGTGGAATTATTTATAACAATATCTCAGATCACTTCCCAGTTTTTGCCATGTATAAAATAGCCACAAGACCTGAAAGGTCTAGTAGAGTCTCAGTACAATACAGAGACTACTGCACCGACAACATGCTACTTTTTTAAAACAACCTAATGAATGCTAAGTGGGTTCTTGTCTATGCCTCCGACAACCCAACGTGAACAGCTGCAACTTCTCTTGCATCTTCAATGCTTGCTTTGATAAATGCTTCCCCCTCAAGACTAAGTCAGTGAAAACTGTATCCATTTCCAAACCCTATATCAAAAGTGAAATTAAGATAATGATAAAAGAAAAACACAAACTCCAAAGGAAATTTGCAAAAAGACCCATAACTTTCGGTGATGCTTACCAAAGTATCAGAAATAAAGTACAGGGGGGTGTAAGTCAAGTAATTAGAAATGCCAGACGTAGCTATTATACAAATAAACTCAAGTCAGCATCAGGCGACAGTAAGAAAACCTGGAGTCATAAATTCTATTCAGAACAGGAACACTCAGCCGTCGGCCCCCCACTCAGCCTTTATGATAAATGATTCAGTTGCAAAGGAACCCTCCCTCATTGCCAACCATTTCAATGAATATTTTATAAATGTTGGCAAAAATCTTGCAGAGAGCATCCCTGATCACCATGAGGAATTTAAAGACTACCTGCAAAACAGAGAGCAAAATGAGCTGTTCTTATCTCCTGTCACAGCAGATGAATTACTGGCCACCATAAAATTGTCTTAAGATGCAGCAGCAGGCGAAGACAATATACCAATGAGCATCATTAAGAAAGTAGCCCACTTATTACTACCTGTTCTCATACACATTTGTAACTCCTCCTTCACTAGTGGTGTTTCCGGATAAACTGAAAATTGCTAAAGTTCACCCAGCATATAAAAAATCTGGGGACAAAGGTTTCTTCAAGAATTACCACCCCATATCAGTCCTCCCAGCCTTGAGTAAGATACTGGAGAAGCTAGCATGTAGTAGACTAAATTCCTCAAACGTGAACAAAATACAAAATTCCTCGGAGTTATTGTTGATGAGAAACTTAACTGGAGAAACTACATACAAGCCATTCACAGTCAAGTCAATAAACAGTGCGGCATCATGTATCACACTCGACAGCCACTCACTCTCACAGCAATGAAAGAAATCTATCATGATCTTGTTTACCAACACCTGATACACAGTCACAAACTATGGGGGGCCTCTGGCTCTTCAAAAACCCAATCCCTGGTTACTGCACAAGAGAGTTGTACGGACCATGACCTGCTTGAAAAAAAAAAAAAACAGATCACACAAACGAAAAATTTGCTATATTGAAATTTTTAAAATTCGAAGATATTAACACCTACTGCTGTGCCCTCTTTGTTTACAAATCTATCAATCACTTGCTTGACAATAATTATTTCCAGTTCCGGAATAATCAGAGATACAACTTAAGGCACCCAGAGCTACTAAGACCACCCCCCCCCACCCCCATGCGCTCCTCTCAGTCCCAGACCTCCATAAAATATCACGGTGTGAAAGTATGGAACAACTTACCCCCACCCATCCGAGCAAAGTCTACGCTCCCTTCCTTTAAATCATCTCTTAAAAAATATCTATTGCCTAAGTATTGATATAGCTTGTAATACCTACTATATATACCTGCTCTTATTGTACCATCAAAACCATTTTATCAGAAATTATCATGTAAATAGATAAGAAATTACCATTGCAATAAATATATTTGCCAACTAGACACAATCCTGCCAACTCTGTCCTCTTGTTCAACTTTAATACTGTACAACCCATGTTGTACTGCTTCCCCATTATATTTATGTTTATCAATTCCAGTGTAACTTATGCATAATACTGTACTTGTATATAAATGTAAAAAAAATATACATATATAAAAAATAGAAAAATTTTAAAAATAAAATAAAATATATAAATAAAATAAATAAATATTGAGATGTTCTTATTGCCACCATGCTATGTGAACTATTCCAGATGATACTAAATGTTACATAATACTTCCTTGAGATAAATGTACAGTATATATCAGGTGCCTACAGGAGAGCTCAGGTTCTCAACTGGCTCAGCCATGTTAATATTATTATTATTATCCACTCTGTATCTGTGTTTTTCTGGCTAAATAAACTGTTTCAATTCAATTCAAAGAACCAACCTGACTGGGCAACCGCACCCAGTAAGGTCATCCTTATGCAGTCGAAAACACAATTATAATCACAGACCAAAACAAAAACAAACTATACAACCTCTTACTGTCACTGCATAGAATGTCAGGACCCTTCTGGCAAAGGAGTTGGCTAAACATAACATCAACATAACAGCCATTAATGGGTCCCGGCACCCAGACGAGGGTCGACTCACAAAAGGGGGTCTGGCTATACCTTCTTCTGGAAGGGTAGGCCTGCTGCAGAGAGAAACCGCATTTATGGAGTTGGATTTGCCATCCACCAACGCATCCTACACAGACTAATTGAAATGCCTGTTGGGATCAAGTGCCACATGATACTCTGAGTCCCACTGAATCACTCACGCCATGCCTTCTTCATCAGTGCATACGCCCCAACACTGGATGCAGAGCATGACATCAAGGAGGCCTTTTACACCGATCTTGACAGAATGCTAACCTCTATTACCAGAGAAAATAAAGCTGTGCTCCTTGGTGACTTCAGTGCCAGAGTTGGTAGAGATGCTGACATTTGGCAGGGAATCATAGGGAGAACTGGACGAGGCATGTGTAACACCAAATGGCCTACTCCTCCTCAGCAAGTGTGCTGCACACAACCTCACTATCATTAATACCTTGTTTAGGCAGGCCGACAAGTTCAAGGGTTCGTGGCAACACCCACGATCCAAACACTGGCATCTCATTGACTACATCATTGTCAGTGAAAGAGGTCGCTGAGACGTCCTCATCAACCGAGCAAGGCATGGCTCAGACCCATGACACACTGATCATCGGCTCATCAGAGCTCTCACTTCATGTCGCCCTAAAACGGCGAAGGCAGTAAGCCTCCACAAGAGATTTTAACACTAAGCATCTGGAAGATCCAGCGGTAGCACATGATTTCAGAGAGCAGCTCGAACATGGGCTGATAAACAACCCCACAACAAACAACCCAAATCCCAGTGCCGAATGGGGTATTCTCTACAGAGTCTATACTGTCATGACAAAAACCTGCAGAGAGACCCTCAGCCAGGTCGAGAGAATACACCAGTATTGGTTTGATGAAAATGACCGGGAAATCAATGTACTCATCGATGATAAACATGCTGCTTTAATTGATTGGCAGAACAACTCTCAGTCTGGGGGGCATGAACGAGTATGAGCATATGGGATACATTTCTTGAAAGGTGGATGTGGAGACATTCAAGAATGTGAAATGAAGCTGACCTTAGAAAGGTATAGTATAAAGACAATGAAGAATGTGTATTATGGACAAATATGTTTCTTGCAAGATGGATGAGAAGATAGTTAGGAATATGAAACTAGAACTGTTAAAGGATAAAGATCAATACACTGTAGGCAATATGGAATGGGAACTACACTGGGAATACTTACTTGCGCAAGTCGTCAAGTGGTGACGGCTGTGCTGACTTTCCACTATTTGCAAAGAAATGAAGGTGCTTGATGAGCATCCTCACAACCCTCACATGATCACTTGATGGCACAAACACCTCCTGAGTGTTATCAATAAAGTTCATTAATGAGGGAGTGAAGCACTTACTAAATATGATAATTACTTTCATAAAATAGTCAGAAAAATTTAATAAAATGAAATTGACAACACACTTAAAATGTGTAAATAATAGTCAAATTGAATGTTTACTAAATAGAACCTGTTCAAAGGTTTCAGAAGACATTGATAAATCATTGTATCCAAGTAGCAATATGTAAGATAAGCAATTTTCCATGAAAAGGGTGTCATGATTGAGCCAATAATCCTATCCATAAACATTATTGCAAAGAAACTAACAGTAATTAATTTATATGATATTAAAGTTTTATAAATTTATCTATATAGTAAATCATATAATACAGTATTAGAAAACTTTAAGTTTTTTGTTAAGTGATGTTAATCATAAAAATAACAAGGGGTGGCAGCAGATAAAGCTGAGTACAGTACACAGAAACAGCATACTTTTGCAAGCAAGTAATTGCTCTGAATGATTAAGATTCTAATTAACAATGTTTAATGTTTATAATGGTTAGGACACTTATGATATTTTGCGCATCACTAAATAATTAAAATAAGACAAAACAAGTGAATTTCATAATACAACAGTACATAAAATAAAAAAATTCCTATTGTTAGTAGTGCAAATCTATCCTACAGCAAGTCAAAAGTCATTCTGAAGCCATTTTTTTTAAGAAAGTTTTGTGGATGCAATGAGCGACTTTTCATCTCATTCACTCAAACGAGAAAATCAGCTTCGAAAGTTTTTAAAGAAATGCTGTGAAAGAGAATAATAAAGTATTTGTTAATATGAAATCCTAATTTACTATTTACTTCTGTTACCAGGAAACTTTATGTATTGATCATTACCAAAAGAATATTCATTATGAGAAGTAATGAAGTAAATAATGATGGCTGCACTACTTTGATAAATGTCTTCCACACCTAAAAAATTACAAAATTTGTTGGTTGGTCTCAGATGCTGATGGAGGTACAGTATTAGCATTGAACTATAAAACGGTCAAAAGAACAAACATTCTCCAAATCTTCTTCCTTTTTCATAATCAAACATAACTTGTCTTTGCCATCTTTACATTACATAACTTGTCTTTGCCATCTTTACATTACAAGGTCATTTAGTGCCATGCTGTACACTCACACACAACACTATCCTACGCACAATCTTATATTAGCTCTTGATTCAGGTCACCCTGCAGTAAAGTGACTTTTTTAGGTATTAACCCAAATCCATGGGGGGAGTAAGTTTCCAAAGTCATGTGTTCCAGGCATGGTCATAAAATGGAATTCCAGAAGCAACCTTCAATTGTGGCCAGTCACCCTTCACTAGGTGGCTTATATTTCAAAAGCCAATAATAAACTGGAAGGTGGTGGTAATATATGATGCAGCAGCTAATGTGACAATGTATCCCTGGAGGAAAGTTAACCCTAATCTTTAAACATATTCTAGAAGGAAACAATGATAAGCATCTTATCAACTTCCTAATACCAAAATATCCTCTAGCACATTCCCTTCAGCCCATAAAAGCATAAATGTGAGAGCTGAGTAGGAATTGCACTTTTGTATGACAGGATTGATGGACAAGATGCAAGTCCCCAAGCTCATTAGCTTGGGCAATGCACTTTGGTAGAGTTTAATTTAATGGCTTTGACAATCAAACTACACATAAGCCTTGGAATGTAAAATTTTTGCATTAATTAAATGATGATCAAAACTATTGATTCATTATGAGACAAGATTGCACCACAATGACAAGACACCATGAATGATGTAAAACATCTTTCAACTTACAGGCTGAGACTTGAATACACTCTAGTCTAAATTTAGAGAATTGGGAATCAATTTAAAACTCCTCCACAAGAAAAAATAAATAAAATAAAAAATTGACCTAACTAACTTTTCTCCAAAAAATTTTCAACTAAAATCAAAGGACTTTTTCCAGATACCAAGTAGCCTGTAAGGTGGGTCTCAAAGATCTTAAAAATAAATCAGAAATAATCCATTACTACTGGTGAAGAGAGCTCAACTGTAAATGCTGCTTTCTATGTTCTAGAGAGAAGAGGGGAAAAAAAGAAAAAAGCTAATGAATTAACTCCAATAAATAAATCTAAATGCCAATAACTTTGAATCAGATTCCAGCTTCTTTAATTTACTAAAGCATATCTGGGCAAATGTATAATGCCTCTTTGTCAAATTCATTAGCTATTCTACATTTCCAAAACACAGCTATGAGAAATTCCACTTTGATATTTTTCATCCACTATGTTCCAAACTGGGTAACTCTTCCTCCTTATCATCTGTTGTGTTTTATGATTGCTTTTCTCATCTCCCCTTTTCCAAGATATAGTCCCTCTATCTGTCTTGACCCCTGGCAGACAGATGTAGTAGGGTGGGTCACAATGTTCTGGACATATTCTAAACCTTTCCGATATAAATGTATTTTTCAAGGGCCCAATTCCAATTTTCCATGCTTTGCATTTGCTGGGCTTCTTTGTGGAGGCAAAACTCCCTTTCTTCATCTTCTCATTTAAAAGCAAATAATAATGGTTAGACAAACTGTATACTGCTCCTGTTGGTACATCCCTATCAATCTATTTACACATATATCTTCTGGCTATGAATGTGTAGTATACAATATAATAGTTCCCTAACTTCCACATATTTTACCTTAACTGTGCCTGAATGAATATATTCTCGGAAATAAATAGTAGTTTTGCTGAAACGTGATGTATTTCAATGTAAAATAGGATAAAATACATGACGAAAACAAAAGGATTTACCTAACCTCCCTATGTTCAAGAGATGTTACTCGTTTTTTTAATAGTTTTCGGTTAAAATACTGTTATATTACAATGATATTCTATTCATACTGTGCTTGATATAATGCATTCACGGAAATGTAATATTTTTGCTGAAATGACGTACGCATTACAGTGGAAAGTGGGATAAAATCGTGACGAAAACAATGACTCGCTTTCTTTCGTTCAAAAGATGTTACCGTAATCCCTTTTCGAATGGTTATCAGTTAAAAAAAATTTTTATTACAATAATATTCCCTCCTAACTGACTTGAATAAATACTTGAATGGAAATATACAATATTTTTGTTGAAACTACCCGCGTTTCAGTGTAAAGTGTCGTAATACTAAATGGTAAACAATTTCCCTTCGGCACTCGGTGTTTCAGGCACGGCGAGCCTCAGTTTATAGGACGTAGAGTGTTTTTGCTGAAGGTTTTGTTGTTCCATTACCCTCAAAAACTTGGGTCGACCTATAAATGAGGAATATCATAAATTTACGATTTCTTGGTCAAAAAATCAGGGTCACCTATAAACGAGGGAGGATTATAGACGAGTATACAGTAGTACCCCGATTTACGGATTTACGCGGTCAATTGAACCCACAGGGTACCGCGGAAAGTGAAAACCGAGTAAAGTGAACAACAGAACATATGGGATTAATTCCAATAGAGACTGACCCAACCCCCAAACTCCACTTTTTTCCGACACAATGCCTATGTTATAGTAAAAATAACATCTAAATTTTATGATGGTATGCTCACACAATTAATATTTAAGAGAAATACAGTCGCCAAGTTAATGTCCATTCAAATAATGGACTCAAATATCCCCCCCCCCCTCTTCCCAGCTCACTAGCTCCTACCTCTCTGAGAAATGATTGGGTGAAAACACTAGATTTTAGCGTTTAGTAATAAATAATACCTCAGACTAAAGTTAGGATAATATAATTGACATTTCTGGATTCCTTGCAGGTCAGGGAATATTTTGAATGTAAACTTCATATATTTTGCACAAAAGATAAAATATTTGCTTTGTGTAAACCAAATTATTTCATTAGATCTAAAATTTGTATGTCTAATGCAAAAACCATGATGTTTATATTCAAAATGATCATCATATTGTAAGAATTCCAGCAATGTAAATTATATTCTGGCTGGGTAATATGTATGAATTTTATGAGCTAAAACATATATCTTCAGTAAATAAACAGAAATATTCTTCAAGGACACTATCTGTCAATCAAAATACAGTACTCCTCCCTAGCTGGGTCCGTCCCTCCCTCTCCCCCACCCCCCACCTTCCCTCCCTACCAGAGAAGCTTTGGGAGAAAATAGTATATTTACATTTTTAGTAATAAATAATAACTCAGACTAAAGTTAGGAAAATATAATTGACAATTCTGGATTCCTTGCAGGTCAGGGAATATTTTGAATGTAAACTTCATATATTCTGCACAAAGGATAAAATATTTGCTTTGTATAAACCAAATTATTATATTAGATCTAAAATTTGTATGTCTAATGCAAAATCCAACATAAGAGATTCAAATGATCATCATATTGTAAGAATTCTGTTAATGTAAATTATATTCTGGTCGTAGCAATTTGCAGGCGAATTTTATGAGCTAAAAAAAAAAAAAAATTATACTTCACAGCGTGAGGAGGCGAGTAGATGCACCATGGAAAGTGAAAGTCAAAGTCCGTTCTGGCAAGGTAAATGGTAAAATGAAAAAATCGCGAAAGTGAAACTAAAAGTGAAACCGTAAAGCGGGTTAATACTGTATACTATAATCGTAATTTATTAGGCGTACATTTATACACAAAACATTAATAAGAAAAAACTCAACCCCCATATAAGTTATTGTATAGTACTGTATTAAATTTCTGGTTTTTTGTTGACATAGTATGGTAGCAATCAGTCCGGTGCCTGCCTGTCTCCATGTTGGTGTATTGGCATAACCCACACAAAATTATGAGAAGGAAAGGAGCTGTATATTTAATATAGAACAACTTTTTGTACAATATCTATGTGTATTTTGATGTATTATGTATGATGCTTAATATATATTAAAGTAGTTTTGGAACAGTTCATGGGTATGGCCTTGGAACCAAAATCACTATTACTATTTAATCAATTAAACTAAGTAATTCACGATTTGATAATTCACGCTGTCTTCGGTACTAAACACTCCACCATCATGATTAACAGATAATTTTCTTTTTCATTTTTGTCTCATAATGTCACTGATGGCATTATTGCTGTGTTGTACTCCATCACTGTAGCCACATCCCCCTAGCTCTTAATACCAGGCCGAGTTATGAGCTGTGTTATGGCTATCTTTCAACTCATAACTTTGGGTATATATATGTAACTTTCTTCATTTTTTTTATTATTATTCAATTACATGCACACACACTTTTCATACACGTAAAAAAAGTAAAAGAAATAATTATCATAAGGTCAAAAACATTTCTTCGTGTGTGAGAGTTAGAAGACTGAGCTTGGGGGGAGATGATATGTCCTACCTCAGCTAGAACATTTTCTATGACCCAAGCAGTTAGTAGGTGGCTGATAACCCTAGTGTTAGAGTTTAAAATCACTTTTGTAAATTATCCTTATTCTACCAGGTAATATATGTACAGAACCCATGGATAGTGTCAATACAAATTAGCACCATAAGCTCCTTTCCTTTTCATTTGAGAGCTGTGAAACACGTATAATATAAGCAAAAAAGCTTTCAGTTTTTTTTTCAATAAATGATCACCTCAATAATTCCTTGCACCTAGATAAAGAAGGAAGTACAGTATTATATAATCTTAAATTATTGTATAAAGAGATGGTTACTTTAATTCTTTTGAGTCATGATACCGGGTATGTACAAGGTTTTTCCAGTAACAAATGTTTGGTAAATTTGAACTATCATTTTACACAAATACTTCATAATTTGGACAGAAAAGAAAGATGTACAAAATTCTGCTTTTTACAATCACATTTCAATTCAATCACTAATTCAATATATACATCTGATAACAGTGCAATTTAGTAAATTAAGATCTAAAGACAGAAACACAGTGAGCAGGCGGCAATGAGATGTGGCTATAGATAAAAGGGCAGTAAACATAACTTATAAAGCCATTTTGTTAATTCTTGGCCGATATTTCTAGAGGGTGCTCCTGAAAAGACACTGCACACATGCAGAGCAGTGTACTGCAAAGGAAGTTAAACAATTAAATATTTGAAACCAATTATAAATAAGCAAACCTATATACAGCTGGAAAATTAATTTGGATATGGCGTATTATACACTTCAATGAAAATTCAAAAAATAAAAACAGTAACGTTTTTCAACATAAAGGCCATCTTTCCATAATCTAAACCCTCTCATTTTTTATATTTAAAAAAAATCTAATTTTTTTTTGTCTTGTTAGAAAAATTAATTACTGAGAGCAAAATGCATGCTGTAGTCAATCTACTGGTTTGAACATTAAGGTGATCCTGACTCTTGTACTTCAAACATCCCACTTACAACCTTATATTTAAATACTAGTCTGGGTTTATTGCCCAATCTTGCATGCAGACTTGGCTAATATGTTCTTCCAAATTATTTGTGGCTTCTCGGATCTGTAAACATAACCCAGGACAGTTGCTTAACCAGCTCCTTCGGTGATAGCCAGCATCCTACCAGTACCCAAAGACTGAGTTGGTGACAACAGTCAAATTACATTGTAGACTAAATTAAAGCACATTTGAAGCAGGTTGCAAGTGTGTTTGGAACCATTCAGGGCTCAAGAATTAAATTTTAGAAATCTAAAATTTAAAACTTCTTCCACACAGCTGAACCACCAGTCAACCCTGACAACTCAGATAATTATATATTTAAATCCTTAGAATATTGGTGGCTCCTAAGCCAAAGTGACAACTGTACAGTAGATCTTGTGTTTCATCATGTTAATAATGTTAGTGTTGTTAAATGTGGCAAACATTCCAACTACACCTGATGCACTCTTATTTTTTCTTTGCGTGCATGTTCTGTTGTTCAATGAACACAGAAGATTCAAGCTTGTGATTGATGGTTAGCTTGAATGGTCTCTGAATGTGGAAGTAGTTTTGAATTTTAAGCTCACATTTCCAAGCTACAAACCTCAAATTGTCTCCAAATCATGTGATGCTTGCTTTGAATCAGGTCTGATTCAACCTGTGATGAGAGGTCAACTACTGTCAACAATTAACAATCTTCTCAGAGGTGCATGATACAGCACATCTATCATTTACTACCAAGCCACAACAAAATGAGGAGTTGCACACTCAAATTATCTTTTTTAGTATTCCACAGCAAAATACTATACCTATGCAACAAACTAAAACTACCAACTTTATTGTCCATTCCTCTCTTTCAACATGCTCAAAAACACAATTTACTATTTCACCCCTCCCATCACTTGCTGTTTATCATAACAGAGAAATCACTGTCAATTCTTGCTTCTTGATGAGTTACAGGTATTGTCTATAAAAATATTTTGATCATTCTCACATTTAAACTCGAGAGTTGGCTGGGGCAGCATTCCTATATTTGCAATTCCACTACCTATATTATCTGAACTTGCAAGCAATTATCTCTCTAGTAAGAGAAGTAATTTACAGCTATAACAGTGAACACATCAGGTTCCCTCCTACTAACAGTATTCAAGATCAATTAATCAGATTTCCATTTCTACAGCAGATATACAACACTCACTGATAATTTAAGAAGCTTGCCATCTACTTCTCAATAAACTCCTATTGCTTAATAGAAGTTGGTATGGTATAGACCTTTTTTCTTTTCTCTCCTAACCTCATAAAATTCTTTAAATACAAATATTTATGACAAAATAAATGCAGTATAAGACAAAGATATATTATCATAAACTTTACTGCAAAAATAATGTTTCTTATGTTTTTGTATTGAAAGCTTTTGTCAATCAAGTGACCCACTCCCCAATTTCACCATATGTAACTTATCATCTCTGTTCATTGTATATTTTCAGCCTGCTATGCGTTATGTTATCTTCCACACACACACACACACACACACACACACACACACACACACACACACACACACACACACACACACACACACACACACACACACACACACACACACACACACACACACACACACACACACACACACACACACACACACACACACACACACACACACACACACACACACACACACACACACACACACACACACACACACACACACACACACACACACACACACACACACACACACACACACACACACACACACACACACACACACACACACACACACACACACACACACACACACACACACACACACACACACACACACACACACACACACACACACACACACACACACACACACACACACACACACACACACACACACACACACACACACACACACACACACACACACACACACACACACACACACACACACACACACACACACACACACACACACACACACACACACACACACACACACACACACACACACACACACACACACACACACACACACACACACACACACACACACACACACACACACACACACACACACACACACACACACACACACACACACACACACACACACACACACACACACACACACACACACACACACACACACACACACACACACACACACACACACACACACACACACACACACACACACACACACACACACACACACACACACACACACACACACACACACACACACACACACACACACACACACACACACACACACACACACACACACACACACACACACACACACACACACACACACACACACACACACACACACACACACACACACACACACACACACACACACACACACACACACACACACACACACACACACACACACACACACACACACACACACACACACACACACACACACACACACACACACACACACACACACACACACACACACACACACACACACACACACACACACACACACACACACACACACACACACACACACACACACACACACACACACACACACACACACACACACACACACACACACACACACACACACACACACACACACACACACACACACACACACACACACACACACACACACACACCATCCTGACCACCAAAGGGTCAAGACGTACCTGGCGCTCCCGGAGCAGTTAGGTCAACTGTTGGTTGGCCCATACCAACCCCTCCCTGAACCCTCCTCCCACCGGAATATCAACAAGTTCTCGCCAGAAGTTACTATTTCATTTAGGAAAGGAATGGAACCAGTGTTAAACAGAGGTGAACAGTGGTGAACAGTGCTTAAGTCAGTGAGAACAACTCAACAGTAACAGTCGTATTAACCTTCACACAGTGAGGTCCCAGGTACCCAGTGATAACGGCCGGAGACCCAACAACCAGCGATGTGTGTTAACCGTCGATAGGAAGGCCTGGGACCACACTCACTCATCATAACACCATCTGTGAGGGAATTAATTACACCACGGCCCCTCATAACACCATCTGTGAGGGAATTACTACACACGGAGGTACACCATCTGTGAGGGAATTACTACACCACGGGCCCCTCATAACACCATCTGTGAGGGACGTCATTATACATCACGTGAGGCCCCCATAACACCATCTGTGAGGGAATTACACATGTGAGGCCCTCATAACACCATCTGAGGGAATACTACACCATAGGTCCCTCCTAACACCATTCAGAGGGAATTACTACACCATGTGAGGCCCTCATAACACCATTAATCAGCGAGGGAATTCATTACACCACGCCAGGTCCTCATAACAACATCTGAGGGAACTACTACACCACGGAGTTCCCTCCTAACACCATCTGGGAGAGAGTTATTTGACACTACGAGTTTGTTGTTCAACACTCTACATTAATCTGTATCATCACTGTATGTTCTTTTACCTTTCTAATGAAGTTTTGTTAAACCACCAATGTATGTGTAATAAGTCATTTATGTCCAATGTATTTTCAGCCTTCGGCTGCAGAACTTTTTTCAATAAACTGCTAATTACATATTATTATTATTATTACACACACACACACTCACACTCACACACACACACACATATATAAAAGTTTCCCTGAACTGGAATATCCTTTACAGGAAATCCCTAAACCAAATTAATGTGTCATCACAATTTTCCCAAGTTTCCAGTTACTCGTGAATATATTCAGTTTGTCACGTTGATAACATGGATTTCTTTTCTGGTAGGATAATTACCTGGAGCCAGAGAATGTTGTCTGGGGCTTGAGGTATGCTAATACTGACAACTTCTCTCCTCTCACAGTGACCCACCAGTCTTCTTTTCATTCTTTTACCTTACAAGCTTTGATGAAATGCGTCTACCCTCTTTTTTTCTTATGCTCCAAGCAAAACAACTAGGCTAGTACAGTGGTCCCTCGGTTAACGAATAATTCATTCCACAGAGTCATTCATTAACCGAAAATTTCGTTAACCGAATCCATTGTTTCAGTGGAATACAAATATTAGTAATTGGTTCCAGCTCACAGAAAAGTACATACAAAGTAAAGCCAAAAATGCATAAAGTCAGAAACACTCCTAAAATTCCCCTAAATCGCCCTTAAATCATTATATATATACGTACATATACAGTACACTCTTACTCTTAAATCACTACTGTAATGTGATACAGGTGATTAACTTTATCTCTTGTGTAAAATATATGATCGCGATATCCAAATTATTCAATTGCCCAATAAGGATTCCAGCAATGAAAATTATATTCTCCTAACTTTAGTCTGTGATATTATATAAGATAAAAACTTAAAGCTCACTGTAACCACCAAACCCTTGCTGGTAGGGAGGGAGGGAGGGAGGGAGGGGTGACAGTGACATGTTTGACAGTTAGCGCCAAAGGTCTAGTGAAGAATTTATATTTTTATTTATGTCCTTTAGATTGAGTTTTTGTTTTTTGCTTATAAAATTTCATAGAAGTGACCGGGGAGAATATAATTTACATTACTGGAATTCTTATAAGATAGTGATTAATTTGAATGTAAACATGCCATAGTTTGCACTAGACTAAAATTTTAGTATTCATTTTGCACAAATATTAAAGCACACAATTTTCTTGATATTTACTCCACTGGAAACGAATGTAAACATAGAACAGATTACTGAATTGGCAGACTAGCCCATCAGCTGATGCTCACAACAAAACATGATGTTCGTAAGGATTTCGTTAATCGAATTTTTGTTCGTTAACCGAATTGAAGATTCTTATGGAAGGTAATTCGTTAACTGAAATTTCGTTAACCGAGGCGTTCGTTAACCGAGGGACCACTGTACATCAAATATGGTTACATTTAATGTGCTAGCCTAATTTTTTGGAGAAAAAGAGAGGAGAAAAAGTTGGAGAAATTGAAGGAAAAGTTAGAAATAATGCATAAACTGGTAGTGTACAGTTGTAGAAATGTGTTCCTACACCCCTGTGGTAACCCATGTCTCCAAACGGCCAACCTACATGACCTACAGCAAACCTATCCACCAATAACGTCTATCATTACATGACCAACACACATTCATTCATAAATAGTGATGCTACAACTGCAATGTTGCCGTTTCAAGACATGAGTTACCACAGGGGGGTGTAGAAACACATTTCCGCAACTGTACCACTGATTGGTGTTGACATATATGATGTTCTTTAAACATTTAAACTATAATAGACCACCACAACATCTAATATAATGGGTAAAAACTTTGACTGTGCTGTATCTTCCACTCAACTGTCAATGTATCAAGGAAGTAAAATATAAATGTGTAAAAGAAAATCCAGTGTATGAGGTTAACAATACTGTACAGCACTATGTTTCATTATCTTCTTAATTGATATTTCAGCATTTTTCTTGAATTCCCTAAGCTTTTGGTTAATACTCTGACAGCTGCATAAATAGAATCCAGAAAATCACATGAGTAATGGGAAAATATCCAATTTAGGGAAACTTTTACCTGGTATAGGAATGGGATATTAAATGCTTCAAAACCATATAGTGCAAATGTGTACTGAGCTGACAGCTCACCTGACCACTGTGTGGTGAAGACTGAGTGGAGGAAAGAATACGTCCTGGTGACCGTGTTGGTGGGGTAAGACACTGGTTCACCCACATCTCCATCACCACTTGTAGTAGTACCTGAACCAATTCATAACTCTTTTAGACTCCATTCTTGATATTAATGTTCAAAAAATATTACTATCTTCACATGTATATGGTTAAATATTATAAAATATATTTAAAGTGATCCAGTAAACTTTCAGGGGCACAGATTTTCATAACATTTTTGTTACCTAAAACCAATTTCCACTGAAAAGACTAAAATAAAAGCTTTCTACGCTTATAAATGAGTAGTGACAACGTTAAATTTATACTATCCTGTATTAACCCCCCCCCCCACACAAACACAAGAGACCCATTCCCCAATTATGTAACTGTATATTTTCAGCCTTCCGGCTCTTTCGACAAACTGTTCATATAATTACTTATTATTATTATTTTTATTACACACACACACACACACACACACACACACACACACAGAACACTCCAAAATTAGAAAGCTCTTCTGTTTTATCTTGGGCCTATGACTTCAGATACACTCAAAATTAATTTTTGTTCTTTTTCAGAAATTCAGATCTGTAACTTGGGTTAAGAGCAGACCACAGCAGTGTGCATCATAGTCAAGGAAATGAGCAATGAAGTTGGTATTTTTGGCACTTGGCATGGAAGAGTTGTCACCATCAACTTTCCCATTTGGTGAATGGAAATGAGACCTGGATTCATCACTGGGACCCTGAGTCAAAGATGGAATCCATACAATGGAAGCACCCAAATTCTTCATCTCCCAAGGAGTTAACAACCCAACCTCCTGTCATTAAGATTAGGGCCTCGATTTCCTAGAATGCAATTTTCTAAAGATGCGAAGGGGCTTCTGATGATTGATTACTTGCCTCATAAAACAGTAATTACAAGTGACTATTACGCTGACCTAAATTGAAAATTGCATGATGTCAACAGAGAAAAATGGGAGGATGTTGACTTTTGATGTGCTATTGCTCCACAACAATGTGGCGATCCATAAATCCTGTGCCACAGAAGTCTATTCACTCCGCAGTTATGACCAAGTCAACGACTCTCCTTACAGCCTAGATCTGGCCCTAAGTGACTGTAGTCTGTTTAAATAAATTAAATCCCACTTCTGAGGGCACCACTTTCAGGATGATAGCTGAAGGTAGTTACTGAGGTGTGGACTATTAAGCATTCAGAAGACTTCTATAAGACTGGTATATGGCATTTGAAGGCTAAATGGAATAAGTGTATTAAAATTGGGGGAGACTACAGTAAAATATAAAATATGAGTTGTGGATCCGTTTTTTTAATAAATACTCAGGTTTCAAAACTTTTTGACTACCCCTAATAATATACAACAACCTCCAGGGTAATTTCAAGTGAAAGAATTTTAAGTCCTAAAATACCTGACAAGAAAAATCTGCCGTAAAAGTCTCTTTAACAGAGCCTTGGCAAAAGCATATGTACAGTTATATGCTGCCCAAGACATACAGGGAGCCACAATAACATGAGTAAAATGCAGAAACAAGACTATATTGAACTGCCCCTGCAAGATAAAAACCCAGAGCACTCAGATGGCAAGCAAAGTCACTACAGTATCAACTGTACTGTACCACAAATGCAGTAGTTAAAAGGAAAATGAATATATATTGTACTGCTACTGATGGCCCAGTAACTTAATCCAAATTCCATCCTAGAGTACAACAGATAAATTTCACCAATGAATCTCATTATTTAAATTCCATCCTACAGTGCAGTACATCAGGTAGGTTTACATTAATTTTCATAACCTTTGAGTTGATGCACAACACAGTCACCCAGGAACAAAACTATTATTATTAATTGTTAATTTTTTCTGATATGTCAGAAAAAACTTTAACAATTAATAATAAAACTACTTATCTACATTATATTTTCATACCTGACTAGTCCAGATATTTAGTTGGGGATGAGGATTATGGGTAGCATGTAGTGGAGATGATGCATGTGCTCCACTTCCTTCAATGCCAGGGTAGCCATGAGGGGCTGGGGAACGTAATGGACGAGCAGCAATGGGGGACACCAGTGTACTCAAGTACAGTGTGTGACTGCCAGCACCACTACCCCTGTAATATTAATTCAATACTATTTGGTACTGGAGAAATTTTAATCTAATTACATCAAATATATGTCAAATGCATTTTAAACTCGGAGAATATTATGCAATCTTCCATGGATACTCAAGTATCTGTAATTGTACACAGTATCACCAAATACCTAAGTGTCATAACTGTAACACAATAATCCCTCGCCAATTACAGGTATACCATCTGTGGTTTTGAGAATCTGTTTTATATATTGTACATTGTTTCAGCAATCAAGGCATCCAGTTCTATGTATCAATGGGTTTCCATGGCCACTGCAAGAGATTTCTAGACTAAAGCCCCATGACCATCCCTATGACTCTGCTCTCAACAAACTCACAATGACTTCACTTATTTTTTACCCTGAAATATGGCCACATAGCATAAATCTAGTGGTGTGGGTCGTGCTACTCCAAAGAGGATAGGGAAACCAATGTCAATGAAACAGAAAGTGGAACTGCTTGATTGACTTGCGCATGGTGAAGGTGTAGCATCTATTAGCAGGCATTTTTATGTTAATGAGTCAATTGAGAGAACTAATTAGAAAGTGAAGGTACCATTAGGACTACAATGGTGGTAAACACATCAAAGAACAAAAAAGTGAGTTATTTACCGCATGCTCTTTTCCAAGAAAAAGAGAGAAATTATCTTTCTATGGATTGAGGATATGATAAAGAAAAGTAACTACAGTACCGGGTACCAAAAATTAGGTGCATCCATAATTCTCTTATGGAGAAATCACTCAGTACAGCTGGTACTTGCAACGGTTGGATTGAAAACTTTTACAAAAGAACCCACATGCACAACATGAAAACCATGGGAGAGGCAACATCAGCAGACTGTGTGGTCATGCAGCCCAGTGTGTTAATAAGAGGAGTGTTGAGGTCAGACATGCAGTATCAAAGACAACTGCTCTATTATACGCATATGTATATATATTTTTTGGGAGTAGTTTTTCTGTTACTTGCACAGTGCATTCTACAATATTTTCCTAGAAAAAATAAGTTCAGCATATAACTTGTAATTAGTTTTAATCTTGAGATATACATCACTGTACAGGTCTTCAGGTATGTCTCTCTGAGGTCACTTCCCCTAATACCTGACTTCCCATTTGAGACCACCCTTTATGACAATAGGAAACTTCTAAAATGTAATCCCCATTTTTGGTGAAGGATTACTGTATATAGGAGGCTGGAAACAACTATCAAAGAATTGCAAGTTAATTCAACGTATAAATGAAGCAGTTGTTTCACATTTTAATTGTAAACTACAAACACAAGATAATATTGTGGGTATCCCTGCAAACAGGGTACAGTAACTTAAGAAAAAGACACAATACTTGAAGGAGGAGGAGCAAGAAGCACACACAAAATGAAAAGTAAAAGTCCAAAAATCCGGATGCCAGAAATCCGGACCACCCGAGAATCCGGACTTTTCGAAAACTCAAACTTTTTTTTTTAATTTAACTGGCTTTTGTGTGTATGTGCGCATGCATGAGCGCCACAGCTGCACAGCGACAACAAGCGACCACGCGGTCGCCACTTTAAAACAAGCAATCAAACTAAACTGTGACAACGTATGTAATTTTGAGTCCTACTCTTTCCATTTACAGAGTACTGTACAAGCCCATAATAATGGCTCCTAAAGTAGATAAACTTCGTTGTGTGAAGAGAAAGAAGAACACGTTGAAATTGAGTGACAAACTTGAAATAATTAAGAAACTAGAACGAGGTGTGAGCAATACTGTTCTAATAGAAACATACGACATTGGAAAGTCCATAATTTATCATATAAAAAGGGCAAAGAATAAAATTCTAGAATTCACAGCTTTTTCTTTAAAACTGCTCGTTTTGATAACTGAAGCATGCTATATTTGCTAATGAATAAACTATCAAAATGTACCTGTTCATCTCTTCTTTATTCCTCGTTAAATTTGAATTTTAAAAGTACTACCTGAGAATCTGGAAAATCCGAAAAGACCCAATCCCCAAGCAGTCCGGATTTTTGGACTTTACTGTATATCTAGTCCTCTGTTGTTTCTAAATTTATCATTGATTATTCAGTTCCTTGTAACACATAATTTATATTTTTTTTTACTAATCATGACACATTTTCCCAAATATTCCTAACTGCCTCCTTATATGGTACAAAGAGAACCTATCTAAGTAGGTGTATGAAGAAAATACCAGCAGAGGTGGTGTGGTGTGTGAAGAAAGGTTATTTGTTGTTCTAGTTGTGTTTTGTCTGTGCAAGTTTTCAACAGTCTTCTGACATACATTACGGTAACAAAATATACCTTCATTGGTGAAGGAGCATACAAACTCTGACAGTGGTCATCTAGCTAAGAGGAGGACAAGTCTGAAGTCAGTACAGTAATGAGAAGAAAAAAAATAAGACCTCTTTTATGAATGTGAATCTGCTTCAAGTAAAAGAAGCTTTTTGAAGTGAAAGTCAACTGTCCTTCATATTAAGAAGGATCAAAAGAAGATTTTCTACAAAACATATTATAAGCACATCTCTTCCCAATGATAAGAGAAGTATCAAGTCTGCCAATTTAGACAGGAAATAAAAATCTTTGACACTAATAATTTTTCTTCAATCAACACAATAACCATACTCTCTCTTATCTTCAACTTGAGCTACTAGTCAACAAAGTAAACAGTATGTTAAAAATATCTTTATTTTCTCTAAGTGACAAGCTTCCTAAACTATTACAGATTTTGGTAAATTTTTTACCTACTGACCATTCAACCTCATCATCTACCAGCCATACCAGTACCTCCAAAATTTTCATTTTGGAAATGGCCAATTACTCTTTACTTCCCCTTTGTTAAGTCAAATTTATTTCTTTTGTTTGCTTCGTGACATATGTTCACTGCAGAACTTAAAGGAACAGATATTTTTTCTCCTAATACAAGATGGCCAAAATCTTGCAAATACACTCTCTCCTTCTATTTTTTGGTCCTTCAAGGTGAATGGCTAAGGTTTTAAGAGAATATTCTTCTTATGGAGTGAACAATGTACCGAGGATACAGATACATAAGGGCTACAACACAAAACACCAAAATGGTGCATTTCTTGCAATAAAATTAACCATAACAGAACCAAGCTCAAATGCTAAACATGGCATGACATGTATACAGTACCTTGGAGAGACAGGAGACAATACACCCCTGGGGGTCACAGGTGGACTTGGTGGACCAGGTGGTATGGAGCTGTCACATGGGAGGAATGTGCTGAGGTAGTCTTCTAACAAGCTGGGGTAGAGGGCGTCACCAGCAGTTGACCATGAAAGTGACCATCTGTGATTGCTCCCACTCACAAGGAAGTGTGCAAAATGAAATATATAAAATTCAAATGCATCTAAAACATGTAATTAAGGAAAACAATTGATCTACTTCATGAATCAAGTGCCCATCTTTAGGACAGATCACTATATCAATGAATTCATAAAACTTAAAGGTAACTGTACAGTGTACTTCTCTGACATTCATAAATTTCTCAACTGATAATCAGGGCATATTTTCATGTCGGTTTTGAATTCTTCCTGCAGACATGTGTTTAGTTCCGTGACACTTACTGTACTCTTTTTACCTTATATTTGACCAATGGTTTTTGGAAAAAGGCCTGTAAGTGATATTGCTGGTAATGTGGCCAAGCAGTTACGAGAATGCAGCAGTATGGATGTAAATTTGCAAGTATTAACATGTGTAGACGCAAGTGAGTGTGAGTGATATTTTTTATAGCTTAGGTTTGGCTGTGTCAACCAACAGAACCCTTCTCAAGAATGCAGACAAGCTAAGTGCATCTGACTAAGCCACCACTCCATTAAGAATGACGATCACAGCAGATTCAAGGAGCATTTTACTAAACATATGGAAAGTCAGGATTGATGGCTGACAGTGGTCACTCCAACTGAAAGTACTGGTAAGTACAGTACATAATTTTCAATTATAAAATGTTTTTAGACAATTACCATGTATATAGAGTCACAGTGGTACCTCGATTAACGAACACAATTGATTCCACAGAGTCGGTTGTTAACCGAAAATTTTGTTAATTGAATCTATTATTTCAATGGGATATTGGGTAATTGGTTCCAACTATCAGAAAAAGTATACATACAAAGTACTGTATACCGGTAATAGAATTAACAAAACATTAAATATAAACTAAATACTGTACTGTACTATACAGTATACTGTACAATAATAAATAAAAAAGATAGAATAATATATTTTAACTTACTTTGAGGTGTGTATGTCGTATTCCCGGCAGCTTTGTTTACATATCAAACAGCTGATTGTAGAGGCAGTCGATGATGACATGCCATATTCTTTACAGAGTGCATTGGTTCTAATGCCTACCTCAGGTTTCAATATTTCTGCACTGTATATTATCAATATGTTAACTAAATTTCAGAATGACCAATAATTTTAATTTAAAAAATGCAAAAATATTAAAGAGCACAACTTTCTTGATATTTACTCCACTGGAAACGAATGTAAACATAGAAACAATTACTGTATTGGCGGACTAGCTGATCAGCTGATGCTCACAACAAAACGTGTTTCTCGTAAGGTTGTCGTTAATCGAGGTTTTGTTCATTAATGGAACTGAAAATTCTTATGGGAGCTAATTCGTTAACCGAAATTTCGTTTATTGAAGAACCACTGTATTAGTAATGCTACAATATTACCAATATATTACTTAGGCATACATAAAGCAGTGCTGTGGGGAAATTACCTCAGTAAAAAGGTGAATCATTTAGAAAAACAAATAAAAATAAAAGATAGATTAATTGACACTTAAAAAGGGTTTCATATGTGGCATGAAACAGTTTCTAGCAGATTGTGCAGTGTGATACGATAATTGCTCTCTTTAATTAGAACAGATTAATCTGATATGCAAAAAGGATACTCAGCAAAATGTTGGTTGGAGTTTTGCCAAGACCTGGGTTTTGAACTTTGTTGACATAGAAAAGCCCTGGAGTCCCATCTTCTATCTCAGCACGAGATTTGACCTGATGCGGAAAATTTGTATCAGTAAAGTAACTTGTTTTGCTACAGAGACAAGAATTAAGAATTAACAATAAGACTATTATACAGTAATTCTGATGAGAAAGATGTAAAAAAGTGCAGTATAATGAACAACAAAGTGATATATGCCTTACCAAACCTTCAAAGGTACTGTATGTTGAAAAAAAAATTAACTTTGGAAATTTGGAAAATTTTTATTTCTAGCCATAACTTAAGATTTTTTTTATGTAAATCAATTTAAATTACATTTTGATCAATTGCAATATATATATATATATATATATATATATATATATATATATATATATATATATATATATATATATATATATATATATATATATATATATATATATATATATATATATATATATATATATATATATATATATATATATATATATATATATATATATATATATGGGATATATATATATATATATATATATATATATATATATATATATATATATATATATATATATATATATATATATATATATATATATATATATATATATATATATATATATATATATATATATACAGTATTTATTTTTAAAAATACTTACTGGAAGCCATGCCACTGGAAATTCGAACATGAGGAATGGGTCATTAGCTAGACGATATGTCAGCGACAACAAAGGGCCAGAAGCACTGAGGAATACTCGCAGCTGTTCAAACTCCCTGCTGAGAGCAGAATGTGTTATTGTTCTTAATCCCCATCCTACTTGACCACCTAAACCAAAGATGCTTTCCACCACTGAACGTAGGATAAAACTTGCATCCTTGCTGGTTGATTCATTCAAAATCCGACCAACTTCTTCACATCGGACTTGTAAAATTGGCTGACTAATAGCATTTTGTAGACGAATCTGCAATAAAATTGAAAAAATAAATAAATAAAAATAAATTTGGTTCAATAGGGTTTTATTTTTTATTGAATTAAACTAATGGGAGAAATAGGGAAGCATCTGTTCCCGAAATATTCTTACATACACTGTACGTATTCCCAAACTTAAAAGTTTCCTTACAAGAAATAAAGGTTTGCTCATATGTGATTATCCAGCCCATCTATAACTCACACAGGAGCCCATAGCACTTTTATCATCATAAAAAATTAATAATTAAATAATAATAATAAAAAGCAAAGCCTTGACCATAATGGGTATGGCTATGGACTCTGTAAACAAATGGTAGTGCATTCGCTTAACTGAAATATCCAGGTTTAAAATTACAATTTGTGCCCAGTGACTCTGGGTAAAAAAAGTCAAGAATACAATCTATTAATCTGTATACTGTAATTATAATAAAATCCATTGAAGAGCACCTCACACTGTATATTGATTCATTGACTTTGGTGATATTTTGTGAGCAATGTTTATGAACCTACAGCAAAAGACAGCTATCAAACAGGGAGGTACTACCACCTGAGAAGATATTGGAAGCATGTGTTGTCTAATGGTAGACCCTGCTGCCATATGGCATCACAAAAATTGTGACCAAGTCCCAGGTTGGTGATCTGACTTTCTGCCTCATCTACTCAATTGCAGGTTTTCAATTGTTTCTCTTACTTTGACAACACAACATACATATATTGTGTCTCACTATTGATCTTTTTCATTTTTGTATTTCTTTATGGTTCTTTATTTTTTTTATTATTATTATTATTATTATTATTATTATTATTATTATTATTATTATTACAGTATTATTATTATCAGTTATTATTGTTATTATTATTTTATTTACAATTTTGTATTTTTTATAATAAATTTTATTTACTATGAACTAATTATTATTATTATTGTTATTACATTTTTGTCCCCCAGGCCCCGATGTGGGTCAGTGACCTGTGCCTGGGTGGGCTGGTCCCTGTGAAGAAGAAAGAAAGAAAAAAAAATCAAATCAAATATTAAAACTATTTGCTGTAAGTACAGTACAGTATTAAAGAAAACAAGATGGGCTGTCTCCCGAGACATGTTGAAATCATAATGTGTGGAAGGTGGAGCCAAAATGGAAAAGTTGACGGTCGGAATTTTTTCGTTAGATGGCAGGTAATGGGTAAAGAAAACACTTAAATTCACTATGGTAATGATATTTTAAAATAAATTAGGTAAAAAAAAAAAGAAAGGGTTAAAGTTGCTAAAAGTCACGTGACCGCGCAAAGCTCTGTGATTGGTTGTGACGTCACTGGTTGGTGCGAGCCGCCCAGCCAGCTGTGGTGTATGTGTCATTACCAGCAGAAATACAGGATTTGTGGCCATATACAATGTTGATATATACAGGCATAGCTTATTTTTAGATTAAAATAAATTACTGCTCAAGTATCATCATGTGTATTTACTTGCTGGGTGCCAAAATTATACAAAAGACCGATAACTCCAACATGGAAGTTTTCATCACTCTTCTCTATTTCATGTTTGGAAAATGTAAGTTTTCGTCACTAATGTCTATATTTAATGTTGTGGAAGGACTAGGGACGACCATGGCCAGGGAATGGGCTCGAGATGATCAGATGACAGATGTAATTTAACGTGCTTCATAGCTGGATGGCGAAGTTCTTGATAATACTCTACTAACATAATGACATCTACTTTTGGTAAATTTTTTTCATCTGCCTTTATGAACCCTGGAAGTAGTTGTCCAACCTTCTCGGCTGATCAGCTATGTAAATAAATATTATTAGATAATTAATTGTGCTTTATTGTGCAACACAGTAATACTATATTGAATACATAAATATTACTACGCACATTAGGGGGCAGGGAAAAAACACTTTTATTTGAGTTGCAGGCTGCACTTTTCAGGCATCGTTTGTATGGCTGTAACAAACACCTGTGCAAAATTTCATGCCATTTCATGCATACTTACCCTGCCGCATCGCGAACGACTTTGTCAACTTTTAGTGTATACCAAAAATTAGGTGTCATTTAATGTTTTCCAGGATAATGATAAATTTTACATGGGTGACATCGATTTAATTCACATGTTATTTTACAGGTACACCGTATAGAAAATCATTACAAGTTCATATTGAAATTCTTTTTTGTGCGGAACCTTGGCATCATTTTCCTAGACAATAATCTTTGCCTAATATATCCATCTCTCGATTCGTATCCCGTCACTTCAGTGCAAGCTTCAGTCATCACTTTTATGCCTCTCTCGACCGCCTGAGTGCTGTTTGGCCACTTGGGCACCACTAATGGTGTCTCAAGAATGTCATTAACCTGTAGATTTGACAGTTAATCATGGAATGATAGTTTTTTGCTTGCCACTTTAGCTTCGGAGTCACCACCTTTCTCATGTTGACTACAGGAGGCACATCCTCATTCCCATCTCCATCTTTACCCTCCTCATCAGTATAGTTTAACAAATTCTCGTCAACAGCAGCATCAGAATCTTCCTCCTCCTCTTCAGATCTGCCAGTGCATTCTTCCTTTTGCTGATTCTCCTCTCTAATTTTTCTTATCATTGAGACAGCTTTTTCTCTAACAGTCATGTCCTCATCTGCACACATACCAAGAAGAAGTTGATCTGTGTGGGCGAAGTATGCATTTCTCTGGACAGCCTTCTTCACTATCGTCTCCTCCTCACTATTCAGGTGTTTCATATATAGCAGGGACTGGAATACGTTCCTTGAGCCGTGTGTTACGTAAGGGTGTATCTTGATGTAAAACCACATTGGAGCACTGAACTTTATTATTGTAATGACAATTCTTTTCAACTCATGGCTGGGTCTTGATGTTGCTACATACAGCCTGAGGATTCTACTCCATAAGGTGTTCCACCTTGACACACAGGGAGGACCTGGCTCAATAGCAGCCAAGTCATCTTCAACAACACCTGTGATAACTCCTTTACAAATCCTATACAGGTATTTCTGATCCCAGGACAGATCTTTCTCCACTTCATCATTAAACACAGGGAAATCAGGGAAACTGACTGGCTGGAAGGCGACAACTGGAAGCTCAGACAAAGACTCCTTGATCTGCTTTCCAATGGGACCACGCCAATGCTCAGGACCACTTGGTTTACCATCATAGTGATAAAAAACTGCGCGGAAAGGCAGCTCATTTCCGTGAAGCTGACATATGAAATAATGGAGCGGGTGACCAAGTAACATTTCAAGATGATGAATGACTCCATTTTCTGATCCTACATTTACATTGGTTCCATCACAACCAACACACACAGAAACCTAAATGAATAGTTTTGGCAATCTCTGCTTTCCGTGTCCAGTCTTAGGAGTCACATGTGAGATATTCGTACCAATGATCTTTCACCATCATCCTCCCGGAACTCATTTCAGTCTTCTCATTCTTTATCATCACCACAGTGGCGGTCTTCTTACCATCAAAATAAGTGACGTCAAATTATCGACTAGCCATCTCAATTTTCTTGCCTCTTAAATGTCCCGGTATTTTTTGTCTAGCATCCGCAGCTTATGGTCCAATAGCCTGACTCTTGTCATCCTTTGTGATAATGCCTTAGTCAGTTAAGGTGGCAGTAGCAATGGCAGCTCCAGCATAATCACTAATCAGTATATCGGTCTGGTGACGCCAATTATGGGAGAAATGAAATGAGAAAAGGCTGATAATCCAATATAGACATAGCACCATACTCATCTGCAACAAGACAACTTAAATGAAATAAGAGATATGAAAAAAGTTGATAAACACTGAACAGAACATTGCACCGCCACAGCGGCCTGTTTGGCTAATTACTGTAGGTAAATTTAAAATTTTCAGTAGAAAATCACGGCAGACTAAACCTCGACATATCAGCTTCAAATTTGGCATGGAGTCTTAGATATGTATAAGGAACAATGCCTGAAGAGTGCAACTTGAGCAAAATTTCTGCCCCTAACGCACATTAACTAATTCAATGGATATTAGCTGCCCCTACTACAAATTTCATTGTATTAACTTTCCAAACAATATTGGTATTATTTTGATTTTGGTCATCTGAGAACCAAAAGATTCTAACTATGGTATTAAGTACTTTAAAGTTTAAACAATACGACAAATTATAAGACAAATTATCTCTATGTTATTTCTTTCACAAAACATTTTTCGATCGCATAAGAAAATACAGATCATAGGTTAGGTTAGGTTAGGTTAGGGTATGAGGAGTTATAAGGTTAGCTTAACATACATCAGTAAGGTCGAAATTGTTCATAACAATAAACCATCAGAAAAAAAAACATAGTCTGCATGTCTAAGAACAGGGATGACCCAAACTTAAAATTTACCCAATACAGTACTGTATAGCCTACCTCGAATCTAAGCATCCAAATACTTATGGTAGTTAAAGTTAAATTTTACCCATTAATTAATACAAATGATGATATATCCCAGTGGTTCATCAGTGAATCATCAAAACAATAACAGCACGATGTTGTCATGTTTAGCTAGCATCAGGCATTATCAAAACAAAGTCCAGACAATGTCATTCTTCAAAATTTACCGTGTCTCAAGTACTGAAATGCCTCTGTAAATGCACGAAAAAAAGTAAGTCTGCAGGTGAGAGTACATGACAGCTGAGCTGGTGTGAACATGGGAGTTTATATGTCCAAAAAGAACATAAGAATGGAGGATACCAGCGGGCCTGTTGGCCCACACTAATCAGTCCATTTACACCCAACCCTATTGCTCATATATCATTCAACCTATGTTTGAAGCTGCTCTTCGACAAATTTCTTCACTTTGAAATATGGCTTGGATAAACACCCATAAACTTAACTGAATGTGGCATTTGGGGTCTAAAAGGGCCACCTTTGTACTACCTCGACTGCAGCTGTGAGTTTGATAGAGGTGATCTGTTGGGAAGCTGGTTCATTGCAAATGTAGCCCTGTTTAAGAAATAAACATCT